GCACTGAGCATGGAGCCTGCTTGGGATTTTCTCTCTCCCTCTCCCACTGCCCCTCTCCTGCCAATCTTGGGCATGTTTTCTCTCTCTCTCTCTCTCTCTCTCTCTCTCTCTCTCTCTCTCTTTCTCTTTCTCTTTCTCTTTCTCAAAAACAAAACAAAAAACAACAAAACCAAAAAAGGACCCAAAGAGGTTAAAAGTACTACAAAAATCAAATTATTCCCAGCACATCTGACTACCTATCAGATGCTGGCAATGAGGTGAACTCACTTAAATTGGTGTCTGTAGAACCTACAAGGATGGGTGGGCTGCAGAGCTCCCAATGCTGAGGCATCTGCTGTGGGCACTGTTCCTCCAGCATCTGAGCTATGCTGGGTCTCCATCTACTCTGGCAGCAGCCATGGCACCTGCGGTTTTATTATTGAAAGTTAAGGTTAGCTCCACTAACTCCACTTTGCCAATGAACCCTGGAACCACAAATCCTCTCTCCACATTAAGTATCCCGTTTGCTGGATTATGGCTCCCTGACATTTTAAACTCTGATTTGGCCCAAATGACCCCATAATGTTATGGCAGTAAGGTCATTTGGACTGATGTTTGATGAAGCAAAATGAGAAACAAGAGTGGCTCAAAATCACACATGACATAGGTTACATGGAATGTAGATGAGTTGGCCAAACACCTAGGGCAAACCTAAAAAGTCCAGTCATTGATACAAATCCCTTGTCCTCATGACTGCACAGAGCTGGTGGCTTCCTAAAAGAGAAAGAAGGGAGATGGCAATGGAGAGGGCCAGAAATGGACTCATGGGCATTCTGAGAGCTCAGGGTATAGGCTATGGGCAATATTCCAAACTCTCATCTTATAGACTGGAGAACTAAGGGTCAAGATCATGCAGAATGAGGGCTTCCCTGCCCAATACTTTGTGGGGGAAGCCACTGGAAGATTCTATGCCAGATTTTCAGAACGTTCTCATTGTAAGCATTTTCTTCTCCTCCGTGGGGTTAATGGCTCTTGGTCACAAGTGATGTTCTTGTTTGTACCCATTTACAGGTGATGCACTGTCAGCTACCATAGCCAGGACAGGCCCTTCTACCCTTCACTCTACACTCACACCAGCAGGTAACGCTTCTCTGTGACTTGCCTTGTGTTGTGTTCCATGTTTTCTGAGCGTCTAGCCTGTGCCATGCACAGAAATACGTGCCTTCACAATATTGTCCCTCCATAATAACCATAAAGGAAGATGTGATCTCCCACATTTCATAAATGCATACACAGAGGCTCAGAAAATGCACGAATAGAAGACACTGTGTGACACTAGAGTTACACAACCATACCTGGTGAAGGTTGGATCACCCAGACACGCCCAACCACAAGGATCGTGTTGGTTTTGCCTTGTTTTTCTTGATGATATGGATCAAAGTTACCCCTGGGGTTACTAGAGGAGGAAGGTGTGAACAAGGCCTAACAGCTCATCTCAAGATGATCTGAGTAAATCATATGGAAACGTGATATGTTGAGTATATGATTAGGCTGAGTATGACAGGGAATTTCCAGTAATAGAAGATATGAAAGACAACATGTTAACTAGTCATTTGGGGGCAGCCCCGGTGGCTCAGTGGTTTAGTGCCACCTTCAGCCCAGGGCGTGATCCTGGAGACCCAGGATCAAGTCCCACATCGGGCTCCCTGTGAAGCCTGCGTCTCCCTCTGCCTGTGTCTCTGCCTCTCTCTCTCTCTCCCTCTCTCTCTCTCTCATGAATAAATAAATAAAATCTTAAAAAAAATAGTCATTTGGATTATCCATTTCCCTGCATGCTCCAGTTGAGCAATACTGATCTCCCTGTTGTATCTAGGCCTTCTCCGTAGCTCATAAACTAATGCCTCCTTGCCTTCAAGGCAGAACTAACATTTCCACAAGCTGTATCTCTGATATGAACAGCATCCCCAGGGAATCAAAAAACAATTCCTTTGAAAATCACCTGGGAATATTTACTTCCAGGTCTACTGGGCTTCATTCACTGCAGAAGACAAGTTCTCTCAATAGGAACAAATAGAAAAGCCAAGTCAAGTGAGGAAGCTATGAAGGCTGTTTCTTTACTATAGGTGATGAAGTTTATGTGACCAAGAGGCAGCATTTTAGAAAACTTGAGCTATTATCACCTAGCGCCATACCTCAATATAGGAAATCTCCCTGACTTTAGAGAGCTAGCTCTCCAATATCTCTCTTCCTCCACGTGCCTCTCCAGGAGCCTGGATGGCTGTGAGGCTGGTGAATGGCACAGGAAGGTGCTCAGGCCGAGTGGAGGTTCTCATCCAGGGCACATGGGGGACCGTGTGTGATGACCTCTGGGACTTGGCCGAGGCCACGGTTGTGTGCCACCAGCTGCAGTGTGGCCAGGCCAGGGCGGCCCCCACAGGTGCCCACTTCGGGGCAGGCTCTGGGAAGATTGTTCTGGATGACGTGCAGTGTGTGGGCAGTGAGAGCCACCTGGGGCAGTGTGTGCACAGCGATGAGGCCGGGCACAACTGTGGACACTTGGAGGATGCTGGTGTTGTCTGTACAAGTAGATGGCTATTTTTAACACAACATCACTTCTTTGTCTCCCTTCAGACATTTATCAAAAATTATTTTAAGATCTTTTATGTTATAAATAACACCAGAGACCTTAGCATGTGTATTTATTCTGGCAATCAGGTGCTGATAATTCACCAGGTCCCACTCCAAATACAGAGCCTGAAACTGCCACCCCATCATCTACACTGTCAGGTCAGTCCATTCTTTGCTCAATTCTATTTATTTATTTATTTATTTATTTATTTATTTATTTATTTATTTTTGGAGTTCAATTTTCCAACATATAGCATATTTGCAAACCATGTATCTGCTAAGTGGTTAATTTCCAAAATCCATATGGAACTCCTAGAACTTACTAGGAAAAAAAAATCAAATAGTCATATTTTAAAAATGAGCAAAAGACTCAAACAGACATTTCTCCAAAGAAGACATAAAAATATTCAACAGATATATGAAAAGTACTCAACATCATTAAGTATTAGGGAAATCCAAGTCAAAACTACAATAAGATATCACCTCACATCTGTTAAGATGGCTACTGTATTTTTTTTTAGATTTATTTATTTGAGAGAGAGAGATCTCGTGCACAAGGGAGATGTGCAGAGGGAGAAGAAGGAGAGAATCTCAAGCAGACTCCATGCTGAGCAGAAAGCCTGATGTCAGGCTCAATCTCATGACCCTGAGATCATGACCAGAGCTGAAATCAAGAGTCAGACACTTCACTGAACGCTTAACTGACTAATTCACCTAGTCATCCCAGGGTGGCTACCATTTTTAAAAAGAGAGATGACAAGTATTGGTGAGGTTGTGGAGAAATTGGGACCTTGTATGCTGTTAGTAGAAATGTAAAATGGTTCAGCTGCTCTAGAAAGCATCTCAAAGATTTCTTTAAAAATTAAAAAATAGAACTACCATATGATCTACCAATCCCACTTCTGGTTAATATATCCAAAGAATTGAAATCAGGATCTCAAAGAGATAACTGCACTGCCTTGTTCACTGTAGCACCATTCACAATAGCCAAGATACAGAAAAAAAAATCCATGTGTCCATCAACAGATGATCCAATAAAGAACATGTGGTGTAGACATACAGTGAAATATTATTCAGCCTTAAAAAAAGAAGGAAATTCTGCCATTTGTAACAACATAGATGAACCTGGAGGACATAATACTCAGTGAAAAAAGGTAGTCACAGAAGGATAAATACTACATGATTTCACTTATTGAGGTATCTAAACAGTCAAACTCACAGAAGCAGATAATAGAATGGGGAATGTCAGGGATTGAGGGGGAGGGGGAAACAGGGAGTTTAATGGGTATAAAGTTTCAGTTATGCTAGGTGAATAAATGCTAGAGACCCATCCTACAACATAAAGCTGATAGTTAACAATACAGTATTGTGCACTTCAAACTTTGTCAAGAGGATACACATTGTGTTAAGTGTTCACACACACACACACACACAAAGGAGGGGAAAAACACAGAGAAATTCTAGACAGTGCTGGATGTGTCTGTTACCAAGACTCTGGCAATAGTGTCATGAGTGTTTGCATCCCAAGAAGCCATACACATTGAATATGTGCAGCTCTCTGGATATCAAGGATACCTTGAAAAAACTGTTTTAAAAAGGGAAGCAAAACAGTACTCTATTACCGTTTTTATGAGTTAATAAGATGAAACCAGGGCTGCCTTGCCTCCATACCCTGTGGAAGCCTCACATGGCTTAGGCTACTGGGAGCCCAGGTAAAGCCCCCCACAAATCTAAATGGACACTGTTCAGCCATTTAATTAACTGTGTGTCCCTGTAGCAGAACACAGCTGGATTGCTCCTCAACAGAAAAGAGGAAAAAAATCCACAATTGGTTCTGTGGACACTTAGTGACATAGAGTGTACTAAGGGCAACACTGTCCAGGTTTGAGCATTTTCATCCCACGGTGGAGTCTGATTATCCAGTGTTCGATGATTGTGGCAGGGAAGGAAGTGGGAATGAAGATCAAAAACCCTAATAGGACAGAGTTGTGCCTAGCATCCTCTTTGGGCTTGTTGGAAGTTCACTCTCCCGGTATGGCATGGGGCAACTGGACAAGGCCTCTCTTTGCTTTACACACACAGGTGAAGTGCTGACAGCAGCCAAGCCCACCGCAGAGCCTGCTACACTTCCTGTGACAACTACTCCAGCAGGTCAGTTGGCATTTGCTCTACAGGGACTAGAGGAAGGGCACCGTGTACCAAACACTGGGCTGGCCCCTTCCCAGACCCGATGCCATGCCAAGGGCTGACCACAGCCTTGGGAGGACTCCTTGCCTGCATAGGAGCAGAGCCAGGAACTGACATTAGTGTTTGACTGTGACCTTCAAGTTGGATTGGTGTTTGAACCTTGGTCTTTCTGAAGTTGAGATAAGGGGACGTCCCAATTACTGGAGATGCTTCTGTTTGTCCCCACTGACAGGTGATGGATTATTTGCAGCCATAGTCACATCAGAGCCCGCAGCCCTGCTTTCCACACCTATCCCACTGGCAGGTAAGTCCTTGGGAAAATGGGGGAAAGAGGAATGTTTGTGGAACAACCAAAATGTGATAAAACAGAGGATCAGATGTGTTCATAGAACTGACAGTTCATTGAACGCTCACAACAATCTACCAGGGTTATTCTCCTCACAACTCTCATTGTTTCGTGAAATGAGACACAGAAAGGATCATTTCCTAGCATCGTCCATCTACACCATGATGATGTTAAGATCTGGGCACGTATCAGCCTAACTCTAAACCTACGTGACTACTAGCCTTTTGGGTCAAGGGACAGTATGTCCAAAACTGCCTCTGCACTACTGGGAAGACAACATTCTCACAAGTCTAATTGCTGTGGTGGAGGTACATTAAGACCATAGCCAGGAAACTGGGGACTCAACTGTAGGTCATGACTTACTCTGTAGTTTTTAGTACAAAATTCCTAATGGGAAATCTTTCAAATTTATATTTTCCGGTGTGACAGTTAGGCAAAATGTATCCCGTTAGTGTACCTAGCACTCTGTATCAGGAATGAGCCCCGATCTGTTCCTTCCTTCCCCACCCTGGTGGACTTGCCTGCACATCTGTGTTACAAAGAGGAAAACCCCATTGTGCCATTTTGGCATCTGAAGATTGGTGTAGCCTTTCTGATGTCTTCTAAAAGGGCATCATGCAGCAGTTATACATGACCTCCTCTGTTTCAGACCCCGGCTTGAGCTGCTTCTTGACATCCCTGGGGTCCTTAGGCACTTTTGCCTTCAGGGACCCCTTTCTCCATAAATATATATACATTTAGTTATATTTTATGACTGCATTGGTATTAAGACAAGTGGAAAGCAGACTAGATTGTAGTCCTCTTTTTCTCCTAATTTTAAGAGAAATTAAGGTATTTTGGGGGCCTTTAAAAGTCACCTGGGCCCAGGCAGTGTGCCCACCACATCTGATGGTTGAGTCTGTTTACTCCTCTGGGTTGTTCTGAATAACTAGCATGTCTCAGTCCACACCATCACCCCCCAAGGCCATTTGGGGGAGAGGGAGGATGTGACACTTTTGCCCACCATAAGGCTGTTTCAAATCAGAGGTGGGGGTAGATTTTGACTTACTTTACAGCTTGGGGGGCGGGGCATGGAGAATTGATTAACTGTGGTGAGAGCTGTTCCAAGGCCACATCCTCAGAGTTGGGATCTCAGGAAGCCAGGCTGCCTGTTAGCAGCGATGGCTCATAGCAAGTCGGTCCATTTTTGGACCAAAGTAGCTCACTAGAGCCTTGCTGAAAAGAGAGGTTCATCTTTTAGGGAACAGTGCACACAGTTCCTGGTGGGACTCAGTTAAGAATAGTAGGTAGGGGAGCCTGAGTGGCTCAGTTGGTTAAGCCTCCGACTCTTGGTTTCTGCTCAGGTCACGATCTCATGGTGCTTGGATGGAGCCCTGCATCAGGCTCTGCGCTCAGCGTAGAGTCTGCCAGAGATTCTTGTTGCCTCCCCCTCTGCTCCTCCCCTCGCTTACTTGCTCTCTCTCTAAATAAATAAAATCTTAAAATATATATATAGTAGGTAATAGCCACACTTTGGTGTTTCCATGCTTTTCCAGCATGATGGCAGGAGTGGGAGGCAGGGGAGGGTGTCCACTGAGCAAATATTGACAGCCCAGGAGAACTAGGACTTGTAGGGGAGCTTGACTTACAACCTCTTTGCAGGCTTCCTTACCTTACCTTCTGAGCATACTCTCCTTGTGATTATGCTAACAGTGCACATTTTCACTGCAATTTCACTCACATGTATATGCTAACTGATCACAAAAGAACCTGTATATTAGAGAAATATTACTACTTATATTATTTGTATTATTTTGTTTTGTATTGTATTGTGCTGTATTTTGTCTCTACTCCTGCTTTGTAAGCTAGAGAACCTCATACAGTGAAAAACAGACCATGAAACTCTTTAAGAAATCCAACAAGGCAGTGAATTCTGCTTTTTATCTCTTCCGTATAGGGAACTGGGACGTGTTGAAGATCACTGAGGGCTTAACAGAGAAACCCACCATTTTTTGTAGAACATTCTAGAATGCAGAATGTCAATATCATAGCCAGGGCAACAAATAAAATGACTGTCAGAATTGCAGACCCTTTCCCAGACAGAAATAACCTCACAGATTATTTCTCCTTTATTAAAAATTTCATCTGCAGGGCGACTGGGTGGCTTAGTTGGTTGAGTGTCTGCCTTGGGCTCAGGTCATGATCTCAGGGTCCTGGGATTAAGCCCCACATTATGCTCCCTGCTCATCGAAAAGCCTGCTTCTCCCTCTGCCTCTGTTGCTCCCCCTGCTGTGCTCTTTCATGTGCTCTCTCTCTCAAATAAATAAAATCTTTAAAAAAAAATTCTTTTGCGAAGAGCACCATGAGGAAGCAAAATAGTATCTATTTTCTGTATCTAACTGAAATGAAGGACTTTTTCTTCCTTCTTACCTTGCTGAAATCTTTCTCCTAGGCAGCAGTGAGGAGCTATTTGAATCTCTCTGTTAGCAGTGGGGGAAAAGAACAAGTCTGAGTAACTCCACACTTACAATAAGAATCAGAAAACAAAAGAAAATAAGTTGATAGAAGGAACGGGGCATATATGTTTTACATCTACAGAAACAGATCTTCATCTCTAATAAATTAAAATTTATTATAAAAATTCCATCAGATGAAAAACCATTACGGCTTAATAAATTCTTACATTACATGGGCAGCAACCCCCTCCAAAAATATAATATCTTTCTTTTAAGTATAAGAAATCATTTTCTTTTCTTTTTACTCAGTTGCTTCTGGCTTGGTGTTTTGGTATTTCCATTTTTACCTTAACTACTGAATTATTACCTCTAGGTCAGCCTACACTTAGATGTATAGTAATAGAATTTTTAGAATATAGGTTGGTACGTTATATCCTGCATATATTTTCATGATTAAATGTTTCAAAATAAAATGCATCTTATTACTAAAGACAAGAACAGGGGAAAAAAAGAGAATTAGTCATTATTTCTAAGAAAAATTTTACTTTGATTATGTTATTAGGATATGTCAGTGTTTCCTAAAATGCACTGTGTGGAGTCTGAATTCTGGATAGTAACACTGACACAGATCCAAACCAGAGTTCTGATTCTGAAGATCAGAAGCTTCTGTTGAACTGATGGGATGAGTTTTCACTTTCATTGTAGTTTTAACTCAGTACATCTAAGGATTTTACTCTGAGAATTAACTTGAGGATTTCCAAAAGGGGTTATGTATCCACCATTTTCCCCAATGATCTGACCAGGGAATAGTTTTATTTTTCAGAAGGCAGCTCTTAAGACTAGTATTTGGCCTAAAATATATTAGGGAAAAGTTGAGTTCTAAATTACTGAATCCCTACATGTGCTACTATGAATAACTCTAAACAAATTTGGGTGAAAAAATATTTGCCTTCTAGACTATTAAAACAGAAGCACGTTTGTAAAATGAGGCCCAGGTAATGCTGCAATATAACCGGGCTCTTTCCTCCTTCCCTCCCTCCCTCCCTCCCTCCTTTCTTCCTCCCTCCCCACTCCCCTCGCTCCCTACCCACCTCACCCTCCCTCTGTCCCTCCCTCCTTCTCTCCATCATGGTGTTCTGTGCACATGCATTAACAATTACACAATCCTAACAGGCTTACTGTCACGTGGCCTTCCTTCTCCAACTCCACCCACTACCTTGGTTCTATACCGACAAAATATTAATCTAATTCTTTTGGGAGTTCTCTCCAGTTTTTGTTTAAATCTCACTAAGATTTCTTGCAAGGACTGTGGAACCAAATTTCCTAATTTTAAATACCGGTTCCCCCGAACTGTGTGATCTTGGGGACATTACTCAACTGCTTTGTGCCTTAGTTTCCTTGCCCACAATATGGGCATAATAATAGGATATATTAGTATATAATACATCCATGAGTGTGTGTATAGGCATGTATAAACACACTATTATCTATATATACACATCTACATACATTCATAGATACATAGATGTGGTTTGAGGACCATGGTGGAGGTTAAAGGAGCTGGTCAGTTACTTAGTACTGGGCGCTAGGAAGTCAACATTAATGTTAGCCTTATCATAACTGTCATCATCACTGTTGCCATTAAATATTTGCTTTTTGCTAAGGTGAGAGAGAGAACTGGCCTAAAGAAATTTACACACGTTGAGAGTGGCTTTCAGACGTCAGCAAGTCCATGAGGCCTGGCCTTTCTCCCAGGGTGGTGGCCAGGTCCCAGGAGTGAGTCCCTGGAGGAGACAGAGCACAAGTGCATGGCATTTCTCTCACCCTGGCTCAAAAATGTTTAGTGTCACTTGTGCCGTACACCATTGGTCAAGAAAGTTGCAAAGGCCCAACCAGGTTTGAAGGGATGATGCAGAAAGTTATCCTTGGAGACCCGGGATCAAGTCCCACATCAGGCTCCCTGCATGGAGCCTGCTACTCCCTCTGCCTGTGTCTCTGCCTCTCCCTCTCTCTCTCTCTCTCTCTGTGTGTCTCATGAATAAATAAATAAAATCTAAAAAAAAAAAAAAAGAAAAAAAAGAAAAAGAAAAAAGAAAGTCCTCCTTGGGACATGGGACTGTCAAAATTCCAGAAGGGTTTGAGGAACTAGAGATATTTTGTAGACATCTTTCAAAAATGCAATTGACCATGATCCCCTTTGTTTACCAGCACCTCGCTCCTACATTGGTTGACATCCTATTCCTCCAAACACATCACCCACGAGGTTCCTCTGGGGTGAGTCTGCTCACTTCTGGCAGGTAGCCACCGTCGCCTAGCCCACAACAGCCCAAGTTAATGTTCTGCAAACATCCTCTCAACCCCACTCTGACTGTTTAGTTTCTAAAAAGAATGTGCTGAAATTCTCCATCGGCTCTTACTATCCACCTCATCTTCTCTGTATTTTCAGATAACAACATTTTCATGCCTTTTGCATGCTTGGGGAAGGAGAGGAGATGAACTTATAAATCAAATCATGTTGCAGTTGAAGTCCTCACAGGTTTCCATCCTATGTGAACTTGCACTTCCCTTCATTCCTGTCTGGGGCCAGCCCTCTTCTATCATGATCAACCTGCAGCAAAGGTCTTCATGTTTCAAAGCCAGACCTTCATGAAATGATCTCCCAAAGTAGAGGATGTGTCCATCACTGATAACACTATTAGATTCCTAGAGATATTCCTCATTATTTTCCCTGAGAGTGCAATGTGTGTGGTTTCTCCATCGTTTCACTGGTTGTAAATCCTGAGTGGCGAACTCTGACCAGTTTTGTACCTAATAGGCATTAGGTGAACATTCTATGGCTAAAAGTACAACCATGCTGGCTGCAAAGAAATCTCTCTAGTGCTAAAAAGAGTGTTCTGTAATATCCAGATCACACCAGCCTGGGCAACTTCCACAGTTGAGAAGACTCTTGTCAGCTGTCCACCAAGGGATGGTCATCATAGGGCCCCCATCCATATGACCCTCAGGTCAAGGGTACCCTGAGTTCTTTTGCTGTAGGTGGGATGGGAGGGACATGTGTACAGCTGAGAACCAGGACCTCTGGCTTTCCCCTCTAGAAGCCCGATGCTGCTGTTTCCTGGGATCTTCTAGCCCCTTCAGGCACTTCCAGGAAGAAAAAATTGCAGCCTTGATGTGCTAAGACCCTAGAGTTCTCTATCTGCCCAGCGCAGAGGAACTATGACATCAGTAGTCCATCAGACCACTGTAAAAGGATCAATGCAAAATGCTGACACAAAGGTCAATCTCAGAATTTCCCATTGTTCTGTGTCTCCCCAGGAGCCTCTATGGCTGTGAGGCTGGCGAATGGCACAGGAAGGTGCTCAGGCCGAGTGGAGGTTCTCATCCAGGGCACGTGGGGGACCGTGTGTGATGACCTCTGGGACCTGGCCGAGGCCACAGTCGTGTGCCGCCAGCTGCAGTGTGGCCAGGCCAGGGAGGCCCCCACGGGTGCCCACTTTGGGGCAGGCTCTGGGAAGATTATGCTGGATGACGTGCAGTGTGTCGGCAGTGAGAGTCACTTGGGGCAGTGTGTGCACAAGGGTGAGGCCGGGCACAACTGCGGGCACCTGGAGGATGCCGGCGTCATCTGTGCAGGTGAGAGGCTGTCAGTCCCCATCTGGGGACTCTCTCCTCCCTATCTCCCCATGTCTCATTCCTCCACCCACACAAGATAGTACAGCCTAGAAATGTCAGTGGATTGAGGCAAGCAACTGGTGTTGTCTACGTCCCTTCAAAGTTATGTACCAGCCTGCCCCCCTTGACTGCAAAGATCATTGAGTATGGCTCATGACGGTTGATCCAGGCTCAGAAGTGGCCTCTTTGGTTTGAAAATTCAGGCTGAACTTCAATTCAGCCAAATCAGAGTATTTGGCATAAAAACCCAAATTCTTGCATTTGTGAAAAAAAAAAAAAGAATAAAAACAAGTTCAGGGTCAAAACAATAAATTCTTGTATTGTATTTAACTGGCTGCATCTGAGAAAGAGCTGACCTTTGGTCACGAAACAGCTTTCCAGTTCACACAGTTCCCATCACTCAAATCCCTTATTTGTTTTATTCTCATGGTCCTTGGAAACTTCTGAGTTTGAGTTTGTGACCCCTGGGTGATGGGCCAAATTTGTCAGCTGATGTTTCCGGCTCTTCACATCTAACTAGGCCTGGTGACCTTCCCAAACCTATGTGTCCCACTAGTTGACTCTCTGCACCACATAATCTTTCCCAATTTTGCCCCACTGGCAGCTGGAATAGTGTCCCTGCAAATGACAGGCCCTGCCAGGCTGTACCTGGCCCGTCCTGAGCCACACCCCTCAACGCCTAAGGCCCTGGGGAGACACCGCCTTCTGAAGCTCCCCTGGGACACTCAGCATTTGCTACCTGGTCTCATGTCTCAAATCCCCAGGAAATACTAAGACCCTCAAAGGCAGGGTCTCTGCCTCTCTGTGCTTCCCAACGCTCCCTAAAACTAGGGCGTTCCCAATAAACAGTCACTAAATTAGACGTGATAACAGGCATGATCTCTCTTTACATTGACAGGTGCTGATTCCACAGCTGCTTTGCCTACAGGTAGAACCTGTGTTACACTTGGCATCATCTACTAGACCTGGCGGGATGTGAGAAAGATCATGAGGTTTAGAGGCAGATCCTGATTTGATTCCCAGCTTCACGTATTCACTCACCTGTTCATTCAGCGGATATTGACTGAGTGTCCACTGCATGTTCCTCTGTGCCAATAACCACTGGGGCCAACAGCAATGATCAAACTCCCCCCACCCCACCCTGCCCAACTCTCTCCTTTCACAGGGCCTGCACCTTAATGGGAGGGGGCAGACATGGCATATGATCACCCTCAATTATGTGACCTCAGCCAGGTTATATCATCTCTTGCTCCCATTTCATCTCGATTTCTCTTCCCAAGAGTAGGAATAATGTAGAGAATTGAATGTAACAGCGCCCAAAGACTCCTGGGACCTGAGAAGCACTCACACAGCTCCTTCTTTTGGTCTAATGTGGACTAAGAGAGGCTGTGTGGAGACGTGCAAAGGGCCCTGAGCTGAAGGAATCTGATCCGGGCTGGTGTCTCTCCAGATAAACAACCTTGGCTCTCCCTCTCCAAATCATTAGAACAGGCACATTAGATTCCATGCTCCCTAAAATTCTATGCCTTTGATGTTCCATGAGTCACACAGAGAGGATAAGCAGCCACGTGGATTGGCTGAATGAGGTGTATATCACTGTGGAAAGCCAGAGGCTGTCTTCGAAGGACAGAGATGTAGATCTTGTACTAGAAATTGAGGGATGCTTTCCCACCTAACATTTTATCATGAGGATTTTCAAATACGCAACAGTTTGAAGGATTTGACAATGAGCTGCTACCTACCTAGATCCCATGCTAAATTTATCAGTCCATCTATCATCCCTTTACTCATCCAACAACTTATCATATTTTTATTAATGTTTGATTTATGTACCTAAGACTCACTCATTTTCAGGTCCAATTTGATGGATTTTGGTAATTGTGTTGCCACCGTATAATCACCCCCGTAGTTAAGATATAAAACAGTTCCCTTACCCTCAAAGGTTTCCTCATGCATTTTGGGGTTGATGCTCTCCTCCCTCCCGCACCCTCCACTTCCATGATCTGCTGTGTGAATTTCCTTGCTTTGTTCAGGTGACATCATGACACACCTGGGGAGAGGGCAGCAAAGAGAGAGATGATGACCGACCAAAGGCCTCTCCTACAGCAGGCCACATGGAGCAAATTGTCCATGAGCTTTGCTTTTCTGATGGCCACATAGTGCATGTTCATTTGTCAATGAGTAATAATACCGTGCTCTGTCCTAAATGAAGATCTTGGAGCTATGAGAGCACTGGCTTTGGAAAGTAGTGTCATGGTTATTCCTGGTCAATCCTGGGAGGAGGCAGGTGATCCCTTGAAGCAACTGTATCTTCTCCAGATTTTCTGACTGCTCCCCAATGACTATCCTTCCTTTTAACTCACCAATAGCCTATAAGACCCTGCTTCCCACATCCTTGGTGATATCAGCAGCTCAACACCCACCTTCTTCTGTACCTCCAGGTAAGCCTGTTTCTTGTTATGTCTTCTGAACAACTTTGTTCACTCAATAATGAATGAGTGAATGAATATGTGTCACTAAGGATATATAATGTCACCAGGGTTGTATGTAGCAATAAATAGAGCCAACCCTCAAATAGGCTAAGTCCATGGGGGGAGGAACCCGTTACAAAGAAGTGTGGTGAATGCTCTGATGGGGGAGCTCAGGGTGCTATAGGTGCCCAGAAGAGGGTCTCCATCCAGATCTGAGGGATCTGGGAGGGACCTGAAGGGTGAGGGAGCCATGGATTATTCCAGGCAGGGGAGAAACCAGACAGACTCCCTGTGGGCTACAGGGTGGGAGACATTAACATGTGTTCCAAATTAGGACATAGGGCTGGTCAGTAAGCATACAGAATTAGAGAACAGTGAGGTGGCTCTTTGAGAAGATTTTCTACGGTGAGCAGGGATTAGTAATATTTCAGGATTTTTGGCCTTGTGTTAGGTTTTTTTTTTTCTTTTATGAATTGGATCTTGTCTGAGGTCAGATAAGATGGGAGTAAAAGATTGGACCCATGAGTCTCTTAATCTAGCTGTACAGTCAAAAGATTCAGGGAGGAGACAGAGGAACCATTATGACCGCCTGGCGTCTGAGCAGCTCTGGTACAATTGTGCCTGGCGTGTGCCATAGCTCCTGGCCATTGGCCGTGGCTTTGGGGGGATGGCGATTACCAAAGGCGCCATTGTTGGTTCTGAGAGGTCCAATCACCTGAATCCACACTCCACATCTTTCTTTTTAATTTTTTTATGTTAACATTTTTTAATATATCTGTCCAATCTCTCTTCTTGGCATCCAATTTTTTTATTGAGGTATAATGGACATATAACATTATATTAGTTTCAGGACTACGACATAATGATTCCATATTTGTATATATTTCAAAAATGATCACCACAAAAAAATAACCTAACTAAGAAGAGGGTATGGATAAACAGGGGTATAAATTATCTTTTGTCATGTAAAGCCATCCCAAGACACAGAGGCTTAAGATGACTACCATCTATCCTTGCTTACTAGTCTAGGGGCCAGCTGGGTAGTCCTGCCGCTCTGGGATCGGCTTGGCTGGTCTTGGCTGACTCTGCTGGGCTTGCTCATGCATCTGTGGCTAGCAGGCAGGTCAGCTAAAGGCTGTCTGGCCTAGGATGGCCTCCCTCACATGTCTTACAGTTCCATAGCTGTTATCTGAGGAGACAGAATGATGAGGTCATGCTCTTTCCTCACCCACAGACCAGCTCAAGCTTCTTCATGTCATTCCCTCAGTGTTCCCATAGAATGAACCGAAACCTCTCAAACCTCTTGAGGTCTCAGCTCCCCATGAGTGCACCATTACTTCTGCCACATTCTACCATCCAAAGCAAGTCATAGGCTACCCACTTAGAATCAAGGAGTAGGAAAATAAGCTCAACGTCCTGATAGGCAGAGCAGCCACGTCACACTGTAAAGAGTGAAGATGTTAGGAAGAGAAGCGCTGTGATCATTCTTGTAAGCACTGTACCCCGGGCAAGCAGTCTTAAATAGAGTGTGGATAAGGAAGACATTACTTCTTAAAGCTGACATTTCTGGAGAATGGCATGGGAGCTCACATGATGCATGAAGGGTGTGAATAGCAAAGTCATGGAAAATAAGAAAACATAGGTGGGTAGCAGGTAGTCTAGTCATCGAAAGGCAGAGTGAGTGGCCATCACCCCTTGACGCACGGTTCTTCCCCAGGAGGCTGGGCCCCTGTGCGGCTGGTAGGTAGCCACGGGAGGTGCGCTGGCCGCGTGGAGCTCTTCTATCAGGGAGTCTGGGGGACCGTGTGTGATGACCTCTGGGACCTGCCAGAAGCAAACATCATCTGCAGGCAGCTGGGATGTGGCTGGGCCATTTCAGCCCCGGGTGAGGCCCATTTCGGGGAAGGCTCTGGGAACATCCTCCTTGACAATGTGCACTGCAGGGGAGATGAACAGCACCTGGAGGAGTGCTCCCACATCGGCTGGTTTTCCCACAACTGTGGACACACAGAAGATGCCGGTGTGATCTGTTCAGGTAAAGCCCTGCTCCCCTCCCAGGCAGAGTCCAGCCTTGGCTCTTTCTGGGAGAAGACCTTTCAAAAGACAGTAGAAATCTAGCTATTGAAAAGGAACCAGTATGTTATTTGCTCACAGCAGATATTTTAATCCCTCATGCTTACAGATGCTGAATACTCAACAGTCTCACTCTCAGGTAAGGAAGACAATATTTACATATGCGGTTTCTCAAAACCTTGGGGAAGAAGTTCTGCTGGAAGTTGGATGTGTCATCCTCTGGGCCAGTGGAGTGACTGAGACATGTGGAATCACCTGTCTGTCCAGTGGGAGAAATGGATAGTACCTTAAAATTGGTTTGACCCAGCTTCACTTTTAACTTCTCTCCTATTTTACACACAAGAAGCAGATTACAAATTTCTCAGACTTTTGTATAGCACTTTCAGTTTGTCAGCTCTGAGGGTTACAAGGCCATGGCAATGATATGGGTAGGGGGTGGTTAAAACATAAGAGGTGGTTAAGGACACTTCCTGCCCCAGGGCAGATTGCCAGTGGGCTGGACCTGGCCAAAGTCAAGGTGACCCAATTCCATTCCCACCCTCTCCCTTGTTCCTGGTGCCTACAGAGCCTCTTTTGCTGTTCTTTCCCCCACATGCTCTCAATGCCAGCATCCAGAGTTTTCCATGCCTCTCTCCTTCATCAAACCATTAGGTTCCCTGAGACCCTACCCTTGGCTGGCTTTTGGTCAGAAAGTGAGTTATGAATAAAGCTGAGTAGAAAAGGTCTGATATAGCTTCAGGCAATACCCTCCTGGGTTGTCAACTCTAGTAAGTGGGAATGGATTAGTCCCAGGGAAAGGACTCCAGTGGGAGGTTCTGGGCCAGGTGTCTCTGGTAGGAGATATTCAGGGGGCATGAAGGAGGATCCACAGCATCCTTAGGTCCTGGATCCCCATCTCTGAGGAGCACCAGGTCAAAGGAAGGGGTCAGCTGGTGCCTCTTCCTATTCTTACCTCAAAGTCTCATAGCTCTCAGCCCTTGGGTCACTGGAATTTGCTACAGATGCCAGAATTTCGTGTCTTTAGTGTTCTCAAACCCCCAAATTTAAAATATCTCACTTGCGTATATGACAAGATGATAATTTATCGAAATCTAGGAAGGACCTAGATCAGTGCTTCTTCAACCCCACACATTAACTTCCCCTACATACTCTGGCTTTGCCCCCAGAGATGACTCAGCAGTTCTGGGAGGGGGGGCCCCCACACTGTATTTGTTATAAGCTCCCCAGGGAATCATGTTCAGCTCACGGGGAACTCAGTGCCAGCTGACGAGCCATATGTCCTTTGTGTGTTTGACAGATCGCCCATTGGATGTCATAGCACCAAAAATGGCTGCAGGTGAGACTCTGGTGTCTCTGGTTGCTCTGACCACCATCTTCTAGCTCAAGCCCTGAAGTTATTCTCCAAGGAAGTTGAGCAATATACTACTGCCCTGTCTGGATCATCCCCTTGAACCCATGTTCTAAGTGAATAGTCCAGTAATGAAGGCAGATAAATTCATGGTTCCAGTTCATTTCTAGGTAGTCAAAGAAGGCAGTCCAAATAATCAAGTGGTGCCAGCCTGCTTGGTCTCCAGCATGAACCCTCCATGTGAAGGACAGGCATGTGGCTCTTAACACAGCCGTGTCACCAGGGCACTCCCCAAGAGCATCATTTCAGATGGCCGCTGCCATAATAACCATGTTATTCCTCTCCACGCTTTTCCCTTCTCTGACAATCTCTGTCTTCCTTGTTCATCCCTTCCTTGCATCTTCCATTCCCCCCCCCCACCTCCCATATTTGCCTGTATCTTGGGCTTCCAGAAGCTCCACTAAACTTTTCTTAGCACCACTTGGAGATAAAGGGCTAAAATAATACTGATGGCTGGAGAGCCTGGCTGGTCCTTCTACGGAAGAGCCACAAGTGGATGACTGGAGCCAATCAAGTGTAGGTCTGATTCTCACACAGCCAGAGAGTCTGATGGAGAAAGCCATTGCCACAGGTGTTACCTTTAATTTTGTACTGAATAGTGGACAGATAGACAAGTAGATAGGAAAACAAATGGACAGGTGGTAAACAGGCAGATAAATGATGTCAGGGTTGGAGGGGTAAATGATTCAGGGCAAGTTCTCTCCACTTAGTGGTGGATTTTTAATAGTGTAATTTTAACACATTGTAACTGATGGCAGATGGAACATTGCCATCTTCATACATAGAGGCTTCACATAGACTCACCTTTCTTGGGAAAATGAAGCCATTTACTCATTACTACTGGTGACCTGATGAAAATCAAAGCTACAGAACCCACCACTAGCGAGTAACAACCAGAAACAAAGATTCTGGGTGAAACTGGATAGCTGGTCTGCTCAGGATGGCCATGTCAGAGGTAGAACTCTCAAAACAAGTGAGAGATGTTCAGAATTCAGACACTTTCATGCCCTGATTTCCTAAGTATGCAAGACTTTTTAGACTGGTATATGCCTCTGATATGTCCTAAGACGTACCCACAAGGTAATGATCAAGGAGACCTTTTGGGGGAAGGAGAAAGTGTGAATTACAAAATTAGTGATCTGAACAATGAAAAAACTAAAATTGTAAAATATCTTTCTGCTTTTAGAAAAATCTAAGTGTGGCAGAGTTATTACCAACTCATCTGGAGCGATTAGGAATCCCCCGCGGAATGAAATGCATGACAACATAACCTGCGTGTGGCAAATCAAGGCGAATGCATCTGATCATATACTGCTGGCATTTCCGTATCTTAAGTAAGTCACAAAGACATGACTTAAATACACTGTGTAGTGTAGAGCTCCAAGCATTTTCCCATGTTTGATTCTCATAAGCAAAAGGGTCCTTCACACTCTTTTTGATTCTGACTTTTGAAATAATTGTAGACACACAAGAAATTAGAAAAATAAAATATAGAGTTCTACGTACCCTTCTCCCAGCTTCCCGCAATGGTGGCATCTTCTATAACTGTAGGGCAATAACAAACCAGGAAGTAATGCAATAATGCACGAGGCCTCAGACCTTATGCTGTTTTCACCATTTTCCACATCCACGTGTGTGTGTGTGTGTGTGTGTGTGTGTGTGTGAAAGAGAGAGAGAGAGGGAGAGAGAGAGAGAGAGAGAGATTGAGAGAGAGAGAGAGAGAGAGATTGAGAGAGAGAATACATTTCAGTCTCTAGTTAAAGATGCAGATTCCAGGGGAACCCCCAGACCTAGTAAATCAAGAAATTTTAGGTTTTAATATTGTAAATACTCAAGGTTGATGTCATTCACAAACGGATGTCTTATGGAAGTTAACTCCCAGGAGCAACCTAAATTATTTATTACTTTCGAATCAAAAGATGACAGAGTGGATGGCTCATCAGGCCGAGGCGTGGGGATGGTCTTCTGACTCTAACACTAAGGGCATCTGGACAAAACCCCAGAACAAAGAATGAGAGCTGACAAATCAGATGACTTGCTCAAAGCAAGCTGGGTGGCACGCTTCCCTCGAGGCAGGCTGGCTGCGGAATTTGTAAATAGGTCATCTGGAGCCTGGAGCCATGTCTTGTAGGGAGGCTGGTGTCTGGCCTGGTCTGGCCTGGGCTTCCAGGTCCCTGATGTCTCAGGCCTCAGCAGGGGTGCACCTGGTGCTTCCGCCTCTTCCCTCTTCCAGTTAAGATCCCAGCCCCTCCAGAAAAAGTGGGATAAAAGGAATCCATGCTATGTTTAAATGACTGACAGGCTTTTAATCTGTGCCCAGCTTCACTGTCATGAAAGAAAGGGTCTGCCTCACAGCATACTTCTAAGACCCGCTAATGGGGTGGCTAAGAGGCAGCCCCTGGTCTTTGCTTCCCTAGCCTGGACTGCACCAATGAATATTTTGAAATCCTGGACGGCCCTCCATCCTCAGCAAAGTCCCTGGGGAAGACCTGCTCCGGGTCCTACCTCACCTACTCGTCCTCCTCCAGCTCAATGACCCTTGTGTACTTCCGAAGCTTCAACAACATAGGGAAAAACTTCATTGCTTATTATTATTCTGCACCCAAAGGTAAGGATGGTGGTTAAAAGCAGGGGCTTTGGAGCTTCAGCTAGACTGCCTGCCTTGGGGCCAGTTAGAACCCCTTCACTTACTCTGTGACCTTGGACAACAGACCGGATCTCTCTGGGCCTCAAGCCACTCCCTGTATAATGGGGATAAGAGAAGCTTCCCTCATAGGCTTACCCAAAATGATATAAGCAAAGCCCTTGCACAGAGCTAACACATTATGTGCTCAATATCTGGCAGAGTCACCACAGGCTTGGTTTCCCATAAACACCTCATTCCAGTCTGCCCATTAGGGTTCTACTTCTGGAGTTACCCCGAATCTAGTACTAGGTGGGTGTTTTAGGACCTGCAGAAGAGGGTGTAGTCCCAGCCTAGGAGGGGCTCGTGCACAACCTAGACGGAGCTCAAAACAAACCCATGTGATGCAATTAGTAGACACATAAAATATACCAAATGAAGGCAAACAAATAGAATAGACCAGAATATACTAAGTTGACACATGCATGCATCTCAGCAGAAGACATTAGAAAAGAGAACCACATGGGCTATAAGCACGAAGGAAACATAGGAGGAAGCAGCCTTAGATTTGTCTTTAAGCCTGGCCAGGCTGTGAGTCAAGAAATAGGGAGGGGGCACAGCAGGTGAAGAAGCAGTGTGAGCGCAGAGATGGGGTGTGTAGGGCGTGTGGTGAGAAGGCAGAAGCTAAGCCAGGGATTTCTGATGAAGCACGAGTACTCAAGGCTGGGTAATCACAACTACAGTGATCAAAACTGCAAGAAACATTTACTCAATGCCTATTTTATGCCAGGCAACCCTGTAAGCACTTACATGTATTATCTCCCTTCATCTTCACACAAACCCATGCTTCTTCCCCCTTAACGGATGGGGAAACTGAGGCAAGAGAGGTTCAGTACTTGTCCCATAGTGACCCAGGCATAGGTCCTGCACTATTTACCTCTAAGAGAAAAGAGGCTGTCTCATGGACCTCATGAGCAGTTCTAGCATCTGCCTTGGCCGAGATGTTGTTCAGACCAGTCTCCCGCCCTGTTAGCGAGTGCCAGGGCGACTCAGTGAGCATGCTCAGTGTCGCAAAGTGGATCAGAGAAAGTCACTGTCACTGTGATTGCACAGGTACTGACGAGGCTCCCTTGTCATTGCAGAGGCCGGTTCCCGGATCCCACATCTAATCAGTGAGTCACGTTTAACGTTGCTACTTTATCTCCATTCCTCGTTCGTGTGTCTTCCTCTGTCCCCCCCACCTAGTGCTTGGAGTGTCATAGTTTGATCTCGGTCTCATCTATTTCCTAATTTCCCACATCGGTTCAGCTAGATGAGAGGTTCTTTCTGCACACGTTTTGCACCAGCATGATGCGTACTCACAGTGGAACCAAGTTACACATACCAACAGTTGAGTCTCTGTACCTTGATAATTGCCAATTTGATTTCTTAATTCCTCAATTTTATCAAAACCAGTGAGATACACCTAATCAAGCATCCCACACTTGGGGAAAATTAACAAAATAGAAGCATGTGGAAGAGATATTTTTTTCCTTAGAAGGGCATCATGGGTGTTGGCATTTTGGCACAGAATGGCACAATTTAAGTGTCATTGTATTTCCAGTGACTGGACAGAAGGGATTATTTCTGTTGGATCCCACACTTCTGAGAACAACAAGACCACGTATAAACAGAGTTTAATTTGAGAGTTCATTTATTATAAAGATGCTAGGGAGAATGAGTCAACCAGAACCTTGGCGTTTAAGGGATACGGCTGTCCTGACCCTGTTTATCTGAAGGATGTCATCTTGTATTCACAGCAATCCCAACAGCAACACCCAAGACAGTGACAGCAAGACCAGGTAAGCCCTGGGACCCATTCATTCATTTACCAGCTATCCTTTCCTTTAGGTACCTGCATTTGTACCTGCTTTGGGGACAGGAACTAGACCAACTGAAAGTAGTTCATCAATTGGGAAAATGGGTCAATTGACTATGCAAATTTTTAGGACCATCCAAAACTCTTGGGATCCTTTGGCTCTAGCATCCCAGGGTGAGCAAAGTTTTTTTTTTTTTTTTTTTGTTTTTTTGGTATTTTTCAGAGTCTTCCAAGTATTCCAAGTGCTTTCTAGTGGGGTCCTAGCTTTATTTTATTTTATTTTTATTTTTTTTGACCAATTCTGCACATAGCTAACCTATATCTGCATCACTAACAGGCTTTTTCAAAGTGAATGGAGCATCAAGGCCATTCCAGAGGCAGTCAGATGGAAGAGCAGAGAAAAATAGTGAACTTTGGAATCAGGAGAGCTAAGCTTAGATCTGTTACTTCCCAGATGTCGGATTTGGGGTGATTCATTTCACTTCTCCAACTTTCAGTCTTCTTATGGATAAACTGGTATACTGGTACTCTTCTGCTTGCCTTCCAACTTATTACAAACGTGAAGATGAACACACACCTGTACACACACAAAAGCACTACACAAAGCCACAAATCACTGTGAATATCATTTATGTTTTTCTGCATTTAGCCAAAATAGATCGGCACATACGTCTGACCCAATAGATATTCAGTTAACGAATGTTTTAGGCTAAATGTTATTTTGACAATCTTAATTACATATTAGCCTCCAGCTGGGAGGTTGACTAGTTGACTGACTCTTTTATCAAGTTCTCCATCCCAAATAGTAGTGTTGGGGTGGAGAGCTCACCCAACTCATGGGAAATGTGCAGTGTCCCTTGAGAGCAATGATCACTGGGTCTCTACCTGCAGGGGACTGGCCAGAGCTGCGGCTGGTGGACGGCTCAGGTCGATGCTCAGGACGCGTCGAGGTCCTCCACCAGGGAGCCTGGGGTACCGTATGTGATGACCTCTGGGACCTGAATGAAGCCGAGGTCGTGTGCCGACAGCTGGGGTGTGGACGAGCCGTGTCTGCCCTGGGGAAGGCCCACTTTGGCCCGGGCTCTGGAAACATCTTCCTGGACAACCTGCAGTGCTCTGGGGTAGAGCGCTACTTGGGCCAGTGTGCCCACTCGGGCTGGTCGGAACACAACTGTGGCCACCATGAGGATGCCAGCGTCATCTGCTCAGGTAGCCTCTCCTCCTTCAGATGCTCATTGCCAGTCCCACCGTCTTCAAGACTACTCTACTAGAATTCAGGGTTGTCCAGGGACAAAGACGGGGCCCTCAAACATGTGGCATTCCATTTTTGCTTTATCTCTTCTAATGTGGTCAAAAATACAAGATTTTAACTGCTAACCTCCCAGAATAAAACCTTCCAATTTTCTAATTTGGTAGTAAGGTTGACCAAAGAAAGGTAGGCATGCTTTACTGCAAACTGACACGTGCAAAGAACATGTTTAATAAAGGAACCTTGAAGGAGTTTATCCAAGGTCTTTCATTTAGGGGCAGTGAGGAGATGTCAGAGCTGGACAGACTTGAGTCTGGATCCCAGAGCCGATGCTAACACTCAGACTGCATTTGGGCGACTCTTAAACTCCTAGAGCCTCAGTTGCCCTGGAAAACTAGAGACTGATCGCTCTCTTGCTGAAAGGATACAAACTCTTTTGTAAAGCACTTGCAGACACCTGACAAAGGGGCTGTATGTTTGGTCATTTTTAGTACCATCTTCCTCACTCAATACCCCAAGGAAATCAGTAAAGTAAAATGGCTCATTTTTTTTCTTTTGATTTTATTTACTTATTCATGAGAGACACAGAGAGGCAGAGACATAGGCAGAGGGAGAAGCAGGCTCCATGCAGGGATCCTGATGAGGGACTCCATCCCAGGACCCCGAGATCACACCCTGAGCCGAAGGCAGACACTCAACCACTGAGCCACCCAGGCACCCCAAATGGCTCATTTTAACCGTCTTATGACATTACAATTTTTTCAGATACTCTGGATTTATCCATGTACAAAAATTAGCAAAGGGTAAGGTACTCACCTCTGGAACGTCTATTAATAACTCTTTCCGATCAGAAGCCTTTGGGTAAACTGACAGCCTAGTCCCTGGTGTGATTGGAAAGGTTACTAACTATAACTCAAAGTGGTGCTTGTGACCTGGAGTCACCCAAGTGAGAAGAAGCTCGGTTAGATGGCTCTTTAACCTGGGGTGATACTTAGAGGTCTTCCTCTCTCTGTTTGCTTTGTGGCGTCTCATTAGACGTGGCGTGTCTGATCTTGTCGCCGCAGCCTCTTGGGACGCGTGTTATTCTCATTCCCATGCTCTGGGGGATGGTTGTCTACCTCTGAGCTGCCCCCAAGGACTGCCACAAAATCAGCAGTTCAAGTCATGTACCCTACATGTGCCCTTCATCATGGATGGTTTCCTGCCGGTGCAGGTGCAGGCCAACAGCCAGAGAGCGGCGCTCGTTTACACCCATGGGTGAATCTGGGCCTCCCAGCGCTATGTTATTTAGCAGGACTAATCCTTCCCATATGGGATTAATAAACATTTGCAAGGATGTAATTAAGACCTTTGTTTTCAGTTGTCGAAGGCAGGATTTCTGGAACATACTGATGTATTTATTCTTCCTATAAACAGATGCTGAAGAATCACTCATTAATAGTCCAGGTAGGTCACACTCTATCTTGATGGGACTCAAATATCGGCTCTCCCTGATTTTTCCGTGGACTCTTTCTTTTCTTCTAGCTGTTAAGTTCACTCTCTGTCTGAACTGTGGAGGTTTTTACACCACTGGGATGCCGATGGAAGGATTACTCTTGATTTTTCCACATGTAGTGATGACTCTGTGTGTGTGTGTGTGTGTGTGTCCATATTTTTTAGAGATGTAGACATGAGGAAATGGCATTCCAGGGTCTTTTTCCATATGCTTTTCTCTCTCCCCACCTCCTCCCGGGCCCACTCCTCACTGTTTTAAGAGGATTCCGCCCAGGTGCCCCCTTTACCTGGCCATAACACAGCACCTGTTCTTCCCCTTCACTGCTTGGAATAACGCATTGTCCCAGGATCTGCATTTGATTAAAGGATGCTAGGCACCCTGAAGGCAGGAACCATATCTCGTTGGTCTCCAGCAGTATCATCAGTGCCTAACAGGAAAGACAATCAATAAATTCCTCTGTAGTGAGATTGAACGGCTGGAGACCCCACAACCTGCAGCTCAGGAACACACGAGAAACATGAAGAACAGGCCCCAGGGCTCAAGCCCAGGCATGTCCCTCCGCAAACTCCTAGTCCTGCTGCCTCTGAGGCCTGGTGCTGGTGCGCCCCAGGAGGGTCATTTGGGGACTCACACACTCACCCTGTCTCTGTCTGCAGGGGACTGGCCGGAGCTGCGGCTGGTGGGAGGCTCAGGTCGATGCTCAGGACGCGTCGAGGTCCTCTACCAGGGGGTCTGGGGCACCGTGTGTGATGACCTCTGGGACCGACACGAAGCCGAGGTCGTGTGCCGACAGCTGGGGTGTGGACGAGCCGTGTCTGCCCTGGGGAAGGCCCACTTTGGCCCGGGCTCTGGAAACATCTTCCTGGACAACCTGCAGTGCTTGGGGATGGAGCACTACCTGGGCCAGTGTGCCCACTCGGGCTGGTCAGAGCACAACTGCGACCACCACGAAGATGCCAGCGTCATCTGCTCAGGTAGCCTCTTCCCTCTTGGACAATAATTTCTAATATTGTGATTGAAGACATTTTGAAAGTATTCATCCCACATGGAATGTATCCATCTGCCCATTCACTCCTTCTTTCATAAAACAGTCCTTGAGCATCTGCTCTGCACCAAGCCTGGGACACACACACCCACCCTTGGGTAGCACGAGGTTGCACACAGGAGATCTTGCAGGTTCATGTACACCAGCACCGCCCGAGGCATTGCAATGTGGAATCCAGGGCCCTGGCCCCAGAGACCACGACTAACTAGCTTGGGCAGGGCTGCTGGAATCTGCATTCTCATGAGTAGTCTGGGTGATTCAGCAAAAGAGGGGCCATGAGTAATCCTGTACTGCCTGCCGTGGGGCAGAGATGACACTGCTGCTGTGCCCTGCCCCCAAGCCCAGGGACCCTGAAAGAGGAGGGCAGAGGAGGGCTGAGTCCTTTCTCCTCACTCCCCACCTGCCCCCTCTCCCCTCCATCTGCCACCTGCACCCTCGTTACCTGGCCCCCTCCGTGCTTTGGGTTCACTAAACAGTATTCACCTATTGCCTTTCTTTATGCACTCAGATGCAGAAGAACTGCCTCCTCCCACACCTCAAGGTATGTCCACATTTCATTCTAGTGCAGACAACTTTCTAATAATAGTATCAAAAATATTTGTGGATGCTAAGAAATAGGCATTGTTTTGCAAGTACTTTTCCAGGTAGGTAAACAGAGACAAAAAAAAGTGAGTAATGCACCCAGGGCTAGCCAGTGGATTTGCACCCACGCTTGTCAGTGCTCCTGGCCATCAGGCTCATTTACCACATCCTTCCATTGGCCCCGGCTGTACAAAGACAAGGCAAAATTAGCACAAAAAAAATGGGGAGACATTTCACTCAGATTATCGCTAATCCTGCAAAAGGGTACCCAGAGCTTGTCTGGAGAGTAGAAGACTGCTGCACTCACATGCCCTGTGCTTGGAGTAGACGGTTAGTCGGCTCAGCCAGAGTCCTCTTTGTCTCCAGGTGGTCTCGATCACTTCACTCGATCTCTCCAGCAAGCTAATCAGGCTTCTTACAGGGTGGTTCAGGGGGCCACGAGCAAGCCAGTATTCCCAGAGACAGAAGTGGAAGCTTCCAGTCTCTTAAGGCAAAGCGTCACTTCCGTCATATTCTGTTGGTCAAAACAGAGGCCACCCAGGTTTGAGCGAGAAGACCTAGATCCCACTTCATGACAGGAGGCATATCCAAGAATGTATGCCCTTCTTCAATGTGCCGCAGGACAGCAGAAATATTCACTTAGAACCTTCAGACCTTTCTTAGTTGGCACTAAGTACACTGACATTTCAGAGAAAACCTTTTACATTTCACAAACTTGTAGATGAAACTTTGTATTTTTCTCCTGGATGTCAGCATTATCTCCCTTTTCTTTTTCCTTCTAGGTCTTTCCACAGCTTCTCAGGATCATAAAACAGGTAGTCACTTGTTTTAAATTGAGAATGTAACTCCACAGTTACAGATGCTGCAGAGGCTAGGTAGTTTGCTCAGGACGTGGCACAAAGACACTGGCACAGCATGGGTGAAGGGCTACTTGTCTACTACCCATGCCAGGCTTGTCTTGGCCCCTTCCATGAGAACACCATGGGAGTCAGGACCCCAGCCCATGGAGCCCCTCGGTCCCCACTGTAACCTCACCAAGGGGCATCCATTTGCACTGCTAAGGCCTGTAAATACTGACTTTTTAACCAATGGGGCAGGTTGGGAAGGGGGTATGTGGATCTGCCCAAGTCAGAGTAGATGGGAGGGTGACAAGAGACTTGAAGAGAATGTGGCTCGTCTGACCAGTGGTGCCCAGCCTGCCTTCTCTGGGTACAGTCCTGTAGGGGGCATCCATGATGGGCACCAGCTCATGTACAGAGGTTTCAAGAAATCCAGTCCCAGAGTTTTCATGTCTGTCTGACCTGGCCCAGTTGTAACTACAGCACAAGCAACAGGATAGCTCTGAGATGACTGGGCGCGCCCCTACTTCCCGCCGTCTGTCACAGGGATGACCAAGAATCTTGGAATTCTGGGAGCATGACAATTTAGGCAGGCAAAGACAGAAAGGAGAAAATTAAACAACTTGGTAATTTAGGGACCAGGTCAACAACTCATGTTACATTTTCAAATTTCCTCTAAAATAATTTGATGATTTTAAGATTTGCACTTTTTTGTGTGGCGTGCTGCTTTAGGTGTATGTGTATATATGCATGTGTATGATGTATATGGATAGGACATAAAAATATAATGAAGAATTGGATTTCACTTGTGTGACTCTCATAAATCCAAAGACCTGTAAGTTCCAGTCTCAGTAGATACAGTTAGAGGAAACACCATCTCCCCCAACAAGGTGGTGAAAAAGTACTTAAGAGGAGGTGAGGTGCCAGTCATGGTGCCAACATCCTTCAATGGTGGCCAACATCTCCTTCTCTCCAGCTCATCAGACCCCAATGTTGCCCTGGAGACTCTTATTCCCCAAACCTTCCCAAACTACTCACAACTTACCCAGGCCTAACAGCCTCTGCCCCTTCGCCCCCTCCTTCCCAACCACTCTCCCCCCAAGCAAGAATCCTTCAGCCTTAGAAGAAAGAGGAGAGAGTGAACAGACCTGGTATTTTCATTAGCAGATGGTAAGGGGAGAGGAAAAGGCCAGGAACTCCCACATATTAGTACTTTTGCCCCATCGGGTTGCAATGGAATGTACTTTCCTTCCCTGGATATGTTTAAAGATCTATGTAGACAGCCTGGGTGTGGGTCCCCCACTGCACCCCCAGGTGGACCACACTGCCTGACTCCAGCAGATACCGGGTACCAAGGGGTCGTTAGTAGGGTCACCCCATGGACGCATGCTGACATCCTCTTTCCTGTGGCTTCAGGAGGAAGTAGCTCCTGCGGAGGGGTGATGTCCGGTCCCTCCGGCTCCTTTTCCAGCCCGCTGTACCCAGAAAGCTACCCCACGGACGTCCAGTGTGTTTGGGAGATTCACGTGGAGAAAAAGTTTCGCATTGAACTCCTGATTCCAACTCTGAAGTAAGAAAACAACTTGTTAAGAGGAGAGTCTTTCTAAATAAGAATGGTGGTTTGTGGAATCAGAATAAAGTTGTTTTTTTTTTTAAGCAGGAAACATTTGGGGGTGGGGGTGGGGGACAAAAGAACACAAAATGCTTCCCAATCTGAAGGTCAAATTAATTCTGTCGTGCTCTCCAATGAGTTACTGCTAGTTCGGAGAACTGAATAAGAGGTTTATTAACTTATTCAACTCAACCTTATTATGATAGCTTTTCTTTTTTTTTTTTTTTTCCTTTTCTAAAAATGTCACCCCAATCCTCCTTGCCAGCTTTGCCTTTGTTTGGGTCTCGATACTTAGCCACTTAGATTTTCTTTTTCCTTTATCTAAATTTTAAACAAACAGGAGGGGGCTTTCCAGGCGCACACATAAGCCACCTCCTCCAGCCCAGGCCCTGGGTCCTCCCAATGTTGCCTGTAAGTGAACGGAGCCAGGGGACGCATGGCCTCATCGAGGGCACGTACGGAATACATTTCTCTAAGGCACTGATGTTTTTCTATCTCCATGGCATGAAATAACAGCTGGCATTTTTTAAGTGTTTTAAGTGTTTTTTAAGTGTTGGCTCCGCTCTTTGTATCCAGGCTCTGCTCTATGTATTTTATCTGCTTTGTTCTAGTCCAGCATTGGTACAACCCTAAGATATATATATATGCCCTTGTCATCTCCCCTAGAGGTGAGGAACCTGAGGCTCAGAGAGGTTAGCTAACTTGCCCCAGGTTAACCAGCGAGACCTGTCTGATGTCAAAGCTCCAGCTCTTCTCCAACATGTGATTCTGTGGGAAGACTCTGCAAAAAGCCCTTCTTGCTATGCAGGACACACATCATGTTGCAAACACAGCAACGCTGTGAAACGCTACACACACACTGAATTACTGCTCGGTCCATGGAATCAGGCATGCCTTATGCCAGAGTATCCTAGAAACATGTTGTCCATGTTGACTAAAGCCCTAAGGACACAGAGAGCCCACAAGGAAGTGAGAACCTTGAACCCACCCCTCCAAAGTCCATCCTCTTATAGGTAATCTGTTCTTCTAAAATGAGCCTCACGTACATCCCTCGTGAGTGGCCGCAAAGTGCAGATACTCTCTGTGCTGATGTTTTTATTTTAAAGTCGAGTTTTTTCTCCCCAAGAATTTGAGTATGGAGAATGGTGTGAAATACAGAGGTAGGAAAATCTGGCCGTGATGCTGATTACATGCTGATCATCAGGGTGTTGGTCTGGTAAGAATTCACCTGCGGTGAACACTAGCATTTCTAATGTTCCATTGTAGATGGTGATTTGGCCAGAGCTTTAGTGATTTTTAAATTTCTGTTACTAAATGGTAACCATAAGCCTCCCACAATCCTCAGACAAAATAAGACTTCTATAATAAGGCATCTATAAAAGTCAACTGATGCTTTATGTATCAATATGCAGTTTAAAGTAAATCCAAATATTTAATCCTATGATTGTCATGCTTTTTAAAGTTTTAAGATCTAGGAAGTTTGAAGCCATCACTAACCCTCCACTTCGATGCCCCCAGCCTGGAGGATATCCTTGGATGCCCTTATGACTCCATTGAAATCTTCGACGGCCCCAGGATTGCCTCGCTGTCCATGGGGAAGTTCTGTGCCTCGGTAGCTGTGATATTTTTCTCCTCTTCAGACATCATGACTGTGGTGTTCCGAAGTGATTCTATGATCACCAACACTGGCTTTTATGCTCGATTCAATGTAATTCCACAGGGTGAAGGAGAGCCAGGTAGGAAGTTTCAACTAGGTTTTTGGTCCTCAAAAGACAGAGCAGTTTCCTAACTTGAGCGACTCCCCTGTTTGCCAAGGCCTGGGATTCGGTTTTTAAAACACCCCATAAGTGGCCCCATAAGCCTTGCTGTGTAGCTATTAGATTTTCCCACTAAAAGCGCCACATGGGCAATTGAAACAAGGCAATGATGTGCAGTTGAAATGACAAGATGACTTGGGGGTCGGTAGTGGTAGTGCCTGGGAAGACAGGGCCTGGAGGTTGGAAGAGGATGGCTAGGTGGAGAGGGTGCTCCTGTAGATTGAGCAGGAATGGAAGCCTTGCTTAGGGGACATGTGATGGATGACAATGAAGGCAGAGAGAATAGCAAATACAAAGGCTCTTGGGGACATGCTAGAGAAACAGAAACACAGGTGACCATGGCAGAGCTTGTGCACTCGGCAAGGGAAGGTCTCCAGGAGACAGCACGCCATTCCAGCTGGCTGCCAACCATTGGCCCAGAAATAGCCAACCCCATTGGGCTTTATGAAGTCACAGACACCCTGTTGGCTCAAGTGCCTTCAGGGGATTAAATCTACACTTACCCAAGTCATGTCCAAAAACACAGTTGGGGACCCTTCCCCCCAGGATCCCAGATCCCAGTATTGTGTCATAGACTCCACATAGCAAGACCTGCAGAAGCCAGGGTGTGCAGGTGCTGAGCACTGTGTTTTGTAGTCACACTCGCACATAGTCGTCACCCCTCTGGGATTGCCCTCGGAGATGCATGCTGCTCGAGTCCCCATTTCAGATGAGCAAACTGAGGCCTAGGGATACTAAGCAACTTGCCAATGGTTACACAACTAGAGAGCAGTAGAGCTGGATTCAAACCCTCCTCCGTCTCGCCCTTCTGCCTATAAGCCCCATTACTGAATCAAGACAGCCTGACCCTTGGTTCTCGCACTTACCTGCCTTGGCCACAAAGACAGGAGCTGGAAATCCTTCCTACTTAAAATTTCCCAAGCCCCAAAATAAAACCCTGCTCTATTTAGAAAATGGACCGGAGCTGCGGCTGGTGGGTGGATCTGGACGGTGCTCAGGACGCGTGGAGGTCCTCCACCAGGGGGCCTGGGGCACCGTGTGTGATGACCTCTGGGACCTGAACGAAGCCCAGGTGGTGTGCCGACAGCTGGGGTGCGGACGGGCCATTGCAGCCCCTGGAAAGGCCCACTTCGGCCCGGGGTCTGGAAGCATCCTCCTGGATAACATTCAGTGTTCGGGAAGCGAAAACCACCTTGGCCAGTGCCCCAGCTCCGGCTGGTCGGACCATAACTGTGGCCACCATGAGGACGCAGGTGTCATCTGCTCAGGTAAGCCTCTCCTCCCATGGCAGGTTCTTTCTCACCTTTCGACCGGCAGCATTTGAGTGATGGGTGGAGGAGGTGCCCAGAGCAGGGCCAGGGAAGCTGAGGACAGACGGTGGCCCGACATGAGTGTCCCCTCAGCCAGGCTGACAAAAAATGCTGACAGCCTGACTCCACCTTAAAGAAATGCACGCCAGAGCCACGCACTTGCCAGGTCCTTTATACTCTGCAATCTCTCCGAGGTCTGAGCTACTTTTCCAGAATCTAACATGCCCTTGTTCTAGGCTATGTGACACGAAGCTTACCTGCTTGAGACCTGCCCACATGAGGAAGCCACCACCTGTCCTCATAAAATGTAACTTAGATTTCCTAAATTTACCTTTCTTTTTTTAATTCATGCAGATGCTGGGGCCTGGACTCCAGATGTGACCCCTGCATCCCCAGGTAAGTCCAACACTGTGAACCTCCAATATCTCTGCAGAGTGAATAAGAAATGTAATCTGTCTTGACCTAGACACTGGTGGACAGTGACCTAGACTATGATAACCCAGGGAGCTTTGAAATCCCTGATGCCCCGGCTGCACCCAGACCAGTCACACCAGAATCTCTGGGTTCACACCAAGTCATCGGTAATACTTAAGACCTCTTGTGTGATCCCAGCATGCAGCAAGTAGACAGCGGCTCGGACAGTAAGCTAAGAGCCGCATTTCCCCAATGAGATGGCATCCAAAACTCCCCTCTGGAGAGTGGAGCAAGGAAAGGCAGGAGGGGGAAGGGGGAAGAAGTCCCATCACCATGACTGAGAAGAGGGTCAGGATGGAGAGGAGAGAACGTAGGAAGGTTTGCCTACTGGGAACATGGGTTGGAAAATGAAAGTGTGGGAGAAAACACAGATGTGTCAACGCCATACTCTCCCAGTGGGTCAAGAACAGGCTGAGCGTGAGAAGTGAAGCCATTTGGGGCTACCCTGGAGGGGCCTTCTGACTTTGCCAACAAAGCAAGAATAGAGACAGGGTACATGTTGTTCTGGTAACCTACCCAGAGTCAGTGTGTCAGTGACCTCCAAATTCAGGGCTCCAGTGATATCTGAGCACATGTGGTCCTGCCTCCTGCAGCTGCCTACCTACCTCTCCAGGACAGGCTCTCAGCTGCCCACTGGTACCCTGGGCCCCACCCAGCCTCCTCCCAACCCTGCACGGTGACTACCTCCACCCTCTGCCTTCAGTGGGGGACTGGGTGTGGAGAAGGTCAAGGCTGAGGGGCACCCTGTAGTGCTTGGGGGCTGGGCAAGGTGGCTAGCAGCCTGTCCTTACCCGGGGCTGGCACCGCCGTGGCACATTTGGAGGGACACTTGGTGGGGACCTCTTGCCCACTTCGGTCCAGATCCCAAGGGCATCCCAGGTAGAAGTCACCACCTCCTGCAGGCTGCCCACCTGGTGTGGGATGCAGAAGTGAAAGGGCAATTGATTTCCCCACCTCTGACTGAGACCCCACATTTTCATTTTGCACTGGGGACCACAAAGCATGCAGCAGCCCTGGAGGGGAAGCAGAGCCCACAGAACCGTTTCTCAGGGACCGTCAAGGAGCTGCCTCCCTTCGGTGCCCTCTGGCCTTTCTTTCCTTCCCCAGTGAGGAGTCTCCCCTCGCCTGGAGCCAGAGAGGAGGAAGGAGTAGGGAGGACACGGCTTTCAGTCCATCAGACGGCTCTGTGCCACATCCACTTGCGATCTAGAGCTGCAAACTTCCGAAGACTTTTCTTTCTTTTCTCTCTGCTACCATATTCCTCTTCTGAGGCAGGGATGCATAGCTGACTAAGAGAACGCATCAGGGAATAAAAGACATTATAGGGGAAAATGAAACCCTTTACGTCCAGGGAGTATCCACCCATAGGTGAACCACTTCTCGATAAAGCATTATAGATGGGTGGGGACACACACACACAAAATAAGGCATTGGCCACTCAATCCTCTAAGGGAAACACTGCATATCAAACATTTTAACAAAAAGGAATAGCTTCTTTTTTAAAAGATTTGTTTGTTTATTTGGCGGGGATGGGGAGAGAGTGCAAGCGAGTGGAGGGGCACAGGGAGAGAGGATCTCAAGCAAACTCCGCACTGAATGCAGAGCCAGACCTGGGCTCAATCTCGCAGAAACCAAAGGCAAAAGGACACAGGAAAGGAGGAACCTCCCCACTGAGACCCGTTGACTTCAGTGGAACACTTGTCCCACCTGTTTTTCCCCGCCCAGGCTCTCACAGGTCTGGTTTTCGTCCTTGTGCCCTTCAGCACGTTCTGCAGTGGCATGCTCGTAAACCCGGTGACATTTCTGGGGGCGATGCCTCGTGACTGATCCATCTCAGGACAGGCCTGGCGTCGGCAGACCCCAACACAGAAAAGAAAAGAAGTCACGTAGCTGTGCATAGTCTGAGATTTCTGGGTGAATCACTGAGGGAAGGGGAGAGACCACACCCCACATTAGGAGGGAAAAAAGAAATGAGTGAGCTCACACCATGTCTCAAGACTCGAGTGTAGGAACAGATTCACTCATTTGTATGTAAATATACGATGCTTTGGTCGTGCGAGCTCTTTCCTGATTTTCTTTGGTTTTGGTTTTTGCAGCTCCCATCCCTCAAGGGCCTACGCCACCACAAGGTAACTCTCTTTCATTGAAAGTATGACCTGGAAAGGATGGAATCACTGGTAATTCATGAAAGCAGAATCGAAGTCACTGCCCTGGCTGCCTGAGGGGAAAAAATAGGTGGGATGGAGCCCTCATAGATGGATGGACTGTCTACATCTGAATTGAGCTGGTTTGCATGACAGGAAGCTGGGCAGAGCATTAGTGAGATATCTGCTGGACACCCCACAGCTGCCACGACATGGCCCATCCCGTTTCCAGTCTCACCTACAACCTTAGGGTCCTGCCCTGGTACCAGTCACACATCTTTTCTTCCCCCTCATTCCCTCTAAGGGTGCAATCACACACCAGCCAAGCTACAACTATGTCCACACTACTATGATCCCTTCCAATTCTGTGATTCCCTGTTTTTTTTATTATTATTTTTTATTTATGATAGTCACACACACAGAGAGAGAGAGAGGCAGAGACACAGGCAGAGGGAGAAGCAGGCAGAGGGAGAAGCAGGCTCCATGCACCGGGAGCCCGACGTGGGATTCGATCCCAGGTCTCCAGGATCACGCCCTGCGCCAAAGGCAGGCGCCAAACCACTGCGCCACCCAGGGATCCCTGTGATTCCCTGTTGAGCTTGGTGGAATTCTGGATTCTACTCCTGGGAACATGCAAGGTGCATGCCTGCAGAAGCCAACCAGTGGTCTCTTGTCTACCCACAGGAGGAAGTAACTCTTGTGGGGGAGTACTTTCAGGCCTCCTGGGCTCCTTCTCCAGTCCTTGGTATCCAACGAACTACCCCACTGATGTGGAGTGTGTCTGGGTGATGCATGTGGCTGAGAAGTTCCACATAGAACTAGTGATCCCAAGCCTGAAGTAAGCACCTTTGCCTTTTTCTACTTCAAAGGCCAGACTGGACTTAAATCCACCTCCTGAAGGAGGGGTCCTTTCCACGAATCTGGTCAACTTGACAGCTATAACCAAAATATCATAAACTGGGTAGCTAATAAAGAACAGAGAGTTATTTCACAGTCTTGGAGGCTGTCCAAGATCAATATAAAGTCCAAGATCAATATTCAGTGCCTGTTGTGGGCCCGCTTCCCGGCTCATAGATGGTCATATTTTTACCATAGCCTCACCTGGTAGAAGAGACAAGGGGGCTTTTGCAGGACTCTTTGCAAGGCCACTGATCCCATCGTGAAGGTTCTGCCCTCATGACCTAATCACTTCCCAAAGACCCCACCTCCTAATACCATCCCATTGGGGGTTAGGTTTCAACATACGAATTTTGAGAGGACACAAACTTTCAGCCCACAGCACTGTGTGACACATCCTTTCACATTTTAGGTGAAAACTAGTCTGGTCATCTGAGGTTAAGAGACTTATAATCATTGAGCTCGACTTCCTATGCAGTTAGAGAATAATGCAAATACTCCATGAGCATCCCTGACACCGGGCCACCGAGGGGGCCTCAGCTGGGGTCACACACACAATGACCTCACCCCTCCACTCTCAGCCACCTCCATCCAGGACACTGCTTCTTCCCTGGGCTGAACCCAACCTGGTTCTTCCTCATTCTCATTTTCTCATCTCCATTCTTCCCTCTGATGCTACAGAAAACAAATCTGCTTCCTTTTCCCTCCAAGAATGTCTCTCATGCCCCAACTAAGAGTTTTCTTCCACAGATTTAACAGCCACTATTCATTCATTCCTACTTCTTTCTCTACTCATACCCATTTTTAAAGGACCTTATTTTAATGCATATTTATGCATGTATATATATACATATTCATATACATATATGTATACCTGAATCACTTTTTTTATAGCCTTCTTTTTTTTTAAAGATTTTATTTATTTATTCATGAGAGACAGAGAGAGAGAGGCAGCGACACAGGCAGAGGGAGAAGCAGGCTCCATGCAGGGAGCCCGTTGTGGGATTCGATCCTGGGACTCCAGGATCACACCCTGGGCTGAAGGCAGGCACCAAACCACTGAACCACCCAGAGATTCCCCCTGAGTCACTTTTTAATGAAACTATTGCTTTTCCTGATAATGTTTAACCTGGTTTCATCTTTCTACACTGAGTCCCATCTGGATCATTCTCTCCTCCTGCCATTGTACACCACCTCTTCCCATCTGTGTTCGTCAGCCTCAGTAGTCAAGGAGCTGAATGGTTAAGTGCTGTCTTCAAAGGGGAAATGGGTCGGCAATGGAGAGAGGGATGGATCCTATTAGTTTTACCTGGTGGTCAAAATTCCTTTCAAATGGGGAGAAATAAACTAATACCACAGAGTATTGTATACTGTGAGCAAAAGGTAATTTTCATTCATTCATTCCGCACCCATGCATTCATTGTAAGGAATGTGAGCAGATTCGGTACGATATATTCGAATCTATGTAATTCACAATTCTATGATCCGGGGGCACAGAGTCTCATTTTATCACTTCTGGGAAATAGTTGCTCCAAACACTGTAGTGATCCACTCTCCCTGCATTCTCTAGGTTACTATCCCAACATAGATGTCCTACTATAATTTCAGAATATACAAAGACAGATCTCTGTCCTCATGGAGTTTACACTCTAGGTGGAGAGGCAAATAGTACCTGAATAAACCAATAACCAGTAACTCAATGGACAATTTCAATTAGTGATAAGTTGATATGTGCTATGAAGAAAAATATGCACATATGGTAACAGGATAGAGAACAGAGGGGGTGAGGACAGCATTTGGTAGGATGATCAGGGACAGCTTCTCTGACATCCAGATTGGAACCAGGCAGTTTGGGGTATGGAGGGAAGTGTCCTACTCAGCAGACTCTGGGAGCTTTGACAGCAGGCATCATTTCCCACTGACCCAGGTCCCATTGAGTGTTTTACTCAATGAGACCCTAGTGGATGTCTGCTCCCACCCCAGGAGTGGCAGAGTTTGAATAAAGAGTCAGAGGACATTCAGGACACACTTGAGGTAAAGAGAAAGATGGTAGGAAAGATGGAAAGTCAAGATACCAGATGGGGGCCCTGAAGTCGGCAGCTAAGACACAGAGAAAGGCTAACTGACCTGGGCCAGTGTCCATAGGGAAAGACAGGAAGGAAAATTCAAGCTATAGGTAAGGGGTCAAGTCCACTAGTGGGACGTGTGGTTGGAAGGCAACAGCAGGGATGATTGCAATTTCTGGCTGGTTATGATGCAAATGATGATTTTACTTAAGGCATTTCTGCAGATTTCCTTGGGGAGATTTACTGTGCCTTTACCTCCTTAGATTAGAGGACATCTATGGGTGCCCTTATGACTTTATTGAAGTGTTCGATGGATGGCAAGTTGCCTCACTCTCCGTGGGCAGATTTTGTGCTGGGACAGAGCTCACATTCCTCTCCTCTTCAAACATCATGACCGTGGTGTTCAGAAGTGATGCTATGATCACCAACACAGGGTTTTATGCTCTGTACAATGCCATTCAGCAAGATAAAAGAGAGAATGGTAGGTATCCTGATAGGTACCTTGGAGGGAAATTACACCTAATTTGTGTCCTTCCCCTTTAAGGGCGGAGATGGTTTCTAAATCTGACCTGTGGAGTCTGCTGTCATTAATGACATCCTGAATGACATCCACTCTGACACTAGCAGCCTCTGGCTGACCCGTCACTTGGCTCTGCCATTTGTCATCATTTTTTACCACTGAAACATCCTGGCTAAAGCAAAAGATGCTGAATCTCATATCTTACGTTGACTGTGTCTATAGACAGATGACCCGAATGAGGGTCTTCCTTTTCCAGAGGAAGGGAGGATGCAGTGGGCGATCCTTCTACAACAAACCTACCTCAAACTGCAACTACCAGCCCACCGGATCCCAGCTGAATTCCATACAAAAACAATCCAGAACATATATACAGACCTCTTAGGTTCTACAGCAGGACATTGGGAACATTCTAGGGCTCTCAATGAATTATGCTTAGGGTGACCATGCAATTTATCCTCCAATCAGGATGTTTTTGAGAGTTTAAAAGGAACTCTAAAATAATTAACAGATAGATGTGATTTACAACTATTGTAAAACAGGACTATTCCAGGTAAATTGGACATAAGGCCACCTGACCTAGAGTTCGATAGCCTAACATGGAAAAAAATGTGCCCTCGTGCCAGGCATCCTGTAACTGCAGAAGGTCCTATGGTTTTGGAGACAGCACCACAGCTCAGAAGCCCCTGTTTTCCTGTCCCCCAGGTGCGTCCCTGAGACTGGTGAATGGCAGTCACAGGTGTGAGGGCCGGGTGGAAGTCCTCTACAACAGTACCTGGGGCACGGTGTGCGATGACAACTGGGACATGACAGATGCCAAGGTAGTATGCCAGCAGCTCGGCTGTGGTGAGGCCTTATCAGCCCCAGGTCAAAGCTACTTTGATGGAGGCACTGGCCACATCATGCTGGATGATGTTCAGTGTAAAGGGAATGAAGCCAAGGTGTGGCAATGCACACACAACGGATGGTTCTCCCACAACTGTGGGCACCACAAGGATGCCAGTGTCATCTGCTCAGGTGAGCCCCCATAGGGCACAGCACACATCAGAGCAAGTCTCACCCATTAGCAGACCCTGGAAAGGGAGAAGTCAATGCCAGCAGACAGTGACTCAGAAAGGAATCCAGGGCTTCTAGCCATCTTTTTAAGTCAGTTTGTTTAAGAGCTGGTTTTCCTTCTGTAAAATGTTTAAAGATCCCCATCACCATTAAAACTTGTGATAATTAGAGGATTTGTATTGTCAGACATCCCATTCCTGGATAGATATGCCATGGTGTTGGGGACAATCCACTCTCCCCCACAGAACAACGGTAACTGACTTCCAAAGAGTGCTTAACGTGTTCCAGGCTCGATGCAAAAACCAGTGCATTCATACTCTCATTTGATCTTCACAATCTCTAATAAGAGAGATTATTACATTCTCATCTTATTCATGAGGACACAGAAGCATATCCAAGATCACACACCGTGTGATCCATATTCTAAGTATCACCTCCAAAGTACCGTATAAAAGTCTGAGTTTGAATTAGTTACTAAAGGCTCCTCCAGCCCCATTACTGACCAAAAGTAAATAAATACCATATTTTTTATTTGCCTTCAATTTTAGTATTTCCAGCAATTAGATAAAAAGCAGATAAGCAGAGTGTGCCCCCTCACCTAGGAGGCCCTGATGTAGGCTGCCAATCTTTAACCAACATTGATGGGTTTTGATGCTACACTCCCAACTGCCCATAAAGAATGTGTTTGATCCTTTAAAAAAATATAAAAATAAAGAACACCTGATTTTCTTTTGTGAATCACATGACCATCTTCCTCATTCTTTCTTTTGGTCTTTGAGTAGGTGTTGATGGCAGTCTGAAAGTAGAACCAACAGGTATGGTTGCTTTTCCATACATTTCAACTGCTTAGCTGACCTCTGAGTGATATATGTGATCCTGGCTCCTCATTAATACTGTAATCAGGGCACAGCTAGTTGACTGCATAAACCTTCTCTTGCTAATGAACAAGAATGACACATCCCATTAGTGTTGACATATCGGTGGGGCTGGGAGCCTGCAGAGGGCAGGGAGAGAGCTGGAGGGTAGAGTTCAGGTTCACCAGAAACATAGTATCTGGGTTCCAGGGGTGCCATGAGTCAGCACGTGCCACGACAGAGGGCTAGCTGCTTGCAGGGATGATCATGCCACAGATGCTGCAGAGAGCAAGGAGATGGGAACCCCAGGTCAGCCCTGAATGAGTTGTATCGAACTACTCCTAGCCACACACTCAGTGTGCAGTCCTCCCAACTCTTAAGGAGCCACTCATCAATGTCCAGTAGGGTACAGAGAAGTCACAGCTTTGAGTGTTACTGTTTTTTAGTATTTTAGAGGAGTATCCTGGATAAAAGTCCTTGCTCACAGTATTGTTTTTCCTCTGTGTGTTTTCACAGACTCAACTGGTGACAACGCAGCTACAGGTATGTCAGCTTCACTTAAACCCTTCATGTGGTTTTATATTTGCCTGATTTTCACTGTTAATGCTTCCAGCAGCTAGATGGATGCTCCCTTCCTTTTATACTTAAGAAACTGAAGCACAGAGGAGACTGTAACTTAAATGTCACACCAAATGCAGGATTTCAGCCATAAAATGGATGCTTTACATGCCATTGGTGCTGACTTTAGCTGGGATTTGTATATAATACAAGGGATCTTTCATCATGAGTGGTTTTATACCCAGCCAGTGTGACATGGACTGAGAAAGGACACTCAGGCTTGCAATGTCCTTGTATCTTTTCATTAAAACATATGCTCAGACCTCCCTGTGCATATGGGTCCAGAAGCCCTGTCAACCATATGTCACTGTCATTTCTCCTGTAAGCTTGATGGGATAGGTGTAATAGTCTTATCTGACAAAGAACAGCATCAGAAACCCAGAGGAGACCCCCAAAGCCAGCCTCATTACCAGGCAAAGCACCCCTGGAATAAATCTCCCTCACTACCACTCCCTGTGCCCTCTGACCCCTCTGAAGACACAAGCATAGGTCAGCACTTCTCTCTGACAAGGTTTTTTGGCTGTTTCTTGCAGATGAAAACTTCCATTGTGGCGGCCTGCTCACAAATAATTCAGGCTCCTTCTCCAGTCCTTGGTATCCTAAAAAATACCCTATAAATGTGGTGTGCACCTGGGACATACACGTGGATCCCAGGGCTCATATCAAGCTCACATTTGAAGTGGTGAAGTGAGTAGCTGTTTCCCACGTTGCTCAGTTATAGGCACAGTGACCCTGCTCACTCCCCTACCCCCACCAATAAACAAATGAATAAACAAATCAATCAGACCCACCTTCCATAGTTAGTTCTCAAAAGTGAGGAAGGCCTTGGAGGCCTGTTCAGTAACGATCAAAATTTTGAAGGCAAAAGTCTTAATGCAGCTATTCTAGTTCCAGAAAATCAGTCTACTGATAAAGTCTTGTGCACAAGGGATGATGATAGCACTCTTTTTTTTTTAAGATTTTAAAAAAATATTTTATTTATTTTTTCATGAGTGATGGAGGAGGTGGGGCAGACACACAGGCAGGGAGAGAAGCAGGTCCCATGCAGGGAGCCTGATGTGGGACTCGATCCCGGGACTCCAGGATCATGTCCTGAGCTGAAGGCAGGTGCTAAACCACTGAATCGCCCAGGGATCCCCAAAGGCAGTACTCTTATAGGAGCACTAGATTGGAAACCATCTAAGTGTCCATCAGTAGGGGGCCAGTTAAACAGGATTGGGCCCATCACACACCTATGGGGGATTGCCTTGGGATGATCTGCAGAAAAAGCCTCAGACAACAGGCCAACAGCTGTCATCTGTGCTTAGACTCGATCTGGAAAGAAATAAACCATTTATAGTGACTGTTTCTAAGAAGCTTCTGTAAAGCAAGAGGGATTAATTAGGGGTAAGAGAAAACTTCACTTTTCACCAAATACCTGTCAATACAATTTGAATTCCGTTCTTTGGGTTTATCATGCATGTTCAGGAAATGCGATTAAATGGAAACTTTATAAATTGAAAGATTTTTATAAACAGGAAGATACGTACTGCATGTCAGCAGGGTCCTATTTCCCTCTGAGCTGTGTGAGAAGATGGAAGTTTCAGGTGGCTCTTCCAGAACCTTCCCTTCCTGAACCAATCTGTACAGTGCTTGGTGGAGGGGAAACCCCAGCAGATGGCATCTGAATGATATCATTTACTTCACAGGTTGGAGAACTTCTACAGCTGTCCATACGACTTCATTGAAATCTTTGACGGCCCGCAGAATGAATCCTTTTCTCTGGGCAAGTTCTGTTCTGGCACAACCCCAGTATTCACCTCCTCCTCAAATCGCTTGACAGTGGTCTTCCACAGCGATGCTATCGTCACCAACATGGGCTTTTATGCATCCTACAAGTCTTTTGTGCAAGACGAGAACAATACCGGTAGGTCCTTTGGCCATTTTGGCACCAGCCCTGCCTGGTGATGATGGCAATGGTGGGTGGCCAACTATGACCCCCAGGGTGCCAGGGATTGAAAGGGGCCACCCCATTCCTTCACTTACCCCTGAGATCTGACTGGAGGAAGTGATTGAACACTCAACACGGCTGTGGAGCAGCACATCCATGCACATCTTCTGATACTACAGCTTGTCACACAGCACCCAAGAGGGGTCTCAGGTTAGGGTTAGGGTTAGGGTTAGGGTTCCTGATGTTGTCTCTGAGCCTGTTTCATTCAAAACACATCTGTAGTCTCTTTACCCCTGCTTCCAAATATTGCCCACCCAGAGTGGCCACTACCAGGGTCAGCATGCCTGGGGCTGCCCACCTCAACCCAGGGCTCTCAGAGGTCTCCTTTTGCCTATGTAAGCAGACAATCCTGTGTGGGGGAAAGGCTTGTAAAAACAGCCCTCAAAAAGTCACATTGTTGTGAGAGATGGAGCCCAAAGCACCCTTGGCAGCCCACTTTAACCCTCGGTGGCTCCCCATGTCAGACAGGAGAGCCCTCGAAAGCTGGTCAACTCCCAGGAAATGCCCAGGTCCTTTCTCGAAGGCAGGGACAAAGGGAAGGGGTGCCCAGAACATGACCCAGGCGTGCCTGCCTTTTCCAGATGTGGCCCTCAGGCTGGCCGGCGGCAGCCACCAGTGTGAGGGCCGCGTGGAGCTGCACTACAACGGCACCTGGGGGACAGTGTGTGACGACAGCTGGGACCTGCGTGATGCCCAGGTGGTGTGCCGGCAGCTGTCCTGTGGCTGGGCGGTGTCGGCCCCCGGCAGGGCACATTTCCACCAAGGCCTGGGCCCCATTGCCCTGGACGACGTGCAGTGTGTCGGCACGGAAGCCACGCTGTGGCAGTGCCTGCACAGTGGCTGGTTCTCCCACAACTGTGGCCACCACGAAGATGCCAGCGTCATCTGCTCAGGTGGGTCTGATTCTGACACAAGCGGGTGGGCGACATGGCATTGCCGACTGCTCAGAGCAGGAGGGGATCCTCAGCTCTGGCCACTCGATCCCCTTGCATGGTTTCTACCCACCTACCACCCACACCGAACTCTCCCTAATACTTCCTTTTAGGTGGCCTCTTCTTCTTTCATGTACATGAAATCATTTTACAAGGAAGTTCCATATCCCGCCACACACGGACAGGCGGGATCGCTTACCATAAACAGGCAATCCATACCAATAGACCCAGTGGCAATAAAACAATGTTAAAATGTTAAAAAAAAATTAAACAACTATCTAATCTGATCAATTTATGCCTGTTGCATATCTGAAAATATCCTTAACCAGAATGGAACTCAATTTAAAATTTTGAATTATCATGCTATACAAATATGTAAGTCTTAAAATAGAAGATGCGCCATCTCAAATTATCTCACATCCCACCAGCGATGAGTCATGCCTCTGGGAAATGTCTCTTTGGTTCATCCCACCTGTTGGCCAGTTGACAGAGAGATGGCTCTTAAAGTCACAGAGCTGGGAGCCCAGGTCCCAACCCAGGGCTGCTGTTCTTTCAGTTTTATCCCAGTTGAGTTTCTGCAAATAAATTCAGTACTTAGAGTGAAAAGCCCCCAATTATCTCTGCATCCTTCTGGGTTTGCCTGGGGAGAGCCAAAGTGGTTTATCAACTAGACCAGGCCACAATGACCAGAGGATGAAAGAGCAAGTAGTGTAGGGGTACTGGAAGCTTCTGAGAGACAAAGAGAGAAGTCAAGGGGCAGAGTCAGTGTTGAAGTAAAGTAGGAGCTGAAGTCAAATGCTAAGTATGACATCTGAGGACAGGGCTGGAGGCCTAAGGAGCATATAGTTCTGTGCTTTGCGAACTGATGTTTACTCTGGGAGGCAAGACCCACATACACAGGAAGAATTACAAAACCAAACTGACTGGAAAGACAGGCACTCCACATAAGGCAACCATCACTGTGGCCACAGCTTGGGGAGGGGGCACGGGTGGGAAAGACATTGGGACGTCCAGCAGCTGGACGGGAATGAACAAGGTGACCCAGGACATCTGGTGGTTGTAATCATGGCAACTCAGGGCCATTCTCACGGGTCCAGATTGGGGGCAGTTTCTCCCCAGAACAACACATGGACCTTTCCATTTCAAATAGGCAGATCAACCTCTTGGGCTTGAGAAGAATGAAAGGACATGACCTACGCTCACTTTTTGATTTATGTCTCTCCTAGCCTCCCTGCCTTCCTCAGCACCATCATCTGCTACGAGTTACCCAACTTCAGGTAATTTCGGTTGTTCTTGATTGAGGAACTGTAACTTCTCTTGGCAAAGTCACCCTAGATAATAGGGCAATGGTTTAGGGGCCCAATGCCCTGGATCTGTCATCCTGGCTTCATTATTTATGAACTGTGGGATCTCGAATAAATCTCTGAACGACCTTGTATCCCGAGTTCCTCCTGTAGCTAAGGAGGAGGAGGAGGATAATAGCATTTGCCTCCTAAATCCGTGTGGAGACTCGGTGCTCTCTCCGTGTAGCATGGCTGGAGCAGTGCCTGATGTGTGGGCACATGATCTAGGGGCAGCAGGCTCCTTCCACGCACCGCCAGGATTCATCTCTGTATGTCCTGCTTTCTACCTGACAGCATTACAAAGAATGAAGGAACAGAATGCATGACTTGGTCTTTGTGACTCTGTGACCGGCTCACTAGTTGTCACACTGTAAATTAGGTCAGCAGCCCGTCTGTGGCAGAGTCTTTAAGAGTAAAATGCAATATGCAGAGGAGTTAGGAAAAAGAAATGACCTCAAACCTTCAAAGGAAGCACCAGGGTAGGTTATACTGAACAGCAGTGACCCCCAAATGCTTGGGGATGCTTTGTTTAACATCTATCTGCTTAAAAAACAAAAACGATCAACCCCTGTGCTCTGATTTTCTGGAGTGTGCATCAGCTGCCTCTCCTCTGGGTACGCGCACCACCTGACCGATGGAAGGTGCGCCCCTACCCAGCAAGGACCATGGAAGGGAATCAACCTAGAATCAGAAACTGTACATGACCCACAAGGCTGAGGGCCCACCACCAGTTCACTGAGAGGTAAACATGTTTGACACTTGAGATGTTGTATCCTGGTCTTCTTTTGTGTTTCCCTCTATTCTCAGCATCTTTCCTGAAGAAGCCGACAGAGGTGCCCACATCAGCAGGTAAGTTCTTCCCCCGTCCTCCGCTGCCTTCCCTGACTCGTGCTTTAGTTCAGAAACACTCCAGTGTGACTGCTGTGGGCAAAAGCATCCCGGCTGGAAACGTTCCTCCGCAGCCTCAGGCAAGTGCGCAGGTGGAGGCTGCTGGAGGGAGGACTGAGGATGCCTGGGTCCTCCTAGAAAATCTGTGGTTGGAGAGTGAGTGACAAGAAGCTTCAAGATGCAAGAATGGCTTCTGGGGACTGGTCTGGAGGGCTGAGGGTGGCCCACTCACTCCAGATCTCCCCCTTCCCTGCCAACTCCCACCATGAGTTGTCCTTGGCTGTGTTCTGAGCATACCCGGTCTCTGTTCCCTTCTGCAACACCGCCCTTCCACCGTGAGGGGCAGCCTGGAATGTCCGCACATGGGTGGTGGCACCTGATAGATGGGAGCCATTGTTATTGTCAGTTGATCAATGTGTGCAAGGGCACACAGAGAATATTACACACACACACACACACACACACACACACGAATTGGTATGTGTATGTTAGCGTCTCATGAAAAATTCAGCAAAGACTTCACAAGACACAGTAGAAGAGTAGAAGCAGCTGTATACAGTGAGGCGGGTCTGAGCCAGCGGCTAAGGACCAAAAACCATCTGTTAAGCAACTGCAACCTTTGGAAACCCAGTAACACTCAAGGCAAAAATAAATGAGTGAACAAAGTGGAGAGGAGAGTAGATTTGTTATCACTGATCATCAGTGGACAATTTCCAAGAAGTGCTGGCCCCGCTGGCAGCCTTTCGGATGAGCCTTGACGGAGGTCCACCAAGTTCTGGGCCTGCAGCTGATGAATGGGTCAAGCAGGCGTGAAGGCCGAGTGGAAGTCTACTACGCTGACACCTGGGGCACGGTGTGTGAGGACAGCTGGTCCCTAGAGGATGCCCACGAGGTCTGCAGACAGCACGCTGTGTCCTGGCTGTGTCCGCCCTTCTAGAAGCCAGCTTCGGCCCTGTTTCAGGCAATATCATTCCCGGACAATGTCAACTGCCCCGGAAGCGAGTCCTCCCTGGGGCAGTGCCCTCCCAGAGGCCGGCTCACACAACTGGGACCGCTACCAAGACGCTGGTGTCATCTGCTCAGGTGGGCACAGGTCCCCTCCGGGCCGGTCATGGAGCTGCCTGGGCCAAGCCTAGAAATTTGCAGATGGAGTTTGGAAACGTCTTCACGCCTTAAGCTTCTCCATGTCCAGGACTGATGATTTCTGTTCTGACTCTGAAAAAGTTGCCAGCTGCTTAAGGTATGGGAGGGCCCCATTCAACCCGAGTGACTGTAAAGGTTAATCCATTGCAAACTAGAGAAAGTAGTGGTACTTAATCTCCTCAACTTGTCGGAAGATTAAACGCGGTACTCCTCCTCATACAGCACTTAGTCAAGCCAAGGACGCACGATGAATGCACAACATGTTAACTCTTTTGTTGGTGGTGGCATTTTAGTTACTAAGGCAAATTCTTTCAGAATCACTATCTCGGAGTTTTGGGCCTGGCTGTACAAAGCCAGAGGGGACAGCCCCAGATGTGTAAGCACAAATGTTTACACCACCTCGTTGAGTGGCATTTAAACTGAGACAACGATCTTTGAACCATTCAACTGCCCTCATTTCTATTATTTTTTTTAAGATTTTATTTATTTGTTCACTTATTTTAGAGAGAGAGAGAGAAAGAGAAAGAGAGCAGAGGGGAGGGGCATAGGGAGAGGGAGAGAGAGAATCTCAAGCAGGCTCCATGCTCAGTGTAGACACGGGGCTTGATCTCACGACCCTGAGATCACGATCTGAGCCAAGAACAGGTGTTGGATGCTTCACAGGCTGCGCCACACAAGGGCCCCAGCTCATTTCTATTATTAAACCACCCTCATGTTTCCTTTATCTCTGCAGATTCTTCAACTGCTGGACATCCAGGTATCTGTGAGTTCACATCCATTTTATCTGCTGATTGGTGACGAGCCACCCAGTGCAAGGGTCCCCACACTAGGTCTCTCTCCCTACACTTCACTTTCCCTGACAATGCCCTTAGCTCCCAACCTTTCCCAGAAGGTGAAGTCCCAGAGCTCTTTCCCATTCCCAAGGGGCCCTACTCTGTCCCCAGAGGGAAAGCTGTTCTAGGTTTTAACGGGTTTGATGGCATCTTTCCCATAAATGAGACCTGCATGTCAACAGGACTGAGACGCCAGCTCCTGACCCAAAGGGTTGGCTGATGCAACAGAGGTTGTGGCAAGCCAGAGAAGGCAGGAGGCTCTGAGGGCAGGTGGGCCTGGTGGTAGACATTTCTAGGCCCCACCTGCAACCCCACCTAGGCCCTGGATGCTGCTGCTGCTGAACTCTGTGGTTCTGAGAAGCTCCCTGGGCCAAAGGGGCCATACCTTCACAATCCCAACATCCCCTTTATTTCTTTTATTGTCTTACTCTTCACCAGAATAATATGTACACATGTATGAGCTACCATCAAATTTTAAGTACTAACTATTCGATTAGAGATTGGACAGAATTGTTTAAGGGCAAACAAACTCATGCATGTGAGGTAGAGGGTGGTGAGACAATTATGCAATCGCATCATTGGTTTGGAATGTACTCAGGATGACTGTTTTCTTTTTACAGATGCTTCAGCTCCTGGGGAACAGCCACATGTTTTCCAACCAATAGGTATCTTTTCCATTTTTACATTTTGTGACTTCTTTTCTTAGGCTGGCCTTTGCGGCCAACAGAAATGTAGCCAACATAATTTTCCTGGCCCTGGTGATGTCAGGAATAAAAATTGTGCTCATCGGAGGCAAGCTGGTGATGTGCTGGGCCGTCCCCGTGTGGGGACTTTTTCAAGGAGAGCCAGGCGCCCACACCCCCTCAGTGGCATCACTGAAAGGCCTATAGGAAGGCCCTGACCCACACAGTGCTCTTGGTGGCCCTTCTATAAGGGGATCCCATGAACCAGCCCAATCTCTGGGGCTCAGAATCTGCTTTTGGCTGAGGGGAAAGTTCCAGTCCATCAGCATCTTAGCTTCTTGGAGGAGCAACACTCCTCTTCCCCTGCTCAGTTTTCCAGCCCCAACCTCTTCCCTCGTCCTCCAACAAATACTCCATCCTTTTTAAAATTCAAGTAAGGTGAAATTAATTTCGTTCTGAAAAGTCTATAACATTTTTCGAGAGACCTGGGTAAGAAATGTGAAGTCTAAACTCCAGGCATTCCGCTGAACCTGTTTTGAATTTTGAGAGAAGCCACATGACAAAGGACACCCCAAACAGGAAGAAAGCAGAAACTTGTTTTCAAGTGTGTCTTCTACAAAGCCACCATGTGGCCAGAATCCCCATAAAGAAATGGCCCAGTGAGTGAAAAACACTATAGAGTGTGAGCTAAATTTCAGAAGCAAGAAAGAGCCATGTGGTCTCCTCTGCATGTATCATCTCCCTGTGGACACAGGCTGCCTGGGCAGAGGGCAGCAAGCTGCAGACTGGGGTACAATTCTCTAACTGGAAATAGTGTCTCATTTGAGAGTCGAGGGAACCTTCTCAAGCCTCCTGCCCTTGGCTCCTACAGACCTGCTGGTGGTGCAGTGGGCAGCCAGGAGGAGCAGGTGTGAGGACTGCGTGGAGATCCTCTACAGCAGTACCTGGTGTGTGACCCCCTCTGGGGCCTGCTCGCTGCATGGGTGGTGTGCTGGCACCTGGGCTGCGGAATGGCCCTGGTGGCCCAAGAGGCAGTCTGTTTGGTGGCAGCTCAGGCCCCATCTTCCTGGATGATGTGCGTTGCCCGGACAACAAGAGCAGCCTGGGCAGTGCCACCACCTTGGCCTGTTGGTGCATAACTGTAGATGCAACAAGGATGCTGGGCCGTCTGCCCAGATACCTGACCTTTCCCCAAGACATGGTTCTCTCCCCAAGCAGCAGAGTCAGATCTGCCAGAGGGCCAACCCTGGAAGGCTTGGCGTCCGAAGTCATGAAAATAACTTGTCCCATTTGCCTGGAATATATTCCCAGATGTAGCACTGGAAGTCCCATGTCATGGGAACCCCCTCAGGTTCAGCTAACCCAGGACATCGGTCACAGTAGCCTCAAGTGTGCCTGATACCACAGCTTGTTCCCTGGGCCCTAAGAAGAGAAGGGATCCTATGAGCAAAAACATGCCTGGCAAGCAGGAAGCTATGCCCCTGCTCAAGACAACTTTTAATTTCTAGGAATGATTTTTGTGTGACAATCTCATAAGTTTCTCATGAAGGTATTTCTCAGCTCTCCTGATTTGCTGATTGCCCGAGTAGGGATTTTTCTTGCCATTAGGGATGATTTCATGCAACCTCTTAAAAAAGCCGAATGAACATTTAAAAACCCTGCTTGGTTACCTTTTGCTACTAAACAATGTACGCAGCGAATATCCGTGACTCCCACCCCACGGCCCAGAGCCACCCCCCCTCAGAGGGTTGGGGGGAACAAGGTCCCCAGACAGGTGAAGATGCAGAGGAGGTGAGAGTATTTCTATCCTACCCTTTTGTTGGGTAGTTTTGATTTTTAGCCCATAAAGTGAGCGTTTGGTGCTGCAAATGAGTCGTGGTATCTCTCGATGAGAGCTCTGAGTCAAAAATGGCATCAGGTGCTCATCTGTCCTATTTTGTAGCTTCAGATCTGATCGGAGTGGCTATCGATGGATCCTCCCTGGAAGAGGTCAGATAGATGCTTCAGATTAGTGTCCATAAGCCAGAATCTCACCAGCGGAGGGAAAGATGGTCTTAGAAATGCAGTTGCCTTTGCCAGGCCTGCCGGCACCAGCACACTGGCACAGAGTGGGTTCATGTGCCCACTCAGCTGGTGTGTGGGAGCATTTTGCAGATGGGCACCTGCGCTAACGTGAATGCTTTGGGTTTTCTCTTTCAGCTACTGAAGCCGTCCCGGATCCAGCAGAAACAACTCCTACAGTCGGTAATCCTTTTACTGCTTCTTTCGGGGCTTGCTAACTATTGACGCTCTAGGGGGCTCCCTGAGGCTACAGTCAGGCTTCGGGGGAGAGGCTGTGGGCAGAGCTGGCCCCTGGTCTAGTCTCTGCCTCTAAAATTTGTCTAATTGTGAATCTGGCCCAGTGTACGAGTTTGGCCTAAAGAAAATAGTGAAAAGTTGAATCTGAAATCTTCCCATGCTGCTGCTTAGCCATTTAATGACCCAGTTCTAAAATCAATATCTATCCTTATCCTTGCAATTATCCTATTTCAGATGCAAAGATGGGAATTCGGAAACACAGTATCTGAAATCAGAGCTAAGCTGGAAAAACCAGTTGCTTCATTTGTAATCTCTAATTTGACTTTTCCCTATGGGGCTTGGGAAAAGAAGTGAGAGATGGTATAGAGTACTGGACTTCGGGGTTTGTGGTGGTAAAAACTGCAGGAAAGTCCTATTAAGAATTACTTGCCGAAATAAGGGGGGGTAGGGGGACGTGGAAATTAAAGTGAGAAAGCTCGGGTCCCATCGGGGTCCTCCAAACACCTGCTTAAGATCCATTCTCAACCTTGGTTCCGGGGGGCCTCTGGGTCCTTCTTGCCTCTCTTAATTTGCTGATATACCCAATGCTTGAACCTACACTCATAAGTTCACTTTAGAGCTCTCAGTCTCTGGCCTCTTCAAGGATTTACCAGATCCCCCGTTATCCACCTACTGGGGTAATCGCTCTTCCCAGTCCTTGGCTTAAAATTATGTCTTGAGCCTTAAAGCTGCCTTTGTGGTGCTGCTTGGGGGAGGTCCATGAACAAAACCCAGTCCTTCTCACCTGGACTCTTTGTGAAAGCATCGACCCTATTACCTTGGGGCCTCAGGGGTATGAGATGGTTTCCTTTTCTCCTTTTCTTAATTCAGCCCACGTGTGCACTATCTCAGGCCGCCAAACAACCAGAATTGCAAAAGCAAATCAGACAAAATGAAAATACCCACTTTATAATATCTTTCATTTTATGGAGCAAAGACAAAACTAATAGGATTCAGTGAATTCATCTATTTATTTAACAGATATTTCTTGAGCCCTTTCCCTGCAGCGAGCACAACTCCACATGAAGATGTAGAAGTGAGCCCAGCAGGCAAAAATCCTGCCCTCATTGGGCTTCCTTACCAGGGGGCAGTTCAGGATCATTTATGTGTTTCCACCACAATAGGTTGTTCACGAAAGTAAATCAATATTGAATCAAGAGTTGTAATAGGCTTGATTATGTTAAGGAGCCACTCTCCTTTCGTATTCAGACCTCGGTGCTGCAGTATAACTAGTATAACTAGTTAGATCAATGAAAATGAGCAGTGTTGGAAACCTAAGGTCAGAATTAGGAAGGTTTCTATACTTCAAAACCCTAAGAAATATTTACTCTGCAGAGCATCAGACAAGCAGCCTTCCTGACCCACGCAGGGAGATTATACTGTCCTGGGAACCAACAGACAATTCTCACGTCCATCTTTGTGCAGCCCTATCTCCAACTCAATCTCATCCAAGAGCCTTTCTTATTTGTAATTTCACATTTCAGAAGTCATTTTTGTGTCTAATTTTAGTATATCTGAGGCATAATTGCTTCAAGTAAAAAGATATCTTCTAAATTTTCCATTCGTGGGTGGGATTTTTGTTTGGAGTTTATCTGATTTCAGTTTTGGCTTTGTTTTACAATTTCAGCATCAGCCTCGGAAGAGACCACTTCGCCTGGTAATTTTATTTTCATTCTTGCTTTAGACAAGTCACAGATGGCTGGATGGCTTTGCATATGGTTAGGGTTAAAGTTTATACATCACCAGAAACTAAATATCAAGCTCACATCAAACTAACACAAGGTACTCACACATTCACTGAATGCTTAGTAACTAGGGCAGATAGTGCTCGCATCCCTTCCATATGGAGGACACTGTGATGCCCACCGAGCGCTCTTGACCATTGGTGCACCTGCAGACCTCTGAAATCAAGTTATAGTGACATAAGCGTCCTTCAGAGTCACACGCTTGGGAATTCAATGAGTTCATTCTTTTAACAGCGCAGGACTTCAGGCATCATGGGCAAAGCTATCCCTGTAATCTGCATTGTCAGAAAATAATAGAGTTCCGCATCTCTGTGTGTGCTTCACAATACAGTACACCACCCCGGTCATGTGCAAATTTTTAAAAATAATTTGCGTGACTAAATAAGTTGGGGAAATACCACATCCCTCCCTTGAAGATTCACAGTCTGTTAGCCCATTAAAGTCTCAACAAATCCTATAGTAAAGGGTCTTTTTTTTTTTTAACACTTGGCTGGACCCAATACTTCTCAAATTTCTTTGACCACTGAAACCTTTGGAGTAGAAATGCAGCATCACAGAATTTGGAGCCCAAGAATCTTGGCTTATGTTCTGACTCTAGCCTTAACCAACTGGACGATAGTGAGCAAGTCCTCTTAACTTCCAGAGCCTCCTTTCTTCCTTCTTCTGGAGAACAGGAGGAGGAAGCTTGTCTTGGAGATTGGATGGCATACACTGGTGCAAGAACACAGTGGTGGGAACTTGGTAGTCACACTACTAAGCATGTGTGCACTACCATCTGCTGAGTCTGACCTGGCTCTCTAATTTAAGCAGCACATGTGTCTTTATAAACTTCCCTCTTGGGGGCCCTGAGGATCATTCTAGGGCTTGAGTTAATCAATATATGACTAAGTAAGTTGGAGAAATACCATCTCAAAACAAATAAATTCAAGTCAAATTTTCTCTGAAGGTAAACAGTTGTGACAGTAGTTCATGGTACATATTTCCAAAATTTCAGAGCCCTCTGCTAGGCTTGGGAGAAACTGATCTCTAAGAAAACAGGCAGCCCATGGGCCAGTTTTGATGCAGGGAGGAGTTTTGATTCAGACAACAGAGTATTTTGTTTTTGTTTTTTTTAAAAGATTTTATTTATTCATGAGAGACACAGAGGGGGTGGGGGGAGAGGGGAGGGGGCAGAGGGAGAAGCAGGCTCCATGCAGGGAGCCCGAAGTTGGACTCGATCCTGCGTCTTCAGGTTCAGGCCTTGGGCCGAAGGCAGCGCTAAACCGCTGAGCCACCCGGGCTGCCCCAGACAACACAGTTTTGCCTTTGCAATGTTTAATTTGATTTTAATATTTAAAATGAGCAATTTCATATAAAAGTCCAGATTTCAAGCTTTTTTGGAAAACCCAGAGGGTAGGAAGCGCTAGCATGAATTTTGGCAAGGCACCAATTGCCTGGGATTGAGCAGAAAAGGGACCCTTTCCATGGGCAGTGCTGTTTGGTTTCTTCCTGGCCTGTGTCAATTATTTCTGGGGCTAGAGTCATGTCCATCTGAATGCTTGGTGCCTCCCAAACTTCAATACGCATATAAATCACCTGGAGATCTTTTCCTTTTAAAGATTTATTTATTTATTTAGAGAGAGAGGGCGAGAAAGAGAGAACAGAGTACAAGTAGGAAGGGTAGAGAGAAGCTCAAGCAGACTCCTTGCTGAGCACAGAGCCTGACATGGTACTCTATCTCACAGCCCTGAGATCATGACCTGAGCCAAAACCAAGAGTCCAGCGTTTAACTAACTGAGCCATTCAGGGGTCCCACCTGGAATTTTTTTTTCATTGGTGTTCAATTTGCCAACATATAGAATAACACCCAGTGCTCATCCCATCAAGTGCCCCCCTCAGTGCCCGTCACCCAGTCACCCGCACCCCCTGCCCACCTCCTGTTCTACCACCCTCTGTTCGTTTCCCAGAGTTAGGAGTCTCTCATGTTCTGTCTCCCTTTCTGATATTTCCCACTCATTTCTTCTCCTTTCCCATTTCTTCCCTTTCACTATTTTTTATATTCCCCAAATGAATGAGACCGTATAATGTTTGTCCTTCTCTGATTGACTTCACTCAGCATAATACCCTCCAGTTCCATCCACGTCAAAGCAAATCCCACCTGGAAATTTTTTTTTTCCCAACCTGGAAATTTTTTAATGCAGACTCTGATTCTGCAGTAGTTCTGGGGTGGGTCCTGAGGCTTTGCATTTCTAACAAGGTGATACAAATGCTGCTGGTCCATGGACTAGCCTTCCGCCTTTCAGCGGAAGCTGAGAGATGCAAAGGGACTTGTCCAAAGTCACATGTTTGGTTACACAAAGAGCAGAGACTAGAGCCCAGGCCTCTTGGGTCCCAGACCCAAATATCACCTTCCGCATTATTTATTTCCCTTAGCTTAATGATACAGAGAATAGGAAAACCAAATAGGAACAGAGCATAATCAAATATGGACACAGCTGGAACATAATTTGTAAAAAGGGTGATTAAAAAAATTGTTTACCAATCAACTTGATGAACAAGGATGGTATTTAATTAAAATCTCCTTAAATTGTGCTTGTTTTGACAGCCCCTGCCTCCATTTCAGCCACAGATTCGGTCCCTGCAACTGGTAACAACCTTTCTGCTGATTTGTCCTCTTACTGCCTTTCGGGGATATTGCTGTGTTGAAATTCTATCGGGCTAGTACACCTACACTATTTGGGTCACTTGGCTGAATTAATTCCTTAGAAAACAGACTAGAATTCAGAAACAGACACAGAGGGCCTCTACACAGCTAAGCGTAGGTCCCAACATTCAAGCTCACATGAGAGTGTTCACAGAGCCTGTTGTTCTTACTTCCTGCACACGCGTAACAACTGGCTATCTGGTCTCCCCACCGACTGTGTATTATGAGAGACAACAAACTAGGGAGAGGTAAGGGGACAGGAAGGGGGAAGGGCTGCTCATAGAACAGCCACCGTGGCAATTGCAGGGAATGCTAACAGATAGTCTGACGGCCAGAGAAGAGTTCAGAAACCCATTGAATGTCACCAGACTTTCTAAATGTTCCGACTTGGAGCCAAAATGCCCCCTAACCTCAACATCCTTTGAGATGCCCTGGATGACAGGCCTGCACAACAGTGGTTTCTTCCTCAAGAGCCTGAATCATGCAGGTTAGACTATGTCTTCTATTTAAAAGGACAGGACAGGGATCCCTGGGTGGCACAGCAGTTTAGCGCCTGCCTTTGGCCCAGAGCGCGATCCTGGAGACCCGGGATCGAGTCCCACGTCGGGCTCCCGGTGCATGGGGCCTGCTTCTCCCTCTGCCTGTGTCTCTGCCTCTCTCTCTCTCTCTGTGACTATCATAAATAAATAAAAATTAAAAAAAAAAAAGGACAGGACAGGGAAACATGCTCCACTTCAGGGGAGGGTTCGTCTATAATGGCTCATGTTTTATTCTGGATGCCTTAACCCTTATTCAGGAGCTTAAGAAATAACTAGTCCTCAAACTTTAATTTTTCCAACAACGAAAGCAGGTAAATGAGATCATAAAAGAGGCAGAACTGGAAAATGCATAAGAACTTTCCAATCCATGGATGACTTTCCTGTTTGTGTTTCCTATTTAGGCATCATTTCTACTTCAGCAGAAGTGACTTCTTCACCTGGTAATATCCTCTGCCCTGGTAATGCCCTACTGCAAATGTAGGCAGATGCGACACCAAGACTGCCTGTGCCATGTCGCCAGGGCCAAAACCAGGGCAGCTCTGGGCGGGGGTCAGGAGGGGAGGGGTGTCAGGTTGTCACTGTCTTTGAGCAGAGTGCCCAGTCTGGGCCAGACCTATGCCAGGCACAAGGTGGTGGTGGTGCCTCTTGGGAAGATAGTGAGGGGAACTCTTGGCCAGGTGAGATCACCTGTCATAGATTCTCACCATCACATGTCTCTCCTTCATAGCGCTGGTCACAGCTGCACTTTTACAGAACAGGAGCCATGTCTAGCTTTCTTTATTATTTTACTTCCGCATCTAGTGCAGCGCCTGCCATAGAGGAGATGGATGAATAAAAACCTGTTGATTAAATAAAGTCCTTGATTTCTATGCTCCAGAGACAGAGAGAAAAAAATGAGTTAACTATAAAACAATTAATTTGATAGGTTTTGACCAATTGCCTTTTCTTATTTTCAGAATCTTTTAGTGTTGCTGTAACCACCTTAACAGGTAATTTTGATGTTATCTATCCATCTTACTTGCTATAAATTATCTTATTCGATTTTCCAGGGAGCTCATTATGTAATCTTTTATGTCCTAATAAAATTATTTTATTCTCTAGAGTTTTTAAATATGTTTATATTGACCTGACTTGCATAGGCCACCCCTGTACCCCCGATGATGAATGAATTACAGACAGTCCAGCTAAATGCATGGGCCAAGGGGAAAATTAGTTCAGTCAATTTCCAAACTCAAAAGCAACTCATTCACTGGACTGATGGTGGGGGGGAGGGGTCTAATGCCCATGGTGGGGGTTTCTCTGGAGATCAACCACAGTGTGGGTGTTGGCAGAATGGTGGAGAGTCAAGCCATGGCTTTGACTGATCCTCCTTAGACGTTCATCCAGCATTCAGTGAGGATGGTCACATGCCAAGCTCTGTGCCAAGGTTTGGAGGGATACAGAGTTGACCACGGTAACAAGTAACTTTTGTACGATAATCTTGAGTGATGCTGGTTGCGCCTGAGGAGTTCCTAATGTGACTTTAGGGTGAACAATTTTACAAATAGAGGGTTAGAGGTTTATTTGTGGGGAGGATAATAAAGAGGGTGATCTCCCCTGCTCTAGGCACTAAAGCAATTAAATAAAACACCAGACTTGACACCAAAATATGGCCTTTGTTACTGGGAAGGACTAGTTGGTGGGCATCTCTTAGTACCAGAGGCAAATGGACCTACCCCACTTCCTTACCTGCAGTCTGGGTCTTGGGACTACCCACCTGGAGAAAATCCCAATCTTCAAAGCTCATCGTTTCCTGTGTCACTGCCTTCCAAACATTTGAGGAGAGGAGGGAGGACTAGGCAAAGGAATCCCTCCATTTACAGAATCTTTATTAGATTAGCCCATGTTGGGAGAAACTTGGACCCATGGTTGTTGCCATCTGAGCAGGTAATGTCCACCTTCTCTGGGGGAGAAGTTAAAGGGTGGGCAAGAGGAATGGAGACCTGAGGAGTGGAAGGGTGGCCTAGAGGCAATGGAGGATCTAGGGATGCCCTGCCATCACCCCTGTGATGGGAAAGCAGGAGCACAAGCCAGACCAGTCACACTGATCTACGACGGCCACCTTTATGTCTCCTGTATCTTAGCAACACGTATGCCTGATGTGGCTGCCTTGTTATTTTTGTTCACCTGCAGCTTCAGTAACAACCGCTGTGACCTCCACACCAGGTACAACACTGTCTCCTAAGCCATTAAGTGCTTCATCTTGGAATTCCATTCATCAGACTAGGCTGTTCCATGGAAAGTTTATCCCCAACACAGCCTCAGGAAGAACAGAACCAGGAGTCCTCTCCACTGGTTTTTAGGCTGCCTCTTCTCTTTTTCTACAGATACTTCTTCAACCTCAGCAGAAGTGACCTCTCCCTCAGGTAAAGGCTCTCTTGTTGTGTGGTTTAAATTAAGGATGTCAACTTCTTACTCGCCATGTTCGATTTAGAAAATGAGCCCACATAAGGACCATTTTGACCACAAAGTAGACTGAATGAAAAGACACACTGAAGTGTCCTTTCTCTCATTTTTAAGGGTCCTGTTTTCTCTATTCCTATATAGATGTATCCTCGACTTCAGTAGAAGTGGACACGCCCTCTGGTAATGTTTTTTGCCTGTCACATTTCTTAAGTTAAACATGATCCACTCTCCCCCCTTCTGTTGGACAAATGAGCACATGTACTGAATATTTCGTTTGTGGTATAACCCCTGATGTAAACAGAAGTCCCAGCATCCTTTTCACAGAAATGAAGCTTCATGTTCTCATCATACATCCGTAGTCACGGGAGTGGTCCCTCCACCAGGGAACGCCCTCTGCTTGTCACCCTGGTCTTGATCAGATGTGCCCACAGGAAGTGAGGGACTCCAGGCCTCCACTTGCTTGGTGGTGTGTGTTATGTTACAGGTGATGCTTTGATCCATCAGCACACCCAAATGCGAGAGAACTGGATCGTGATAGTGTTGGTTCTACCATTTGCAATTCCATCTTCTACCAAACTGTTGTTCAAACCAAAACGTTCCATTGTCTTTTTGCTGGTATTTCAGTTTGATTTCTCATTCTTTCCAGATACAACTCCCACTCCAGGAGAAGAGGCCTCTTCCCCAGGTATGCTCTCTACTCTTTACCGTAGCCACGGTGAGTGACTTGTTAGAAACCCCAGCCCGGCAGGAGCGGACACACCCAGAGGAAGCACCTCCTATTTCCCCAGGAGAGGTCAGGAGAGAGGAGAGAGAGAGGTCGAGAAGTTCCAGGCCACTGGAACCAACGGTGGTCATGACCCTAAACATGGTGAAGGCAGATGCAGGGACAGGATAAGTAGGACAAAATAGCATTAGGTGTCAACCCTGGAGGATACCTTGGAGATGACCCCTGGCGGTGATTCTCAAAAGTTGATGTGCAGGTCAACTTGTTGATGTGCAGATTTGGATTCAGTGGCTCCCGATGGAGCCTGGATTCAGCATTTCTCACAGGCTCCCAGGTGGTGTCTATGCTGCTGGTCACGGGCCACATTTGGGGAGTAAGAAGCTGAGCCACTACCCTTGTTTTGGAAGAAAATGCGACCCAGAGAAGGAGGAGACTTGCCAATGTCCCAGCTCAGGCAGTCATAAATATGGCAAACCGTGTGGCTCAAACAACAGAAATTTACTTCCTGCAGTTCTGGAGACCAGAAGGTCCAAGGTCAGGGTGCCAGCAGGGTCGATGTCTGTTGAGGGCCTCCCCTTGGGTTGAAGATGGCCACCTTCTCACTGTGTGCCTACAGGGCCTTTCCTCAGTGTGTGCTCCCTGAGGGAGAGAAAGAGGGAGACAGATTGTGTCTCCTTATAAGGACACTAATTCCAGCAGATCAGGGCCCCCCCTTACGACCTCACTGTACCATGATTCCTTCTTCAGAGGCCCCATCTCCAAATACAGCCAAGTGGGGGGTTAGGGCTTTGCATGTGAACTTTGAGGGGACATAACTAAGCCCCCAGCAGTCACAGAGCAAGGCAAGCTGGGTCTCCCGGCTCCCACGCAAGGGTCCTTTCTGCTTCCAGCCTTTGCTGATGAATCTATGTGACTCCACCCAATCCAGCGGACACTGATCTCTTCAGGAGCGAGGCCTACTGCCTGCTTGCATTTTATTTCTTTCCTTTCTTTTTGATTCCTGGTTACTTTGAAGACATAACAGCGTAAAAGGCAGAGAAACCAAGTTTAGAAGCTGTCTCTCACTTAGATTTAGGGATTGTCTTCCTCCCCGCCTCCTTCCATCCGTCCCTCCTTGCTTCCTTCTTTCCCTGCCCCCAACACGACCTCTACTTTTGGCAGGTTCCTTTCGCTGGTCATGCTCACTAGCTCTTGACACTGCAGGAGGTGAGCTTTTCTTTGCAGACCCGGTTGATGGTAACTGGGTTGCTTTTCACACAGTCAGGTGACACTCATGCACTTTATTTTCTTTAGGAAAGCACAACACCAGAATCACTTCCTGCCTCTCGAGTGTGAGGGCAGATGTGGTGGCCGTGAGACCATTCCCTTCCTTCTCCCTCATCCTTGTCCCCCTCACAGAATGCAAAGGGAATGTAACTCCCATATTTTATGCTCCCGAAAGGCAGAGTGCTGTAGGAAGGGCGTGCGCTTCGGGGCCTCCCAGGTCAGAGCTGAGGATGCTCCAGGCATGTCCTACAAGCTGTCCTACAAACGTCTGAGTCTCGACGTCTCATCTCTCAAACGCTGCTACTACTTCCCTGGAATGGCTGTTGCAGGGATTCGAGATGTAAATTGTAGGACACGTCATGGATGCTCCAAATGGAAATTGCTCATCTATCTTGCAAAATGCCAACTTCTCACACACCCTTTGACTCTTGGATATGTGCGTCCGCAGGATAAATAAGCAGGGTGGATTCTATTCCGTGCAGCTTGTGCGTCGGGCTTATTTTTCATAAACTTGTAGTATACGGCATAAGATTTCAATGACACCCAACTTGAGGGCTTTCTTTTCTTTTTTTATTATTTATTTAAATGCAATTAACATATATTGTATTATTAGTTTCAGAGGTTGAACGCTTTCTTTTCCCTGGAAAAAATTTCTCTCTCTTTTTTGGCAGCCATAAATCTGATTTCAACAACAGTGACATCATCACCTGGTAAAGATCACATGCCTGTTGCTTGATTAACCCTTAGTTTCATAGTAATTCACACAACCAGACTCTATCATAAAATTCATTGTTATTTTTCCTACCTTGCTTCCCTCTGTATATTTCCCATAGATTTACACCTCTCATATATGATCTTTCTCTTATCTAAACATTTTCCTGAGAAATCTGATTGGTTTTATTCATGTAATTGTCCTGATCAAATTATTTTATTCTTTAGATGTGTTTGTATTGACCTCACATAGGCCCCCCCCCAATAAACATTTTTCCTACAAAATCTAATACTTTTATATTGTTCCTATAAACATTCTGTATATTTATGAGAACTTCTTTTTCTGGCCATTTATCAAATTATTTTCTCTTTGGAGAATAATACCACTTGTTACATTTTGATAAGAAAATAAAACCTAGTGGACAGTACTTCTGTACCTAAATCTAAGGGGAAACTCAAACAAAATTACTAATGCCTAAATATTTAGAAAATGTGTGGCTCTTTTACATATTTGAATATAAATATATGATTTTGAGAATATGCATTTTTTAAGCTGTTTTTCTTTTTTACAGTTACAGTTTCAGTTGGCGAAGACATGATTCCTTTACCTGGTAATTTGTATTTGTTTTAAGCACTTAAATTATCAAATCATTATTAATACTATTAGGGTCACAGTTTTTTTCAAAGTCCCTGCTCTTTACAGAAAACTTTTATGAGCTAGTAAGTATATATATGTGCAGACAAGGATGTGTACACACACACACACACACACACACATGCACACACTTTTGTGGGTCAGAAGCCCTAAATTCACCTCCTGGAGCCTCATCCAAAAGATATTTGCCTTTGTTCATAGTTCAGACAAGCATGGATATCTTCCTCCAATATCACAGCAACACATTAGATGAGGAGCAAGCAACTGTCCTAAATCAAGATACCATAGCCACAGGGAAACCATGACCAGTGGTGCCTATAGCATTTGCTAAGTATCTTTTATAGGCCACAGAGAGCAAAAAGTTAGAAAAGTCACTAGCATCCACTTTATATGAAGACGAATTATTTTACACACATTTGTGTGTGTGGCACCACCAACACAATATAGATTTTTTAAATTATTTTTACTTTTAAAATCACCTGTCTTGAAGTATAAATATATACAATAAATTGCTCACATCTGGGAGATTCTTCTAATGTATCCAACTGTGTAACCAGCACCCAATCGGGATACGGAACATTCGCATCACCCCAAAAAGTTCCTTCATGTTCCTTTGCATTAAATCCCCCAGGAAAACACTGTTCTGCTTTCTGGCACTGTGGATTAGTTTTTCTAGAATCTCATATAAATGGAATCCAGTAATATGTTGCTCTTTCGTGTCTGACTTCTTTTGCTTAACAGATTGTTTTTGAGATTTGTCCATCTGATCCCTTAATATTGGTACTTTGTTCCTTTGTATGGCTTACTAATGTTCCATTGGGTGGATGTCCCTCAATTTACCCCCTCCCCCGTGGGTGGGCTTGCGGGTGCTACCCAGTTCTTGTCCAGGGTGGAGAATGCTGCTATGTACAAATCTTTCGGTGCCCATCTGTTTTCAGTAAACACCTACAAATGGAATGCCTCGGCCACATAAGATACTTTTTACAGTTCAAATGTTGGCTTTTATTCAGCAAGAGTAGAAGAAATTTTATGGGATAGATTTTCTTTGCTAAGTCAAGCCAGTGCCTCAACAGTTCTCCTCCAGAGAGTGGGGTTTTTCCCATTTTGTTTTCTCTGGGTTTTTAGTATTTTTGTTTAACAGTGAAATTCTTAGTTATCTGGGCAACTAGGCTGACAACACCTGCCGATCTTCAAGGGCTTCAGTTAATGCATGTTGGACTTTTTATGAGAGAGGGAGTGTGACAGGAAGGAGGGGACGAGGAAGGGAGGGACAGAGAAACACAGAGAGAGAGGCAGCACAGGGCATGGAGGACTTCACTGCAGTGTCATTTCTTCCCAGGCAAGTGACACAGGGCAGCAGAGGGTGGCTGTTGCACCTGTCACCCAGTCTCCTGACTCGCTCTCTCTTCTCCTGCAGATCCAGACCTGCGCCTGGTGGGCGGGCGCAGCCGCTGTGAGGGCCGGGTCGAGGTCCGCCACCAGGGCGTGTGGGGCACAGTGTGCGACGACCACTGGGACATTAGGGACGCCCGTGTCGTGTGCCGCCTGCTGGGCTGTGGCCCCGCACTCGCTGCTCTGGGACGCGGCCACTTCGGCCTGGGCTTGGGGCCCATCCTGCTGGACGACGTGCACTGTGTGGGCACCGAGGACGCACTGGGCCACTGTCGCCACTCGGGCTGGGCGCGACACAACTGCCGGCACCGGGAGGACGCGGGCGTGGTGTGCGCAGGTGGGTCCCCGGGGCTGTGTCCTGCTTCCTCTGCCAGCACTCCAAGGTCAAGCAACGACCTGGTGGCCAAGGCACCAGCAGCTAGGATGGTGAGGGCCTATTTGTCACCTACCACTGGGCTCAATATTTTCCTGGCACAGCCTTGTGGTTTTATTCATTGGCTTTGCCGAATTCCAATTCAGGGGAGTATTTGTGCTGAAACAGGGCTACAAGATTATGAGGTCGAAGGAAGAAGTGAGTGTAATACAATGATGAAGGACATACAACTTGAGGTGATCAGACCACAAAGACCCTTTTTCAATTTCTGACAAGGTCATCCAGGCACAGTCCTTGGATAACCTTCTTTACCTTGACCTGGCCCCTCAGAAGTCAGTACCCTACAAAATCCTGGGTTCTCCCTGTGTCCCTTTCATCCACAATTTGGCCTGCACCTTTCCTGGAGTACTTTTTATTACCACCTGATACCCGTCTTGGCATTCAGACCTCCAGAGGTTGACCCTCTCCTGTGTGGAGTAGCACTTTCTTATATTTGCCCTAAATTTACCCAGGTATGTTTCGAAAAGTTATGTAATTCTAGATTTGGTGAACAAGTCCGAGCTCCCTTTGTCTGTTCCAGCCTTAGTTTTTTACAAGTAAACAAAGGAATCTCTCCCAATGCTTTTGTCTTTATGTGGAAGCTATTCTTGTTTTGCCCTGAAATGCATGGTAAATAGATTAACCATCGGGGTCCCCCAGAGACAGACAATCCTGCAGAGAAACCTTATGATAAGAGTCTACCTGGAGTCTTGAGATCCTTATCTTCCAGATTCTCACTTTCACTGTGTCTATTCATAGTTCCAGCCATTCCTCCTGCTGTTAAGGGGCCCACTGGAAAGGATAATTCATTTTCCATTCTTGGACTATGCACCATAGGGTTTGCTTTTCACTGGAAACAGTGACCAAAGGACCAGACAGAGGTCTGGGGCCAAGAATATCTGAAGGGGTTGAGTGAATCTGACCAGCCACACTTCCTGGGCTAGGCCCTGGCTCTGCGTTACTGGGCTGGGGAGGCCTTTGAGAGCCACAGACTTCCTATGTCCAAGCCCATGTGCCTGGGAAGGGACATCAACCAGATGCCTACAGACAACAGTGTTTATAACCTGCAAAGCCAGTATTTACTGTTCTCCTGCTCTAACAAATCTTGGTGTTGATGACATCCATATTCTCAACACTATTTCATACACGCAGGAATCCCTCCTTCTAGCTCCATCAGGAGGCCCTTGTCCTCTGCATTGCCCTAGAATATTTTCAATCCATTGTCCTCCAGCTGTAATGGCTAAATTGAATGAGCCCATTTCTTGGCACTGATTGTCTACTGCTGGCTACATCCTCCTCCTCCAGCGTTTCTGCACTACATGTCTACTGCTGGCTACATATTGCTCCAGTGTGTCTGCACAGCTGACATGTGCTTCTCACCCATCTCCCCATACCAGGTCCAGCTGCCTCTGCTGTACCCAAGGGCAACGGTAAGCCCTCCCCTCTAGGCTGCGGTAAGGGGAAGCTGAGAGAGCAGTTGTCCCGGGGATAAAGAACAGGATTTTCTGTGTCTCACTGAGATCTCCAGCATCTCCATCTACTTGTTGGGCTTTCAGAATTTGGAGAAGAAGCCCCTTAACACCTATGCTCCTTACCCCTTTGCTCCCACTCTCTTTCCCCAAACTACCTTTCATACAAAGCCTCTGATAGATGTACGTTCAGCCTCGGGTGTCCTCAACATGGGAAGTGGGCTGTCCTTTAACCCTTTAGACAAGGCTTTGACTCTTAGACCGTGGGACATGTGCCTGGGTAGGACTCCCATGATCTGGTGTGACTTTTGGAAAAGGGGGACATAAAGTCAGTGGAAGTCAAATCAAGGGTAGAGGCTTGATTGCTGAGCCAGCCCCCACCCAAGGCACCCTCCGTGCTTTATAAAGTAAGCGCACACCCACATCATGAATCTACATGTCCAGAGGACCAAACCGTCTTCGTGAGGTTCTCCCCATGCTCCTCCTCCTGCAGCCCGGCTCTCCTGCTTGCCTCACCTCTTCCAAGTCACCATTGACCGAGGCTATCTCCGGAGGCTGGGCTACTCCTCTTGGGACGTCCACTTAAATGATGAGCTGTGCCGCCCTCGAGTCACGGGACGATACCTGATCTTCAACATTCCCTATGGTCGCTGTGGCACCGTCAGACAGGTAACAAGCTGACAAGGTGGTGGTATCTCTGCGGATGGAGGCCAAAGAGAGAGAATTGAATTTTGGAAAATTCAACCACCTGTTAAAAATGCAGTAGGGACAGAGGAAAGGCTCAGTGAGACCTGGAGCAGGCACTAATTTGTCTGAAATTTTCCTTCCTTTTGGGAATTTGGAATACACGGCGAATTTGGAATACATAGGAAGTGGTGAGTGCTGATGGATTGATGGATAGATCAACAGATGGATGGATGGATGGATGGATGGATGGATGGTTCGATGGATGGATGATGTTCTCTTAGCTCCAAAGCCAAGCATTTTCCACAACATGCTTCTTTATTCACCTTCAGTTCACACCTATTCTGTGGAAGCCATGGTGCTGGACTTTGAGGAGGACAAATGATCTATCTGACTGCTATGTTCTAACCGGGCAACTAGCTGTATTTCCCCCATCTAGAAAGCTTATATCCAGGACATGTGTGGATAATGAAATATATACATTGATTACCTGTTCTTTAACCACCAGCTTATTTCACAAAACCATGTCATTGAAGTTAAGGAAACAAGTAGACCCAGGATATAGGAAAAGCCTAGAACTACAAAATCATTTTTCTCAGTATATCTAACAATGTAATATGTTATACTGCAAGATCTCCATGTTGTTCCTCTCTTCTTTTATATCCCTATTTAGACACACATGGAAAAACAGCAAACATTTGGCATTGTGGGAGGTTAATTCACTCAAAGTGACCACTCTGACTCCATACTTCACATTTTATCTACTTGGTTATGCAAACCATGGTCATTCTTTTTTTTTTTTTTTTTTGCTCTAAAACTTCTAGGTTTTACCTCAGAGCTTTCTACCCCAGGAGCCATGCTGGAACCCCCATAGTGTCTGGGAGGTGGGCACCCCAGAAACTTCAGGCTGTCAGGACCCTGCAGCTGGCCTCTGTGGCCCTGGCTGGCCTAGCTCTCACAGAACTGGGCCCAGAGGACACAGCAGGTCAGGAACCACTCGGAGTGACTGCCAGTCTCAGGCCACCCACTGCGAAAACATGCCAGAGAAAGTATGATTTCAGAGTCAGTGGATGAGCTACCATCTAGGTGCTGAGGTTGCAGCAGCCAACCACACCGACAGGGCTCCTGCTCCACAGCTCTCATATTCGAGAAAAAGGAGACAGGCACTGAGCAAGCACACATTTGAGAATCATTTCACAGATGTTAAGAAGACAGCAAAGCAAGGAAGGGAATAGGAAATGATTTGGGGTAGAAGGAAGGCCATTTGGAATAGGGAGGCCTGAGTCTGAAGGAGATGCAGCCAGGTAAGGTGGAGCGAGAGGAGTGCCCAGGCAGGGGGCAGCTGGCGCCCAGGCCCCCGCAGCAAGCTTGGAGGGCCTGGGGAAGGCGCTGGAGGCTGTCAGCACCAGAAGGCCCAAGGTCACCTTGGAAGGGGCAGGGCCACATGGCCTTGGAGTTGAGCTTCTCCTCTGAGCCTCACCTCCACATTGGGTGAGAGTTGCTACGAGGGTCAAAGGAGATACTGGTTCTTAGGGGCAAAAAAAGAAAAAAAAATCTGTTTTTAAGGAGAAAGCATAGATATTCATGCAAGACATAAAGAATGTCTCTGTTGTATGAACATTTCAGAATGGGGGCTGGGAAGGGGGTGGGGAGTAGGAAAGGAAAGGTCTAACAGGGCAGATCTGGTCTGAGCTGCCAGGATGGTCCTCGGAGGTTCCGAGGCGGAGGTCAAGGACCTGAGTCCCAGGAGCAGAGCCTTCCTGAGCCAACATCTCGGGCCAGGCTGAGTCTCTGGGAGGATCGGGAGGCTGTGGGAACCAGGTCGCGGGGGGCAGTGGCGGCCTGCACAGTAGCCGTCAGCACCTGTTAGCCCTTCAAGTCAAGCTGGGCCGGACCCACCGTTCACAGGCGCCCAAGAGATGGCAGAGAGGAGGGGGCATGAGCGGCCTGGCTCTGTGCTTGCCTGAGATGCCACGGCCGAGGGCGGGGGATGCAGGGGACACTTTGGCAGAGCGTGCCAGGTAGCCACTAGCCCGGGCCTCCCGCCACACCTTGTACCAGCACAGCTGGGCCCTCACGGGAGGGAAGAAGGGAGGCCAGGCTCGCACACTCGGGGCTCCCTGCATGCACCCCGCACTCCAAGGGCCAAGGACACAACGCCACCCCATCGTGGCATTAGGCACCCCAGACGGTGGGCCCGAGGCCTCCCGCTTGTGCTCCTCGGCAAGCTGGCCCCGACTGCACACGAAGGTGCGTGCAAGGGAGCCAGGAGCCCCGGCCAGCCCCTGCCCTCTCGCCCCCCCAGGAAAGCCTCGGCTCCCTTGGCTACTCCAACTCCATCAGGGGCCGGACCCGGGGCCACCCTGGCCGAGTCGTCGTGCGGCACAGGGTGCCTCAGCTCAAGTTCACCTGCAGGGCGGAGGGCCCATCTGCTGTTGAAGTCCTTCCTGGGGCTGACGTCCCCAGGGAGAGAGTTGGCTACGACGTGTCCATATCCTTCCTTGAGTGGCCTTTGTCCCCGCCCATGAAGCACACGGGACCGTACCCTGCCAGCCAGAGGGCGGTCTTCCTCCAGGCCACGCTGCACAGCCCCGACCCCAGCCTGAGGCTCTCTGTGGATACCTGCATGGCTTCTCCCGACCCGCACGACTTTACGACCGTCAAGTACGATTTGATCCGACAAGGGTAAGGGAAATGGAAAGCCGTGTAGGGTTGGCTGTTCTATTCCCGTGGCATTCCTGTGTGGCATCTCCGGCTTCTCAACTGGCAGCTCTAAGCCACAGCGCTGTGCAACACAGACCTCACCGTGCCCCAGAGGCACAGCCAGGCCTTTGCCCGCCTCTGATCCGAGCTGGGGACAAATAGTCATAGAGAGTCTAGACAACTTCCCTTGGATCCCCCAGAGTCCTGGGCAGAACCCTTGTTGTCTGGGACACTGCTGTCCCCTCTCATCCTTTCTCATCCGTGCCTCTCTTCCCTTTGTGTTATGACCTTATTGGCTCCCCATCGGTAGTTCAGGCCCTCGGGGCATCTGGTCTACCTCGGTGGGCTGGCGGGTTTTCTCAACCTAAACTCTTATAGTCGTGAGATTTATTCTGGCTCCTTTGGTTAAACAAAGGATTCACCAAGTTAGAAGTTTGGTATGACGTTTGCCTTTGTAGCTCCTCTGCCCCCCTAAGAGGAACAAACACTATGGACGGGCAATTGGCAAGCAGCGCAAAAGGGCAAAAACCCATCACTTACTACTGGCAGCTTTAAAGTGGTGAGAGCCACGTGAGAGACATCATCGTGGTGCCTGTTTCCAAAAGCCGTGGTGGGGGGTGCGGGGGGCAAGACACAGCGTCGTGCAGAAGTGGCGTGAGCCATAGCGCGGGAGGTGCACAGCTGTGGCATGAAACTGCTCCAAGGCTCTGAATGAGAACGCGCTTCCCTTTCAGTTCTCCTTACGAACAGATCAAGGAGAGAGGCACAGTTTGGTGCCAGAATGAAACAACCAAGGCTTTATCCTTCTGCTTGCTTTAGGGTTAAATTGCTCTTTTTTTCTCCAATTTCCTCGGGTAGAGTCTTAGTGATTTTAGATCTTTCTTCTCTTCCAAGTCACGCATTTGATTTATTTGATTTTGTTAAGTTGTATATTCATTTTCACTTAGTTCGAAAAAAATTTTTTTTTAATTTGAGACTTTTTCTTTTACCTCTGGGTCACTTAGAAGTGTGTTCTTTCATTTCCGAATAAGAATTTTCCAGCAACCTTTCTGTTATTGAGTTCCAGTTGTGCTCAGAGGATGTGTTTTGTACGATTTCTTTTCTGGAAGTTTGCTAAAGGTGTGGTTTATGGTCCAGAACGTGTTTATCTCAGTGAATGTTCCACGAGGGCTTGAGAAGAATTGTATTCTGCTGTTGTTGGATGGGGTGTTCTATAGATGTCAGTCTATCCAATTGATGGTGCTTTTCAGATCATCAGTATCCTTCCTGATTTTCTGCTGGATTTCCACCCATTTCCAGTGGGTTCGTAGATTTCTCTTTGCAGTTGTTAGTTTTTGTCTGTTGTTATGTGTATATACGTTAAGGATTGTTATGTCTTTTTGGAGGCCTGATCCCTTTATTATTATGCAATAAATACCCTGCTTCATTCCTGATCGTTGTCCTGGCTCTGAACTCTGTTTTGTCTCAAATTAATATAGCTACTCCACCTTTCTTTTGATTAGTATTAGCATGGTAAATCCTTCTCCATCCCTATTCTATGTCTTTATGTTTAAAGTTGGTGTCCAACTGGCATCAGTAATTGGGTCTCGGTTTTTCTTGTTGTTTTCATCTACTCTGGCACTCTGTATCTTTAAATCGGCATATTTAGAACACTCATGTTTAAAGTGATTATTGAGGGGTATCTGGGTGGCTCAGTGGGTTAAGTGTCTAACTCTTGATTTCAGCTCAGGTCATGATCTCAGAGTCGTAAGATTGAGCCTCATGTGGGGCTCCGCACTGAGCATGCAGCCTGCTTAAGATTCTCTCTCTCCTTCATCCTCTTCCTCTCCCCACCGTGCTCTCTTTCTCAAATAAATATTTTTAAAAAAACAAAGTGATTATTGATATAGCTGGATGAAAATCTACCATCTTGGTAACTGTTTTCTATTTGTTGCATTTGTTGTTTATATCTACCTCCACTCTCCTTTTGCTGCTTTCTCTGGTTTTAATGGAACATTTTATATTATTCCATTTTATCTCCTCTTTTGATGTATCATTTATACTTTCTTAACTTTTTCCATAGTTGTGCTAGGATTGACAAAACACTTTTTAAAATAATCTAAGTTTCATTGTCAAATAATACAACCACTACCTTTAATCTCCCCTTTGGGCAAAATAGAGTACCTTCAGAAGGCAACAGCTCTGGCTAGAATTTAATGACCTTGTTCATTTTTTATGATTTTTTTTTTACCTAGTACCTTCTATTTCTGCTCAGGAACAGTGGTTTTTATACTCATGGTAGTGTTTTAAGTTTCTTTATAAAAGAAAGAATGGGTAGTGGGAAGAACTCTGTTTGGCATTCATAGGTCTGGATCCAAGCCTGATCTTTCAAGTCAGGGTGAATTCACACCATACTTCAAGCTAATGCTTGTGGCTGGGTTGTTTTTTTTTTTTCTTCTATCAGGTGCATCAAAGACAATACCTATGTCGACCTCCACTCCCACCAGAAGAACACGGCCCAGTTCAAGTTTAATGCCTTCAACTTTCTCAGCAACTATGATGTGGTCTATCTCCAGTGTGAGGTGGCTGTGTGCAAAGTGGGGGACTACTCCTCCCGGTGCTCCCAGGGCTGTGCAGGGCGGGGTAAGAGGGATGTGGGCCCTGTGGAGACCCCAGAAGAGCAGCCTGAGCATCTCCAAGTGGTGGGGCCACTGGAAATCCATAGAGGGACCGGTTGGAGGAAGACCCTTGTGTGATTTCTCAGCTTTCCATGTGAATCTATCATTAGAAAGCAAAGCCTATTTCCTTGCAGCAAAGTAATATGTTTGACAAATCAGAAGTTGTCCACACAGCGACAGGTGAAAGAAACAGCAAAAGACATTCTCTCGGAGGTTTGTTGCTAAATAAACCTTCTCTGATCATTAAGCTTGGAGGAAATCACTCTCTTTGCAGGCTGGAGGTGCTGTGTTCTCTGATTCTTCACTACCAAGAACCTGACTGTTGTCTTAAACTGTACATGTTCTAAAGAACAGGGCTCTCTCTATATACCAAATTTCCAATTTAAAGATTTTATTTAATTGACTCCTTAATGCTTAGATGCTAGTAGATGGATCTTTTTGTTTCTGTCCCTCGGGTGGTGTGAGAATTTCTTTTCAGATATTGCTGAGAGTCTTAGGAAAAATAAACTAACTGTTGGGAAACCACTGCTTTTTTTTTCTTTAACTCTACTAACTGGTTAGTTGAATTAGGCACATCAGTCATTTGCTCATTTACTCATAATTTAATCAAAACAAGCTCTTCTTGCCTATGTCAAAGGGATTACATTGTGCCTCGGCTCTGTTGGGTTTGGGTGACAGCTTTGACACTGACAGCAAATGAGAGTCGGAGACACAATCACATGAACCACCTGTGACTGCTTTCTGAGCTACCACGCACTCAATCTGGGTCCCAGATCCTCAAAGCTTTCTAGGAAACCTAAGAAGTACACAGGAAGCCTGAGGAGCACAGGATGGCAGGTTCCCATATCCCACACCCTCATGTAAAAGGGCAGTACTCACTATAAGGTTTCTTTGTATCTTAACAGAAACAGACCTGTGCTGGGCTCCATACCCTCAAAGCTATCTTTAAATAAACTGTCCTGGGATCCCTGGGTGGCGCAGCGGTTTGGCACTTGCCTTTGGCCCAGGGCGCGATCCTGGAGACCCAGGATCGAATCCCACGTCAGGCTCCCGGTATATGGAACCTGCTTCTCCCTCTGCCTGTGTCTCTGCCTCTCTCTCTATCTCTCTGTGACTATCATAAATAAATAAATAAATTTTAAAAAAATAATAAATAAATAAATAAACTGTCCTGGGGCACCTGGGTGGCTCAGTCGGTTAAGCATCCAACTCTTGATTTCAGCTCAGGTCATGATCTCAGGGTTGTGAGATCAAGCTGCACTTTGTGCTCTGTGCTAAGTGTAGAGCCTGCTTAAGAGTCTCTCTCCCCCTAAAAGTAAAAAAGAAGAAGAAAAACAAATGGTCTTGGACACAATTTTTTTCACTTGTCATGAAATATTCAATAACAACATTTAAAATAGGAGTCCTCCTTGGGATCCCTGGGTGGCGCAGCGGTTTGGAGCATGCCTTTGGCCCAGGGCGCGATCCTGGAGCCCCGGGATCGAATCCCACATCGGGCTCCCGGTGCATGGAGCCTGCTTCTCCCTCTGCCTATGTCTCTGCCTCTCTCTCTCTCTCTCTCTCTCTGTGACTATCATAAAAAAAATAAAATAAAATAAAATAAAATAAAATAGGAGTCCTCAAGTCCAATAAATTGTTCCTATCTTTGTCATTCAATAGTACATATGAGTTGAGAACACAGTATGGCCAAGTCCCCAAGGGAGGAGGGCAGGGTTTAGGGAAGCCTGGGAGCTAACCTTGAAGTCCCGAGCGATGAAAATCTGACCCGTGACCCCAGGGTGGGCATTGCTTCTAAAGGGATACGTCTCTGTCTCCAGATCAACAATCATCTGGATAAAAATAGGATACTGGCAGGTATTTTGATGGTGTTCCCTGCTTATACCTGGTAGAAGTTGATGGAATGTAATTGCTGGTCAATCTGGTGAAGGCAGCATCTTTAAATCAAAAGTTAATCATTTGTCACCGAGTACCTTCATCTTCAGTCACGTGATTTTAGCATCACGCATCTACTTCACATGAATTGAGGAGTTTTCCAAGGAGCACTGAACTGCTACAGCTTCTCCTTTCAGAAGCTTATCGGCACATTAACTGCATCTATCCATATGTGTTGAGGAAGTGGGGGGCTAACAGCCTCCAAAGGTGGCATCTTAGAGCTTTTAACAAATGACTAACATGAAAAGAGTTGACAATGAAAGGACTGAACTTTTAAGAACAAATAAACAAGTGTCCAGAGAACTTCCAGGTCAGCGTCTCCAGGTGCGGTTCAGCAGATGGGAGCCGGGAAGCTGCCCCTTCCAAAACACTCCAGGGGGTTCTGAGGAGCGTGGAAATCTGAAAGCCGTGGCCACTGCTGAGCACTGCATGCACTGGATCAAAATGCACTTAGTAGGGAGAAACCTGCAACCCAGAAACACCAATGGTGGGGACAAAAAAAAAAAAGCCCCAAGAGAAGCCTGTTCTCTCTAGCTAAAGGATGGGTAAAGGGGTAACCAGGCAAGACAGTGAACTTTACCCAGTAACTGCGTGGTTCCTAACACCATGGGTAAAACTATGTCCCTCCTGCCAGCCTAGCCCACAAAGGTGAAGTGGGGAGCCCAGATTTCCACCTGCCCTCTGGATCCCTTACATCTTCCCTCCCCTCCCCAGGGTGGCATCACCTCTGAGCAGTAATCAGGACCTCCCCAACATCCCCCATGTCAGGTGGAGACCTGGTGGGGAGCCTGGACTTCTAACCCCACTTGGCAGGTATTAGCACCCCTCCGAGACTATTCAGGGGTGGTATCAGAGGAGACGTAGTTTAGAGCCAGGACCTCTACCCCACCCAGAGGTAATGTGGCAAATCCACCTTCCTGGGAGGAGGGGCAGCAAAGGCCACAGGGGTAGCCTGGCTTCCACCCTGCCCAGTGGAAACAAGGTGACCTCCCCACCTTGTTCGCACATGTAGGTATTTTCGCCCATTTTAATTTTAGCCTTGCTGAAATGCTTTGTTAAACACATCTCTTGAATGTGGCATAGAGTCGGAGTTTAATGCGGTGAGATATTCTGAAAATTTTGCTTTTAGGAAGCGAGCATGGTGACCACTCTGGTATGACCCGCACATCTCCCTCGGTGCCATCAGTCATTCAAGCTGCCAGGAGTGTTGGTGGCTGATGGCTCTCAGCCCCCCTGCCCTGCAGGGATTCCCTCCACTCAAGGCAGCTGCCTTGTCCACATTCACAGTTTCCCACCAATGACAAGTCCATAGAGGCACTTAAAGGCCAGAGCACCAAGCCCCATGTAGGGTCTCTCTGAAGGGCCAACCCAGCCCAGGACTCCGTGGGGTTCGCCGGGCTTTCTGCTGTAGCCACTTCATCATTCCCCAACCCCCCTGCCCTGGCCCACTTCCCTCCCCACTGACAGGGCTTGGGCTGAGGCCCATGCCCCAGGAATCCTTGGGCACACAAACCCCTCTACTGGATGTTGTTTCATAGGACCCAACCCATGATGGTCAGTACCAGGTGTGGCCTGAGGAAGCAGACTCCTCATTGGCAGGTGAAACACAGCCCAACCACACCTCATGTCCTCACTGAATCCTTGCAACTGCAATACTCTGGGGGCTGGGATGGGGGGTGGGCTGGTCAGCAGCATTCACTCTTTTAAATTGTGCAGATCAAGGCTGAAGGTGACCTCATCAAGGTAGCCTACCAGGTAAGTGGAAGAACTCAAACCCAGGCCACCAACTCCAGATATACGACCTTTACTTACTTTATCATAGTTTCTCCTGAGGAAATTATTTACTGATATATATTACTTTAATTTTTTTATTGGTGATATATATTACTTTAAACTTCTAACACATTAGTATATCTCAATAGCTCCACTGCGAAGCTTTTTTTGATTCATGATGATACAGTTTTACACTGTCTACTGAGTCACTATATTTCATGATTTTCTTAGTATGACACTGCTATTCCTGGCATGCCTCTGGGTAGCCCCTGGGGCCTGGCCACCGGCATGTGTCCACTCAGTTCCTGATGGAAAGATGGCAGAGGGGCCAGGGATCAGACACTTCTTAAGTGCTGTCTTTACTGAATTTGATTTGCCCATTCTAATTTAGTTCTTAAGAGCTTTCACATTAGGTTAGAAAAGAAGCTTGCAAATGAATAAATAAATAAATAAATAAACAAATAAAATACAATACAATAAAAAAGAAAAGAAGCTCGCAGTATCTCCATTTAGTCATACAGACAAATGCAGAAGAGGCTCAACTACATGGCCATTTGGGGGAAGTGCTTAGAAGATCTGAGTGGAAATATTAAAAAGAAAATGAGGAAGATCTACCTTCATTTGGAGCTGGAAACCCAGTGGGTCCCTAACAACTTGTTCAAGGAAGGTAGAGATGCTGTTTTACTCGTGATGTACGCCCCGGGCATACTGTGTACCCAATCCATGTGCATGGGTGTCAAGGAGAATGTCTTTGGGCATTCAGAAATGTGGGTGCCTCCTTGGTTGTGCATCAGAACCTGAGACCATGGTGGTGTTGGGTGATGAACCGGTAGAGTCATACTGTCCATCTACAACAAAGAATTCAATATGATGTTTGGTATGCGCAACCTGAGTGCGCATCAAGGCCTTTCCTGTTGTGTCAGTGTCAGCCAGAAACTGACTACTCCTTGTTAGGGTTACGTTTGGCTTTGGTGTTTGATGGTAAATGGGAAGAGAATTGTTGTCTTCATTCATTAACCTAGAAACTACACACAAGGGCCCCCCTTTATAGTCAAGCTCTGCTTTCCTATTCCTAGATCATAAAATAGCTTTCCTCTTTCCAGAGCCCTTTCCTGAGATGTGTTCAAGTTGTAAAATGCTGAGGTTCGGTCTTAGAGTGAGGCATGGGAATAAATAACACGGCACTTCTCTCCATCACAGTTGCTCTCAGAAATTATTAACTCTCAGATACATTTCAAAAGGGAGCATATTTGCATCTAGGAAACAAATACATCTAACGCTGTAGATTTAAGTAAAAACAACCTTTTCTTTTCACCTGAAGTTTACTCAGAAGGTTTTGCGCTCATGAAAAAGGATGTTCCTAATTCATTCAATATTTTGGTGGCTTTCGTTCTTTAGCAGGAGATCTAACTGACACAATGTTTGCTCATTTCGATCACCCCTGCAACGCGGCACGCTCTGACCAAAGCGACAGCAGGACCTGTACGTCATTGTTAATGAGGCTCTTCCTAATTTATTTATAACGTGTAGCCACGAGGCAGCATTTCCTTTGGTGTTCAGGGAAAATGAGTCTCAGTGAAGGCTGACCCTGTTAGTTCATATTCTGAAGCTTCTGGTATTTATAGTCCGTTCTCTGATTCACAAAATGCCTTGTTATGATCACGGCCACAATCACGAGATTCAGAGCAAGGACCGTGAATGAAAATAGATGCAGACTGCTGAAAGGTTGACTCTGAGTTTCTTCTTTGTGTATCTGATCCTGAAATCCTATAATTGGAAACAAGATAAAAATCATTAAAAGAAAAGTACTACCTGGCATTACAAAATTGTCATGAATGTGTCTCTCTCCACAGTCTGTGAATCTTCTGCATCAATTAATGTAGGATATATAATGCCAAAGTGACACACATAGGTACTGCTAGCAAATATTTCAATTAGTTTATGCTTCTTTTTTTAAAAAAAGATTTTATTTATTTATTCATGAGAGACACAGAGAGAGAGGCAGAGACACAGGCAGAGGGAGAAGCAGGCTCCCTGCAGCGAGCCTGATGCATGCCCTGAGCCAAAGGCAGATGTTCAACCGCTGAGCCACCCAGGTGTCCCTAGTATATGCTTCTGCTTAATTTAAAAGACAAGATGTCCTTACGTTTGTTTGTTTAAATAGTTCATTTGTCTCCCTGACATAAGGTGAGAAACTTGTGGAATTCAATCATCAAAGTCCAACAGAAATGTAAGTCCATTCATTGATAGTCACTCATCTCCCATACTCGTCAAACTGTATTTGATTGATAGAGAAACAACTAGTTCTTCTCTTGAAATAGGAAAAGGGTATTTTTCTAATGTGGATGATATCTCTATAACTTTCATTCATAAATTTTCAACTAATTTAGACTAATACCCATAGATGCATTGTCTTTTTAGTGAACATGTTTATTAAATTATTGGATTTCATTTTTGTTTGTATTCTTTTGTTTTTGTCATAGAAATATTTTGCTACAGGAACACCTGGGTGGCTCAGTGGTTAAGGGTCTGCCTTTGGCTCAGGTCATGATCCCAGGGTCCCGGAATCAAGTCCCATATTGGGCTCCCTGCAGGAAGCTTGCTTCTCTTCCCCCCTCCGTCTCTCATGAATAAATAAAATATTTGAAAAAAAAAGAAATATTTTGCTACAAACTAGAATCCTACTCCTTCACAATCCACTCAAATAATAATAAAGACAGAGGACATAAGATTCTTTTATGACAGGATCATTTTCATAAAAGGTAAATTCTTATAAATAGTTTTTATGTAATTACGGTCTACCAGAGCCAGTCAGCCATGGCTTGTCCTTTGGGCATTCACCATCACCCTGTTCTCATTTGACCTGACAGGGGTCATGTTTCCAACCTTTAAAAAGAAGCAGGGTTATCTTGAAAATATGGTATTTTCTGTTTTGAAAAAATTGTGGGTTTTTCCCCCCCCCAAAAAAGGTGATTTGTGTGGGATGCTGGTTCATCTGATTTTCCTCATTTAGGAGTTAAAATACATTGCTTTTGATTCTGTTTTCTGCCATGGTATCTATATTCAGAAGTCAGGAAGCTGAGAGAAACTGTTGTTTTTAGAAGTGAGGACATTACATTTATACTCAAAAGCCATGTGAATAATGGTGAATTATCAGAGCCTAATATGCTTACAACATACATGGTTTTCCTTTTATCAACTAGTAGAAGGAAAATTAATTTTTTGTACTTACCTTAGTTAGGGCTTCGCTACAAATATCATAAATCTCTTAACTGTACATGCTTAAGGAAGAATACATCTGAGCAAATTTTAATGAACCAGGAGGCGGTCTTAGATCACTTAATAGCTTTCTCCTTACCTGTATTTCCACTTGCACTTCGATCCCTTTTCAGACGAATAGGTCCTATGACAGCATCAGTCTTCCATTTGTATGAAGAAAGGTCTCGTTTCGTTCTAGAGACACAGCCTTGGCTGCATCGAGACTGATGGTCACCACTATCACATATCAAAATCTTACACTGTAGATACACGGAGCCCAGACTGTTCAAGAACTTAAAGGCATTAAATTGGAATCTTCCATAGCGTTCAGATAAGGGATACACCTTGCAAGTCTCATCCCGATTACATCTGGAACAGAATTCACAGCACATTTAGAAGATTTACGTTCAGTCTTTCTAATGCTGAAAAGAAATGATACAAAGTTTTCTTTGAACTGCCTGATTTGATCGCTTCTCAGCCTTTTGGCTAAGATCGGGTGTGAACTGTCTGATTGTGGATCAAAAATTTCTCTAGAAAGACAATGTCTCCCATCCCAGTATTAACTCGGCCCAACCCTGCATAGCCTCCGAGATCAGAGGATATCAGGCACGTTGTATATAAGGGATGAATCACTAAATTACAGTGAAACTGATACTACATGATAAGTCAACTAACTAGAATTTAGATACAAATTTGGAGAGAAAAAAAAATTTTAAAAAACAGATAATGTCTTTAGCTCACACTGTAGTGAGTTTAAGGCTATGGATCTGATTCCTGGGTAAAATAAAGTTCCCTACGGCAATAACATTTTTAGTCCATGTGAATTAATTAGAAAATCGATTTGGATATATTAGAGCTCAAACATCTTACTTTATACACTTTCTGTGAATGTGTCAGTATGGCTGATGTAGTTAAAATCTATCAACTCATAGAAAAAAAAAGGAAAATTTTCCTTTCAAAAGAACGTTTTAAAAAAATTTTCATTAATTTGTTTTTCAGTACGTTCCACACCCAGTGTGGGGCTTGAACTCACAACCCTGCAATTAAGAGTCATATGCTTTACCAACTGAACCAGCCAGGGGCCCCTTTTTCCCCCAAAGAATACCACATACGCTTTACAAATTTCATTATGTTTGTGTTCTAGAGCTGGAATGAGTGAAATAATCTTTTGTGATTTTTGTTTAAAATAACCAAAGTGTATGGGACACCTGGGTGGCTTAGTGGTTGAACATCTGCCTTTGACCCAGGGCGTGATCCTGGGGTCCTGGGATCAGGTCCCACATCAGGCTCCCTGCATGGAGCCTGCTTCTCCCTCTGCCTGTATCTCTGCCTCTCTCTTTCTGTGTCTCTCATGAATAAATAAATAAAATCTTAAAAAAATAAAATAAATAAAATAAAATAACCAAAGTGTGGAGGAAAAAAGCAAGGACAAAAACATAAAGCCTTCTTGACAAAAAATAAATGTGTTTCTACCAGCAAATATTTTGGAAATATACTTAAAATTTTACTGGATATGGGCTGTGGCTGTAAAAATGCTTTAACTTAAATTATTTGTAATGAGTACATAGTAACTGTATTTCATAATATGGTTACATTCACTAAATTCCATGGTAGCAGTACTAGAAAAAAACATGCATGAATGCATTCATGAATCACGTATCACAAAAAATACTATTTCATTCAAGTCACTACGGATCCTCAGAGAAGCATGTCACCCCATCAGTACGTACCCACTCTTGATTAGGTCATAAGTTGGAGATGCAAAGTCAGGCGTGGGAGAGGCTCTACAGGTGTCCAGGAACACCACCAAATTTGGATCCGAGGTATACAGACTGACTTGAACAAAGAGAGTTTGGTTCAAATCCACGTAATATGGTGACTCCAGTATAGGCTTTTCAAATGAACTAGACTCAAAAAGGGCCATGCTTGTGTTATATTTGCCCAGCGCACTTTCATTTTGTATTATGTCGTCTTCCGTTATGTACATCATCTCCACAGTGGAATTCTGTTCCATTTCACACTTCAGAATAATCTGAAGATGTTTCTGACGGGTGATCACTTCAGACGTGGGGGGCGGATTGAGAGTGATGATATTGGTGTAAGTCACACAATGATCTTCTACCTGCAGGGTGAGATTGGATTAAATCCAGTAATAGCAAAAAAAAAAAAATCCAATAATAACTTAGAGTGCAGAGATGATTAACATCTGCAGGTAGAGACATAATTTTCTTAAATCACAAGACTGCAGCTTTCATGTCGGGATACTAAAAGCTTCAATGTGATTTAAGAAATATTCTAAGAAAGTTGTCAGATGAGAGACAGAGTGCAGCTGAGACTCGAAGACAGAATTTGACAGAACTTTTTCCAGTTATGTTAAAAACAATTCTGGGAACACCTGGGTGGCTCAGTGGTTGACCGTCTGTCTGCCTTTGGCTCAGGTCGTGATCAACAGGATCCTGGGATAGAGTCCTGTATCAGGCTCCCCACAGGGAGCATGCTTTTCCCTCTATGTCTCTGCCTTTCTCTCTCTCATGAACAAATAAAATCTTTAAAAACAAACAAACAAAAAAAAACAATTCTGAATGCAAACTTCCAGCCCTAGAGGGAACCGAGATCCTGTAATGTACGGCCTTCTGTAAGCAGCATCAAGTTAGTGTGGCTCACTGTGCAGCTCCCCAAGTGTCTGCAGACAGAAGTCCTGCCACAGGTTTTCCCCAGGCTGCCTTCCCTGGGGATGCACAGATAACAGCCCAGGTGTTCCTTCATTTGGAGCAGAAAATAACAATTGACTTCTATCCTTATGGACTCTGGAGTAGCTGCCATTCTTCTCAAAAAGGTTGTTGTTTAATGACATGAGTGACAATTTTAGGGTAGACATCCTAAAAGGGACCTACGGGTTGTAAATGCTTGAGATCTTGAAGTTCTAGAAAGTGGAGAACAAATCACAAACTTATGTCCTTAGTGTCTGAAACAAGGATAATGCTTTTATCTTCTCCCTTTACAGGGGAAGGGAGATCCTAGAATTACAGCTAGGTTTTTCCTAAATACGTGATCTAATCCTTTTCTGTACAAGTCTTACTGGGAGGCTCCTATGCCTGCAGGACATAGATGTCCAAACCCTCTTCACTGAATTCTCAGAATTCTTCACCTTTTGGGAAAGATAACTACCTCTAGTTGCCCTGAAAATGAATGTGCTAATATGTGTGTGTGTGTGTGTGTGTTAGGCCACCACACAAGTGAGTGGGCTTCCATGTTCACACAGGCTTACCATGTGCTAGGCCATTCACCACCAGCAAGTTCTGCGCCATCAGTACGATCTGACATACTGCTGGTGTTCAACAAAACCCAGCTCGGTGTCTCACTTTTACCTTTTTGATTGTACCACATCCATCAAGAGGGATAGAAAAGTCTATCACATTGGATATCTTTGGTCTGCAAGTTGGGTCATTCAGTTGTAAGTTATTCTCATTGTATGTAAATGATTCCAGGTAAGATTTATTTATGATGATTCTCATCTCGTCAGAAGAGCAAGTTAAAGACGCTGTTCAGAAAAACAAAACAAGGATGATTATGTTTATGACAGCTAGGAACTCTGGATCTTGAAAAGCTGTGTGTACAGAAGACTACATAAAAACTCAAAACCTCTTTTGCCTTAAACAGTGATCGGAAGCCTGAGAGAGCAGGGTACTTGATCCACCTTTTACAGTGTTCACTCTGACCCTGTCTGCAACTGAAATCTGTAAATTTGTTGTTTTTTATTGTGCCTTTACGGAAGGCATTACAGGAAACAGTCTGTATTTCCTACAGAAATCGTTTCCAAATTAATAAAACCATCAATTTCCTCTTGTACTAAGCAATGCACCGAACTGGTTCTCAAGCTTCAGATTATGAATATACATTCCAAAGTACATAGTACAGGCTTGCAAATAGGGACAGCGACAGGTAGGCTAAGAGGCGAGGAGCAGTTTCTATGGCCACAATCTCCAAGAGCTCAAAATAGCTAAAGAACATGACTTACTAGTGTTGATATTTTCTGCATAAATTGAAGTATAGGAAGCAGAGAAACCCCGGTAGGAGTTGGCGTAATCTGTCGATAGTACGACCGTCAGTGAGTCTGACGAGGATTCAAAGGTGGGCTTCACATAGCCACACACTTGTCCCATCAGGCCAGAGGTGGTGGAGGAGCCATCATAGACAGCAATGAAATCAAATCTGCAGTGTTCGTCCGCTTCTATGCTAAAGAAGTAGGGCCTCTGGTGAAAAAGCTTTGCAAACCAACTCAATTCTCAATAGCCCAGTCTTGAATGATTAAAGATTTTCCCTCACAATGGTATCTCAGGTTTATGACAAACCTGGGGCTTTGCCAGTCCCTGATGCGACCTCAGAATCTTCAGAAAAATGGTCAACTTAGTTCAATGACATAGTATTGGTGTTTTCTCTATACGCCAGTTTTGTGAAAAGTGACCCTCTATGAGGGGGTTCACATAATTTTTCTCCCCCAGGATCCCCATTTGCCAGGTGGGCTCACGGCATTTCTCCCACAGCAGAAATGGACCACAATACTTACAAAATGTCTCTGAAGTTTAATTTTATCTTATAACCTTTCTCCACTTGTATGTGCCACACACAATAAGCCAGTGCAGGATGCGCATTTGGGTAATTGGGGCTGGTAAAGGATCCTTTGGGGCTGTCCAAGTAGCCACCACAGTTTGGAATAGCTGACAGGGATGAGAGGGTGACCATGAATGTAAGTCAAGACAGAGACTTTGCTTAGTTAGTTTCTATGCGGTGTGTCTAGCTTAATAAGCAAACACCCACCCTCACCCAAATTTTGTTCCATTGCTATCTTTTGAATTGGTGGAATACCGAGGTTTTCATCCTTCTTTATTGCGGGATTTTCTGACCACTGGTTCAGGACAGCATGACAGTGTAAGATCTGCCCCAGCTAGAGAGACCCTCCATCACCTGGACTAAGTCACAGAAAATGACATCACACTCTTGGGCCTGGCATTGGAGGCTCTTCCTCACTCAGTCCCAGCCCAGCTTTCCAGCCTCATCAGCCACCTCCACGTCACCTGCTGTGCCAGCCTGTCCTTTCTTCCCACAGCGCCTCACCTTGCTGGTTCCAGCAGAACAGGAATGTTCTCCTCCTCTGGTTCCCACCTCTCCCTACCCTACACTAGCATTCCAGCTCAGCACAGATGCAGCCTTCAGGAAGCCACCCTGGTCCCTCCCTCCCTCCCTCCCTCCCCCGGGAAGGAAGCAAGCAGCTGGATGAGTGAAACAGGCAACACAGAAGGCTCTTTTCGGGGCACGGAAAACAGTCTAGGTTGGCTAATGCATAGGATGCAGGTGAGGCCTGGGGAGGGAATGCAGAGGGAAGGCCTGAAAAGGTGGCCTGGCTTTGGCTTTGGAAAAAACCCTGAATGCTCCACTCTGGAGATTTGTCAACACCAAGGAATCAGTGGTTTAAGAGGAGTGACGTGGTCATCTCTGGGCCTCAGAAAGCCAACCAGAGTGGAACTTTGCTCACAAACCCACTTGCAGAATTTCTGGCGTTCTGCTTTGCGCTGCAGCAGAATCTGGGTGCTGTGAATGCAGAACCCCCTTAACATGTGATTGCCTGACAAGTTAGGTCAGCATTTCTCATCGTTTGCTCTTCGAACTTTGTCAGAATCACTTGGGGAACTTGTCAAACATGAAGGTTTCTCGAGCCCCATCGCACATCTTCTGAATCAGACCAGAGGGAGAAACGGTCCCTGAACGGGCATTTCAAAGGATCTCAGGGTTATTATAAAACAGGCCAAACCGGGAGAGTCTGCATTGGTCCATAACACAGCACACTCCCAACATGTAGCCATGCGATCAGCCCCATGACCCCTCATCTGGGAGCTGGTCAGAAGGCAAATTCACGGGCTCCATCCCAGAACCAGTGAAGCAGAGTCTTGGGGCGTGGGCAGGAATCTGCTTTCACAGGCTCTCCAGGTGATTCTCTGCACACAAGTTAGAGAACCACTGCCCTCACAAGCAAAGAACTCAGACTTAAGATTACAACAACCCATGCAGGAGTGTAACGTCCCAAGCTCGCAGGTGGTTCTGCATAGGATGTATAAGTGAGAACTCACAGGTGCCAGAAGAGAAGAAGTAGTAGAAGATGAAGACAGTTCTTTGACTTTCTACAGAGTCGGTGACTATTTGAACCGTTAATGTACTGGATGATGACTCAAAAACAGGAATGTAGTCATGTTTACTGCAGACTTTGCCTAGCAGAGGCGCCTTGGTAGAGTTTCCATCAAAAACTTTAATGTTTTCACTTTCACACGGTCCATCAGGATCAAGCCTGTGAACAGAACACACGTGTGGTTAGAGACGAGCCACCAGGCAAGGGGGTTTCAGAGTGGAGTCAGTTGTGCACATTGGCATCCCAGTTTGCAAAGCAGTGGCTTATCTGTTTTCATTCCAATCTCTCCAATACCAATTACCTCTCCACGTCCCCCAACATCACACCACACACCATCGGTCTGTAAATGCCTCAGGAAGCAGAACTGCTTTGTCAATGATTCTATCAAGAATCTGACTGGAATCCAAGACTCCTTTCCTTCGACTTCCACCTCCTGTTCCTCATGCCCATGTGGAAATCGTGGGCAGGGAACCTTATTTAGAACTCATTCCCCTTGATACTTGAATTCCGAGGCTGTTGAAAGGTGAAGCAGCCCTTCCTCCTTGGCCCCCTCTCCAGGTAAAGCAAATTTAGCCTCTTCCCAGATGCCCCTTCCCTTCCCTCACATCCCTGTGTCCTCATTCATGGTCCCAGGCCCCACGTGGGACAGGGCACACCAGGGTGCTGTCTTCTGCCCCTTCTGATGGTCTCTCCAGACGCCCTCAGAATTCCGACCCAGGGCCAAGATGCCTGAGAGGGAACCACGCGGCGGACAAACCCGGATCCCCCTTCCCCATAGTTCCCTACCTGCTGTGTAACTTTGGGCCAGAGGCTTACTATTCCCTTTCCTCTCTCTTCTGCAACTGGGGCTGTCCCAGCTTTTGTCCCGGGTGAGGTTTATAATGTCCTGACCAGGAAGCACCTAGCACAGGCCTGGCACACAGGGAGCATGTAAGAACTGTGAGATGCTCGTCTCCCCTCCCTCCCTCTTGCCCCGCTGCCGTCCTCTTTCTCTACGTGCCAAGAACAATGTACATGATTCTTAGGGGCCCGAGAATTCTAGGAAGTAGAGAATTTGTTTCCTTTAGGTCCCCTCAGAAGTCCCTTCCGACTCCTGTGGTGTGGGACCACGCCCCCCAGTGTGTCACCCTGGCGAGCAGTGGCATCAGGAACCGCCCCTGGGAGGTTGTCACCTGTGCACACACATTCTCAGGCCCCAGCTGCCCCATCTGGATCGGGACCTGGGCCCAGGGCCCGGCAATTGTGCGATTGCAAAATCCTCCAGGTCCAGGTGTCTGATACTCCGCAGCTTTAGAACCACTGGAATGGGTAAGACTTTGGGCTCTGGAGCCAGGTGGCTTGGATTCTGGTCCTCTCCCACCCGTTTTAGTCTGTGACTTGGGCACATTAAGTGACTTCTCTGGGATTTCCTACCCATTGAATGGGATTAGACAGAGGGTTGCTGAGAGCATTAAGTGGGGAAGTTCTCCTGAAGCCTCAAGGGACTCTGGTAGTTCAGTGCCCTATTCTCAGCTTGTCCTCATGCTGCCATAACCTGGGCACTTAGAGAAGACAGTTGTGTCTATTTCAAAATAAAAAATTTAAAATAAAAAAAACACTGGTGCCTAGTCCCTGCTCCTAGAATTGTGAGCTTATTGTATGGTGTTCAGCCCAGAAATCTGAATTTGTAGAGGCTCTCCTGCTAATTCTAATGCACACCATGCTTTAAAACCATGAGTTTAGCGTTTTAGATCTGGAATCTGGAACTTGACCGGCTGGGTCTTAATCCCAGTCATTTCACTTACAATGTGACCTGAAACAAATCCCAACTTCCCTGTGCCTGTGACAATCACATTGACTTCACAGGACCTCTGTGACCAGAGTCAGGGGCCCAGTCATCAGTCAGTGACTACCAACCATTATCATCATCATCGTGGTCATGGGTAACTTACCACTACCTCTAGGACCAGCTGATATTTTTCCAACACAAATATGTATGGCCAGAGTTCAACGACTCTCATTAGGAAGTAAAGCCTCTACTTACTGGAAGTAGGAAAAGATGATTCTGATGCTTTTGTTTTCTGGTCTTTCTAGTGTCCAGGTACAGTCCTCATTGGAATGGAGGTTCAGGATTAGGGCTCTGTGGGCATCTGATTGACTGGAGCCTCCCAAACTGGCCTGGCAGCTTGATTTGCCTGGTAGAAATCACAGTTGACATTGAGGAAAGTCATCCACCCCTGGCCTCCTCCTCCCCAAGGGACTGGGAATCTACCTCCCACAATGTAATATCCAGACAAGAATGCAGATAGTTGGGAATGGTATTTAGCTCATTCCAAATTTGGTAAGCCCTTGGCAATTGGTTTCCCCCTCTTAGAGTCCTTGGGGGGAAAGTATTTATGATTTCTCTACATATGGGGCATAAAAAAATAAAGACTATATTAGAGCTTAAAGAAAGATGGTTTTTTGAGGAAACTTTATATCTACAATATATAAAGAACTCTTACAACTCAGTAATTAAAAGAAAACCCAATTAAAAAATGGGCAAATGACCAAAATAAGTATTTCTCCAAAGAACACATAAAGGCCAATTAACACACAAGGAGATACTCAATATCACTAGTTACTGGGGAAATGCAATTCAAAACCGTGAGCTACCACTTCACACCATTTAATATGTGAAACAAAACTAGAGTCAAAAACAGAAAATAAATTAGTGTTGACAAGGATGTGGAGAAATTGGAACCCTCCTGCAAAGCTCATCAGAACATAAAATGGGGCAACTGCTAGGAAAATCATCTGACAATTTCTCAAAAGATTAATCAGGGAGTTACCAAAACCCAGCAATTCCACTTCTAGGCATATATCCAAGAAGAATGAAAACATATGTTCACACAAAGAAGTGTACACTAATGTTTACAGCAGCACCAGCCAAAATAAGCAAAAAGTGGTGCATCAACTGATGAATAAATAAAATGGGGTCTCTCCACACAATGCAAGATTATTCAGCAATAAGGAATGAAGTTACGGATGGATGGTACAGTGTGGATGAACCTTGTAAGCATCATGCTGAGTGAAAGACAACAGATTATAGGATTTCATTTGTATGAATTGTCTAGATTACGGAAATCTACAGAGACAGAAGTAGATCAGTGGTTGCCTTGGGCTGAGAGCATTGGGAGAAATGAGTAACTGCTAACTGGTAAGAAGTTTCTTTTTGGGGTGATGAAAATGTTCTCAAATTAAATAACGGTGATGGTTGCACAATTCTGTGTGTATACTAAAAACTAGTAAAATTTGCATTTTACAAGACTGAATTTTATGGTATGTGAATTTTATCCTTAAAAAGCTGTTACTCAAAACAAGGAGGAAGAGGAGGAGGAACAGCTACAATGGAACGTGAACAAGAAAATCAAATACTTCATAATGGAACCCAACGAAGGGCGAAGAACTTCACTTAGAAACAAAAAGCTTTCCGTTTTCCTTATTATCTGTGATGATAAGTGATGTCCTTGTAACAATAGTCTCATTTATTTTCCCCTAATAATAACTATTACTATGTTTATTAGTAAAAAAAAAAATACCAGCAAAGACAATTAAAGAAAAAAGCATAGGGGCACCGGGGTGGCTCACTTAAGCATCCGCCTTTGGGTCAAGTCATGACCCAGGGTCCTGGATCTGGAATCCCTGCTTGGTGGAGAGCCTGCTTCTCCTCCCTCTGCCTTCTGCTCCCCCTACTTGTGCACTCTCTCTTTCCTCTCTCTCTCTCTGTCAGATAAATAAAATCTTGAAAGAAAAAAGAAAGAAAGGAAGGAAGAAAAAACAACAGGTTCAATTTTCTTACCTTCAGACTTAGTCAAGTTCAAGTCTGCCAAACATGGCACCATTAAGAAGGCTAAAATGATGAGCCTTCTCACAGCCTCCATCTTTGCCAGGGGTAGAACAGCCTAAAGGGTTAGCAGAGAGTTTTATACTTCGCAGAAGTGTTCCTTATCTGGCTTCAGGGCTTTCTGGAGACCTTCAGGGAAATGTGTCAGGTTGACCATGCAAGGGCCAAACTTCTCTTGTGAGAAGAGAGCAGCTGTGTGCCTGATTGATTATCAGCAATCCCTCCAGTGAGTGTTCACTCTCCCCAGTCCATTCCAGGAACGTCTACACAAAGTTCCCAGCTAAAGCTCTTCATGGGGGATCTCCGAGGCCCCGGCCCACGGTGGGCTCCAAGTCATCCTTCACGGCACCAACCGGTAGCTGAGCCTTCGCCCTGTTGTTTGTTCAGATCTCAAAGCAGGTGGCGCTACTGTTATCTTACACCTTCCCTGCTCTTGTCCTCAAATGAAAGCCTTTGGATTCTGAAGGCAGGTAGTGTGGCCCCTGGACAAACTGGGTCCAGCTGAGTTGCTCAGATGCCTGCCAGGGTGCTGAGGCTGAGGAGGGGGGTGGCACAGGATGGAAGGAAGAAATGCAAGTCCAGATTCAGTGGATTCAAGGATTTCAAACCATTATGTCTAGAAAGCCTGAAGCCGATGAATCAAAGTCCCTTGAGCATGACGTTTTGCAGACCATAGAAAGGAATCCTGATGTCCACGGTGAGACCGGTGCTCTAGTGGCTCAGCCAGCAGCTGTGACATCAAGAGGTCATGCTCACAAGGAGCTTGTATTCCTCTTTTCACGCATTCATTTATTCAAAAAATATTTGCCAGCTACCGTTTTACAGTCTGGGGATTTGGAACTAAACATGAGAAATACAGCCCCTGCCCCCATGGAACTTACTAAGTGAGGGAGACAGAGAACAAACTAAAACAAATTACAAATAGTGAGAGGTACTATGAATATAACAAAATAGGGTGATGAGATAGATTGCAGGGGGGATGCAGTATGAGGGTGAAAGTGAGAAAGATGAAATTTGAGCAAAAAGAAAGAGAGAGGCGTTCATTTGTGATGTGGGCTTAGAGGGTGATTTTAGGCAAAAAGAATGGGCAAGTGCAAAGGTCCTGAGGCAGGAATCAGTTGGGCATGTCTATAAAGGAAGGGAAGGCAGGCCAGCGAGGTGGATGTGAGTAAAGGGGAGGGAAGTGAGATGTAACGTAAGGAGGCAAGGTAATAGTCCAATTGTGAAGGACTTGTAGGTCAGATGGGGCATTTGGATTGTATTCTAAGTTCAGATAGAACTTTTTAAGCAGGAAAATGATGACCAATATTTTAGGAACCTTCCCTGCAGCCCTGTGAGGTAATGGTAGGCATAGACTGAACTTCTGCCTTAAAACTCTTCCTGGGTGCCCTCAACTTCCGTGTTGTTCTGTCCTTATTTGGCTCTAGGACACTCGGGTTCCCGGGCAGGGCTGTGACCCAGGGTTGTTTCCAGTTAGGCCCCAGGACCAGGTATTTGACCTTGTACCTGTACCACAGTGGCAAGCCCAGCACCTGTGACATTGGGAAGTTGGACTCACAAGGAGCTGGGACACTCACCAAGGCACCTGGCACAGCCCCACTCAATTCCTGTCGGCTAAGAGACTTCTGGGGCTGGCCACAGGTGTCCCCTGGTGGCCACAGGTGTCCCCTGCACACAGGACATCCTGGTGTGAGAGTGAGGGGTAGGGCAGGAGTATAGGGTAGGGACCCTTCTGATTACTAAGGGCCGCTCACCCCCAGCTGTGTCCGCACACACCCACTTTGTTACTAAAGCCGTCTCCATCTCCTATGGATGTGATCTCCTGGCACCCTGAACCACCACTGGGTGTAAGGGCTCTGTGCACACTCTCCTGGGAGGGGGACTAGCAGAGGGGAAAGAACCCTGGGTGAGCAATTAAAAGACCAGCAGTTCCGGCCGGTGCCAATTTACCATGAGATCACAGGATCCCAGGGCCTGCGGGATTGGTATACCTTATCCTGCTTAATCCTCACCATCACCTATGCAAGCCTCCAATTTACATCAAGGAAACTGAGGCTCAGAGAGGTTAAGAAACTCCCCCAATAGCACATAGCTAATGAAGGGCAGAGATGGATTAGAACCAAGTGTATCTGGCTCTGAAAGCCACATGTTCCACACTGTCCCTACTGCCCATGAGAGTGGTGTCTCTAAGAGCCCTTGCTCCATCCTGCCTCCTTCATGGACCGTGGGATGCCTGGACTTTAGGCATATTCCCCATGGAATTCCAATACAGAATGTGCTTGCCCAGGGCTACCAGGGTCCTGGGCACCGTGCTGCCCACCGGGTGAGGTTCAGAGGGGCAGGTGCACCCTCTGAATCAAATCACAGCACAGGTGAACACCGCAGAGCAGGGCAGTGGATGGCAGAGGGAGGCAGAGAAAATGCTTCAGGAGCTCAAGGGGGATAGGTCTCTTCCAGGTGGAAGGTCTCAGGGCAGGATCCGGGGAAGGTGCAGCCTTGAATCTGCCTCCTGAAACTCACAGTGGGGCTGGAGGACAGCCAGCCGCTAGGGCTGTTCTGTGAGCGCAGTTCCAGCTCCCACACCTCTTCTGGCAGATTTTTCCTTATCAGCCCAGCCTTCTGCAGGGAGAACTGCAACTTCTCACCTCCCCACTCTTCCCTCCCGCCAGCCTAGAGGTAAAAGCTGCTTCCTTCCTTCATTCCTGTGGTCCCTTTTCTCCCCTTTTAGTAGCTAACCACCTGTTCCTAGTTAACTTTTGATATTACTTTTTTTTAACCCTTAAGTACAACATGTGATGCTCACAAAGTAAGGGTTTTGTTAACCAGAGAAAGTATGAATTGTGGTTACAGATGGGAAGTCTGAGTAAAAAGGGATCCGGAAGGCTCGGCGGCAAGAGCAGGAACAGAAAGGGGCTGATGGACCCAAGTGGAGAGCAGTACATCCTCCTACCTGCTGCTCTCAGATCAAGAGATCCTGGACCCTGGCGTTCTGCTGGACATTCCTGTTAGCACCTAAAGGCACTGGCAGGTGAATCAGCAAACTCAGTGTTAAAGGGATCTAAAAAGGAGGAAATCTGCTTCTCCAGAGTTGGAGAATGACAGAAGAATCTCAGGTTTTTCAAAATGTCTTTTAGACACCATTGGGTCCAACCCCACCATATAAGGTCACCCTAAACCCAGAGATATCCCATGTGTCTGCTCTCGCTCTCTGGGGTGACAGTTCTCCTTGGTGACCGTGTAAGATAATTGCCTGCAGTAGAGTAGCTAGATGAGAGTGAATGAAGCCTTCGCAAGGAGAAGAGCCACATGAACTGCTCCAGCTTGGGAATTTTTGATGAGTCTGAAACTAGAAATGCTCTAAGATCAAAATACATTTTTCTCCTGGGGTTGGAGATGTACTGGGTGCTTTTATTTTCTATTCTAACTCTCCTCATATTGCAATATGATATCACAAGATAGTTGCCCCAAGAACCCTCTTACACTGTTGGTGGGAATGCTGGTGCAGCCACTCTGGAAAACTGTGCGGAGATTCCTCAAAGAGTTAAAAATAGATCTGCCCTATGACCCAGCAATTGCACTGTTGGGGATTTACCCCAAAGATACAGATGCAGTGAAACGGCAGGACACCTGCACCCCGATGTTCATAGCAGCAATGTCCACAATAGCCAAACTGTGGAAGGAGCCTCGGTGTCCATCGACAGATGATGGATAAAGAAGCTGTGGTCTATGTATCCAATGGAATATTCCTCAGCCATTAGAAACGACAAATACCCACCATTTGCTTTGACGTGGATGGAACTGGAGAGTATTATGCTGAGTGACATAAGTCAATCGGAGAAGGACAAACATTATATGGTCTCATTCATTTGGGGAATATAAAAAATAGTGAAAGGGAATAAAGGGGAAAGGAGAAAAAATGAGTGGGAAATATCAGGGAGGGAGACAGAACATGAGAGACTCCTAACCCTGGGAAATGACCTAGGAGTGGTGGAAGGGGAGGAGGGCGGGAGATGGGGGTGACTGAGTGACGGGCCCTGGGGGGGGGCACTTGATGAGATGAGCATTGGGTGTTATTCTGTATGTTGGCAAATTGAACACCAATAAAAAATAAATTTATAAAAAATAAAAATAATAAAAGTTACAAATTAAAAAAAAAGTAAAAGATAGTTGCCCCAAGTTTCAATGTGGCTAGTACACAAATTTAAGTGCATTTATGACTAACAAAAACCATCACTGCAGGCAGAGGATTATTTTCAATATTGCATTTATTCAAAGAACATAAATACACCATATAATACATAATGTAAACACTGTAAAACTTGACTTGAATAATACAACATTCTACTAAAAAAGAAATACTATGCATGAATATATTTGTGCCCACCCAAGTCAAAGTCCCTCATTTACATCACAGAAGCATGGTGGCAGGGGATCGAAGTCAGCATACAAGCTACATTCATCACAGCATTGGAGGTTGGGATAAGACCCAGCGGAGAGGGCGGCTGCAGCAACCTTGTCCTGAGTGAGTATGGCTGGATTATTTTTTAAGGCCAAACAAAGAGGTGACTTTGGAGGTCTTAAGAAAAGACATACACAGAGCATGGGATTAGAATTTTTCTTCTCCATCCATTTGTCACAATTATCAGGGGTATCTGGGAGGTTTGGGGCTGGACCAATCAAATACATGACAGCAGCCCGAAACTAGAGCTCCCGGCCCCTGTCCCAAGCTCCTATCCAATCCCTTCCTCTCCCACTGCTAGAAATGGAAAATCAGGTTACAGCCAACAAGAGAGAGCAAGCGCAGGTGTGGGATCACCCAGCCGATCCCTGCAGGCCCATCAGGTGCAGAGCGGGATGGGGAAGGGGCCACACTTGGCCACCCCCACCCCCACCCCCCATGTTCTGGGATTTACCTTCCAGCTCACAGGCTTCACTTCCCTAGGACGGGAACAGCACGGCTTCACGACCCATCTCTCTCCCAGGCTCCAGGGTTCCTCTCCCCCAAAGTTAATGATCTTTTGTCTGGGCTGCACTCCCCTGTCAGGTGTCCCCGGGACCTTCACCCAGCTCAGCTTCCCCACAGTCCTCCAGGCCCACCTCACTGCCCCCAGGGCCATGCACGTGAATGAGAGAACCCCCTGACGGCTCCCCCAACTCCGCTAAGAGGAGGTCAATCCAGCCTGTCCTCTGAGTGAATCCCAGGCACAGACTCACCCACAGCCTCCCGCACAGTCTGCAGTGCCTGGGACAGAGGGAGGGCACAGCCAGTGTGAGGAGTAAGCCGGCTGAGGGTCCACTCGGGGAGGGTAGTGGGGCAAAGCATCACAGGCCACAACCCCACTCCCTGCTGAGAACATTCTACTTATGAGCTCACAGCCCTAAGCCAGAAGGGGGAAAACTCAAGATTCCACACTCACCTGTCTTCGCATTTTCAGACCTACCTGCTGCTCCTGACCTCCCCCTGGGTGTGGGCACAGGGCAAGGGATGACCCTGCTCAGGCAGGGAGCCCGGAGTATCCTATTTGAGGGGGTGCTTTTCAGTCTTACCCACATCACTCACTTTAATGCGTTGGATATTTTGTGGTAAAGACCGATGACAACACCCATCAGCACAAGAATGGCCATCAGGATACCGCCACCGATGCAGAACATAATTATCGTGTTGACTTTAGAAGAGTTGGCTTTATCTAGGCAGAGAAGTGCAGCAAACAAAGTGGCTTCCCTCCCCACCCAGCCACCTAGCCACCTCAACAGCTTCCTCTACTGGAAAAAGAGTGAACCCCCAACATACAAATGAGTTTTCCCAGAAGGCACAGCATAGGACCCTAAACTGGCCCAGAGAGGGGGAAAGGGTTTGTTTATGAAGGAGACCAGACTGAAATGCAAAACCCAGAGAAAAAGAAGAAAGCAGGAGCATCTTTTTCTTCCTTTCACCGGCAGTAACGTGCAGCTCTAAGTAACAAAACAAGCTTCACTCAAACAAATGGTTTTGCTCCCAAATACCTGGGTCCTGAAATACATTCACTTTCAGAATCAGAATTAGCTCCTCACTCTACATCAGGCTTAGTAATCTCCTATGGGGATGATTGAGGGGACAACTGTTTTAAAATGTTACGTTCAACAATGCTGAGACTACACAAATCCATTTTGTAAGTGATACATGTTTCAGGAAAACAGTCTTCTACTCTCCCACTGACAACTGCCATTTTTTTCCTTCTCAATCCTCCCAGGAAATCCGATTTTTCTGGAATAAGCCATTTGTTTAATCTCATTCTCTGAAACTGGGGAAAAGTGAGTGAGGACTGAAAAACAACCCAGAGTTGAGAAACATACTTACTACCCTCTAAGTCTTCCATGCTCGATGAATGCCCGCAGTAAAAAAAAATTACAATTAATATAAACTTTAGGGAACAGTACATCTTATCAGTAATTTCTCAAACGTTTAATTTGAGAAAGAAAACTCTAGTTATCCCCGTTAAGAGTAATTAAGATCTAAGTTTGAGGAGCTGGCTTTTGGATGCATCGTCTCCACAAGAGCTACCGGAATGTACAGCCACTGTCCAGCTCCAACTTCTATGCCTTCTATGTCAGGCCAGAGGCTGTGTGACATCAGCACTTTGGACACCAACTCCCGTTCATGGAGTTCTGAATTCTGTTTCATGTTCAGATACATTTTTGGACCAATAGAAACAGGAGTGTCCAAATATTATTCTAAATCATTTATTCTCAGTCTCACCCTTTCAATCTTGGTTCCCTCAAAGATCCTTTTAAGGTCTGACTGTTAATCTAAAGCAAATCTGGGATTTCAATAAAATCAAAGAACAGTAATGTGGGGAAGGCTAATATCTAAAAATACTCCTATATCTAAAAGTCCAATTATGAAAGACTGATTAGACTTTATGTTGCAACATCACGATAGAATAACAGCCTAGTCATTTCATAGGACTCAGATGTATGTTCACTGATTTCTGAATATTGTCCTACTTTATGGCGAAGACAAAGATTTCAAAAAGCAATAATGAATAAAATGTTATAAATCAGGTTTATATTATTTTAAGAAATTCATACCTAGCAAAGCTGGTTCAGTTAAATGAGGAAATTATTTTAACTATGAAGGGTTATTCCTTGCTGCTCTGGCTAAACCCTGGATGAGGTTATAAACAGCAGGGGGCTTATCAACAAAACTAGTGGCATAAGACCTCTGAAAATTCTTTCCTGTATAAAAGCAGTAAAAAATCTGGTAGAAAAAGGGTCTTTTTCAGACCCTGGAAATTAACTAAAAGCTTGCTGCTCAGGAAACACCTATTTTTTTTTAATTTTTTTTTAATTTATTTATGATAGTCACAGAGAGAGAGAGAGAGAGAGAGAGAGAGAGGCAGAGACACAGGCAGAGGGAGAAGCAGGCTCCATGCACCAGGAGCCGGATGTGGGACTCGATCCCGGGTCTTCAGGATTGCGCCCTGGGCCAAAGGCAGGCGCTAAACCGCTGCGCCACCCAGGGATCCCCGGAAACACCTATTTTTAAGAAAAACTGAGTCTCAGTACGAGCAGCAAGGCTTTGTGGCATTGTTCCATCACTCCCTCTCCAGTTCCATGGCAACCTTGAAACTAAAACCCAAGCTGCACTGCAGCCACCAAAGGGAAAACAGAGGTAGAGCTCTTTCAAAGCCTCATTCCCAAAGAACTGTTATTATCTGACCTGTCTTCCAGGCACATGGAAATCCTCACTTGCAAAGCTATCTGTATTCAACCTAACATGGAGTTTGACCAATGCAAAAAGTCTTCCTTTAAGGGGATTTTGGCAAAAACAACCATAATTGTTTTACCTTTCTGGCTGCCTGAGGTAGTAGATAACATTTGGGGGCAAATCACAGAATAGCCAAAAAGCTTAAAGGAAAAGCTGGTAAATTAGCTGTCCATTCAGGAGTTTTGAAAAGCTCTGACATATTCCTGGGACTTTAGGCCATGCATGTGTGCAGTGTGCGTGTCTAAGGCTATGAGTAACCTCAAGAAAGACACGAGATGGTCCTGAGCATTCACCACTGACTGACCCTGAGGCATTTTCCCAAGCAAAAAGTGAAGGCTTGGCTGGTTGTTGAAGGCATGCCCCAACATGCACATGGAGCCCCTCATGAAAGACTGGGAGATTTATTGGTTCCAGGCATTTCAGGTAATCTTTGCCTGATCATTAGCTAACTACTAAGCTAATCAACAGAGACTTTGGCGTCCACATACAACAAAGAATACAGACCTTACAGAATCTGTTGAGAAAAGTCACTAAACAACAAACCTTAGAGAGCTGGGAGAAACTGACTTCCACAGTTGCCATGTTACATTATTTTAAATGTCTAGTTTTCAACAAAAGACTGTAAGACAAAAGGAAAGGAGGGAAGGAGCAAGGGAGGGAGGAAGAGAAAGAAAGAAAAAGAAAGGAAGGAAGGAGGAAAAAAAGAATTATGACCGATAAAAGGTAAAGGAAAGCAATTAATAACTTTCCCTAGGAAACCCAGACATTGGCCCTACTGGACAGTTTTCAAATCAACTATTTTAAATATTTTCTTTTTTTTTTTAATTTTTTTATTTATTTATGATAGTCATACAGAGAGAGAGAGAGAGGCAGAGACACAGGCAGAAATTGAAGCAGGCTCCATGCACCGGGAGCCCGACGCGGGACTCGATCCCGGGTCTCCAGGATCGCGCCCTGGGCCAAAGGCAGGCGCCAAACCGCTGCGCCACCCAGGGATCCCTATTTTAAATATTTTCAAAGGAATCCCTGTCTAAAGAACTAAAGTATGAGAATAATGGCTCCAATAGAGAACATCAATAAAGAGATAGAAATTTTTTTCTGAAAGCCTTTCCCCTAAGATCAGGAACACGACAGGGATGTCTACTCTCACCACTGCTATTCAACATAGTACTAGAAGTCCTAGCCTCAGCAATCAGGCAACAAAAAGAAATAAAAGGCATTCAAATTGGCAAGTCAAACTCTCCCTCTTCACAGATGACATCATACTGTACATAGAAAACCCAAAAGACTCCACTCCAAGATCGCTAGAACTCATACGCAATTTGGCAGTGTGGCAGGATACAAAATCAATGCCCAGAAATCAGTGGCATTTCTATACACTAACACTGAGACTGAAGAAAGAGAAATTAAGGAGTCAATCCCATTTACTACTGCACCCAAAAACATAAGATACCTAGGAATAAACCTAACCAAAGAGGTAAAGTATCTATACCCTAAAAACTATAGAACACTTCTGAAAGAAATTGAGGAAGACACAAAGAGATGGAAAAATATTCCAGGTTCATGGATTGGAAGAATAAATATTATGAAAATGTCAACGCTACCCAGGGCAATTTACACATTTAATGCAATCCCTATCAAAATACTATGGATTTGTTGGAACAAATCATCTTAAGATGTGTATGGAATCAGAAAAGACCCTGAATGTCAGACAGGGGAATATTGAAAAAGAAAACCAGAGCTGGGAGCATCACAATGCCAGATTTCAGGTTGTACTACAAAGCTGTGGTCATCAAGACAGTGTGGTACTGGCACAAAAACGGACACATGGATCAATGGAACAGAAATAGAAACCCAGAAAAAGCGACAAAGCAGGAAAGACTATCTACTGGGAAAAGGACAGTCTCTTCAATAAATGGTGCTGGGAAAACTGGACAGGCACGTGCAGAAGAATGAAACTGGACTATTCTCTTACACCATTTACAAAGATAAACTCAAAATGGATGAAAGATCTAAATGTGAGACAAGAATCCATCAAAATCCTAGAGGAGAACACAGGCAACACCATTTTTGAACTTGGCCACAGCAACCTCTTGCAAGATACATCCATGAAGGCAAGGGAAACAAAAGCAAAAATGAACTACTGGGACTTAATCAAGATAACAAGCTTCTGCACAGCAAAAGAAACAGTCAACAAAACAAAAAGACAACCTACAGAGTGGGAGAGGATATTTGCAAATGACCTATCAGATAAAGGGCTAGTTTCCAAGATCTATAAAGAACTGAATAAACTCAACAGCAAAGAAACAAACAATCCAATCATGAAATGGGCAAAAGACATGAACAAAAATCTCACAGAGGAAGACATAGACATGGCCAACAAGCACATGAGGAAATGCTCCACATCACTGGCCATCAGGGAAATACAAATCAAAACCACAATGAGATACCACCTCACACCAGTGAGAATGGGGAAAATTAAGAAGACAGGAAACCACAACTGTTGGAGAGGATGTGGAGAAAAGGGAAGGGAACCCTCTTGCACTGTTGGTGGGAATGTGAACTGGTGCAGCCACTCTGGAAAACTGTGTGGAGGTTCCTCAAAAGAGTTAAAAGTAGATCTGCCCTACGACCCAGTAATTGCGCTGCTGGGGATTTACCCCAAAGATGCAGATGCAGTGAAACGCTGGGACACGTGCACCCCAATGTTTATAGCATCAATGTCCACAATAGCCAAACTGTGGAAGGAGCCTTGGTGTCCACCGACAGATGAATAGATAATGAAGCTGTGGTCTATGTACACAATGGAATATTCCTCAGCCATTAGAAATGACAAATACCCACCATTTGCTTCGATGTGGATGGAACTGGAGGGTATTATGCTGAGTGAAGCGAGTCAATTGGA